CACGGAATCAGGCCGAGCCTATCTCCATCGATAAAGAAGTCTATTGATCCTATTCTCCACGGATGATAAGTCCATTAAGCACCGATTTGGTCCAATTTATTTTCGCATGGTATTTTCGTAATTTTTTGGGCAAAGAAAGACAATTTTCCATGGATTTTGAAGGCTACAGATAATGGATTCAGCCTGAGGATATTCTTCAACGATGATTAAGTTCATTAAGTGCCGATTTGGGCGAATTTATTCCGGGTCCATTTTTGGCAGATTCCAAAGGGGTACCATCACAGATTTCGGGCGATTTTTCCGAAATGCCATTTTCTTTCGATTCTAGAGGCTCTAGATCACGGACTCAGGCCGAGCCTATCTCCATCGATAAAGAAGTCTATTGATCCTATTCTCCACGGATGATAAGTCCATTAAGCACCGATTTGGTCCAATTTATTTTCGCATGGTATTTTCGTAATTTTTTGGGCAAAGAAAGACAATTTTCCATGGATTTTGAAGGCTACAGATAATGGATTCAGCCTGAGGATATTCTTAAATATTGATTAAGTCCATTAAGTGCCGATTTGGGCGAATTTATTCCGGGTCCATTTTTGGCAGATTCCAAAGGGGTACCATCACAGATTTCGGGCGATTTTTCCGAAATGCCATTTTCTTTCGATTCTAGAGGCTCTAGATCACGGAATCAGGCCGAGCCTATCTCCATCGATAAAGAAGTCTATTGATCCTATTCTCCACGGATGATAAGTCCATTAAGCACCGATTTGGTCCAATTTATTTTCGCATGGTATTTTCGTAATTTTTTGGACAAAGAAAGACAATTTTCCATGGATTTTGAAGGCTACAGATCATGGATTCAGCGTGAGACTATTCTTCAACGATAATTAAGTTCATTAAGTGCCGATTTGGGCGAATTTATTCCGGGTCCATTTTTGGCAGATTCCAAAGGGGTACCATCACAGATTTCGGGCGATTTTTCCGAAATGCCATTTTCTTTCGATTCTAGAGGCTCTAGATCACGGAATCAGGCCGAGCCTATCTCCATCGATAAAGAAGTCTATTGATCCTATTCTCCACGGATGATAAGTCCATTAAGCACCGATTTGGTCCAATTTATTTTCGCATGGTATTTTCGTAATTTTTTGGGCAAAGAAAGACAATTTTCCATGGATTTTGAAGGCTACAGATCATGGATTCAGCCTGAGGCTATTCTTCAACGATGATTAAGTTCATTAAGTGCCGATTTGGGCGAATTTATTCCGGGTCCATTTTTGGCAGATTCCAAAGGGGTACCATCACAGATTTCGGGCGATTTTTCCGAAATGCCATTTTCTTTCGATTCTAGAGGCTCTAGATCACGGACTCAGGCCGAGCCTATCTCCATCGATAAAGAAGTCTATTGATCCTATTCTCCACGGATTATAAGCCCATTAAGCACCGATTTGGTCCAATTTATTTTCGCATGGTATTTTCGTAATTTTTTGGGCAAAGAAAGGCAATTTTCCATGGATTTTGAAGGCTACAGATCATGGATTCAGCCTGAGGATATTCTTAAATATTGATTAAGTCCATTAATTGCCGATTTGGGCGAATTTATTCCGGGTCCATTTTTGGCAGATTCCAAAGGGGTACCATCACAGATTTCGGGCGATTTTTCAGAAATGCCATTTTCTTTCGATTTTGGAGGCTGTAGATTACAGAATCAGGCCGAGCCTATCTCCATCGATAAAGAAGTCTATTGATCCTATTCTCCACGGATGATAAGTCCATTAAGCACCGATTTGGGCCAATTTATTTTCGCATGGTATTTTCGTAATTTTTTGGTTAAAGAAAGACAATTTTCCATGGATTTTGCAGGCTACATATCATGGATTCTGCGTGAGGATATTCTTAAATATTGATTAAGTCCATTAAGTGCCGATTTGGGCGAATTTATTCCGGGTCCATTTTTGGCAGATTCCAAAGGTGTACTATCACAGAATTCGGGGGATTTTTCCGAAATGTTGTTTTCTTCCGATTCTCGAGGCTGTAGATCACGGAATCAGGCCGAGCCTATCTCCATCGATAAAGAAGTCTATTGATCCTATTCTCCACGGATGATAAGTCCATTAAGCACCGATTTGGTCCAATTTATTTTCGGATGGTATTTTCGTAATTTTTTGGGCAAAGAAAGGCAATTTTCCATGTATTTTGAAGGCTACAGATCATGGATTCAGCCTGAGGCTATTCTTCAACGATGATTAAGTTCATAAAGTGCCGATTTGGGCGAATTTATTCCGGGTCCATTTTTGACAGATTCCAAAGGGGTACCATCACACATTTCGGGCGATTTTTCCGAAATGCCATTTTCTTTCGATTTTGGAGGCTGTAGATCACGGAATCAGGCCGAGCCTATCTCCATCGATAAAGAAGTCTATTGATCCTATTCTCCACGGATTATAAGTCCATTAAGCACCGATTTGGTCCAATTTATTTTCGCATGGTATTTTCGTAATTTTTTGGGCAAAGAAAGACAATTTTCCATGGATTTTGAAGGCTACAGATCATGGATTCAGCCTGAGGCTATTCTTCAATGATGATTAAGTTCATTAAGTGCCGATTTGGGCGAATTTATTCCGGGTCCATTTTTGACAGATTCCAAAGGGGTACCATCACACATTTCGGGCGATTATTCCGAAATGCCATTTTCTTTCGATTTTGGAGGTTGTAGATCACGGAATCTGGCCGAGCCTATCTCCATCGATAAAGAAGTCTATTGATCCTATTCTCCACGGATTATAAGTCCATTAAGCACCGATTTGGTCCAATTTATTTTCGCATGGTATTTTCGTAATTTTTTGGGCAAAGAAAGACAATTTTCCATGGATTTTGAAGGCTACAGATAATGGATTCAGCATGAGGATATTCTTAAATATTGATTAAGTCCATTAATTGCCGATTTGGGCGAATTTATTCCGGTTCCATTTTTGGCAGATTCCAAAGGGCTACCATCACAGATTTCGGGCGATTTTTCCGAAATGCCGTTTTCTTTCAATTCTGGAGGTTGTAGATCACGGAATCAGGCCGAGCCTATCTCCATCGATAAAGAAGTCTATTGATCCTATTCTCCATGGATGATAAGTCCATTAAGCACCGATTTGGTCCAATTTATTTTCGCATGGTATTTTCGTAATTTTTTGGGCAAAGAAAGGCAATTTTCCATGGATTTTGAAGGCTACAGATCATGGATTCAACTTGAGGATATTCTTAAATATTGATTAAGTCCATTAAGTGCCGATTTGGGCGAATTTATTCCGGGTCCATTTTTGGCAGATTCCAAAGGGGTACCATCACAGATTTCGGGCGATTTTTCCGAAATGCCATTTTCTTTGGATTTTGAAGGCTACAGATCACGGATTCGGCCTGAGGCTATTCTTAAATGATGTTTAAGTCCATTAAGTGTCGATTTGGGCGAATTTATTCCGGGTCCATTTTTAGCAGATTCCAAAGGGTACCATCACAGATTTCGGGCGATTTTTCCGAAATGACATTTTCTTTCGATTATGGAGGCTGCAGATCACGGAATCAGGCAGAGCCTATTCTCCACTGATAATGAAGTCTATTGATCCTATTCTCCACGGATGATAAGTCCATTAAGCACCAATTTGGCCAATTTATTTTCGAATGGCATTTTCGTAAATTTTTGGGCGACGAAAGGCCATTTTCTTTGGATTTTGAAGGCTACAGATCACTTATTCGGAATGAGGCTATTCTTCAACGATGATTAAGTCCATTAAGCGTCGATTTGGGCGAATTTATTCTGGGTCCATTTTTGGTAGATTCCAAAGGGGTACCATCACAGATTTCGGGCGATTTTTCCGAAATGTCATTTTCTTTCGATTCTAGAGACTACAGATCACGGAATCAGGCCGAGCCTATTATCCACCGATAATGAAGTCTATTGATCCTATTCTCCATGGATGATAAGTCCATTAAGCACCTATTTGGGCTAATTTAATCCCGGATGGCATTTTCGTAATTCTTTTGGTAGACGAAAGGCCATTTTTTTTTTAAATTTTGAAGGCTACAGATCACGGATTCGGCCTAATGCTATTCTTCAACGATGATTAAGTCCATTAAGCGCCGATTTGGGCGAATTTATTCCGGGTCCGATTTTGGCAGATTCCAAAGGGGTACCATCATAGATTTCAGGCGATTTTTCCGAAATGTCATTTTCTTTCGATTCTGGAGGCTACAGATCACGGAATCAGGCCGAGCCTATTATCCACTGATAATGAAGTATATTGATCCTATTCTCCACGGATGATAAGTCCATTAAGCACCTATTATCGGCCAATTTATTTCGTATTGCATTTTTGTAATTTTTTGGGCGACGAAAGGCCATTTTCTTTGGATTTTGAAGGCTACAGATCACGGATTCGGCCTGAGGCTATTCTTCAACGATGATTTAGTCCATTAAGCGCCGATTCAGACGAATTTATTCCGGGTCCATTTTTGGCAAATTCCAAAGGGGTACCATCACAAATTTTTGGCGATTTTTCCGAATTGCCATTTTCTTTCGATATTGCTGGCTGCAGATCACTGAATCATGCCGAGCCTATTCTCCACCGATAATTAAGTCTATTGATCCTATTCTCCACGGATGATAAGTCCTTTAAGCACCGATTTGGGCCAATTTATTTTCGGATCTCTTTTTCGTAATTTTTTGCGCGAATAAAGACCGTTTTCTTTCAATTTTGAAGGCTACAGATCACGGATTCGGCCTGAGGCTATTCTTCAACGATGATTAAGTCCTAAGCACAGATTCTGGCGGATTTCTTCCGGGCCCATTAGTGGCTAATCCCAAAGGTGTACCATCAAAGATTTCAGACGATTTTTCCGAAATGCTATTTTCTTTCGATTTTGGAGGCTACTTATCACGTATTCTGCTCGAGGCTATTCTCCACCGATAATGAAGTCTATTGATCATATTCTTCACCAATGATTAAGTCCATTAGCGATAGAAGTAAGCCTATTTATTTTGGGATGACATTGTCGTAATTCTTTGGGCGATTTTTTTTTAAATGCCATTTTTCATGTATTTGAAGGCTACATATCACAGATTCAGCTTCAGGATATTTTTCAACGACGAGTAAGTCCATTAAGCACGGATTCGGGAGGATTTCTTCCGAGTCCATTTTTGGCAGATTCCAAATGGGTATCATCACAGATTTTGGGCGCTTTTTCTGAAATGCTATTTTCTTTCGATTTTGCAGGCTACAGATCCCGGATTCAAACCGAGGTATTCTCTACCGATAATGAAGTCTATTGATCTCATTCTCCACCAATGATTAAATCCATTAGGCATAGAATTTGGCCAATTTATTTTGGGATGACATTTTCGTAATTCTTTCGTGATTTTTAGGTCTATTAAGCACCGATTTGGGCAATTTATTCCATGTCTGTTTTTGACAAATTCAAAAGGGGTACCATCACATATATCAGACGATTTTTTTTATAAAATATTTACCTCTGATTTTTTGGGCAACAAATAAGGGATTTGTCCCGGGACTATTTTTCATCGATGATGAAGACTATTAATCGCCAATTTCTGCTGATTTTTTCTTAGGTAATTTTCGTAATTTTTTGTCATTTTTTTCGAATGACCATTTTCCTTTGATTTTGAAGGCTAAAGATCACGGATTCGGCCTGGGGCTATTCTTCATCAATAATTAGGTCTATCAAGTAGAAATTTGGGCGAATTTTTTCTGGGTCCAGTTTTGGCAGATGCCAATGACTAATGAGGGTACCATCATAGATTTCGTGCAACTTTTTTTAAGGACCATTTTCCTTGAATTTTGAAGTCTATTAATCGCCGATTTGCATTGATTTTTGTGGAGTGCATTTTAGTAATTTTGTGCGATTTTTTCGAATGACCATTTTCCTTGGATTTTGATGGCTACAGATCACAGAATCGACTTCTATTCTTCACGATGATTAGGTCTATTAAACAACAATTTGAGCGAATTTTTCCGGGTCCATTTTTGACAGATTTAAAAACGGTACCTTCACATATTTCCTGCTCCGTTTTCCAAGCGCCATCGACGTACTAAGAGCCAACCTGAGTTTCGTCGAGATTTTTAATTTATCATTTTACGGGATTTCACTTGCTCGCTGGAGCCTGGAAGCCGTTAAATAACCTTAACTATGGGTGAGAGGATTTTATGGGATTCTTCTTTATAAGATTGACTGGACTTCAACCTGCAAGGCCACACTAGATGCCCACCAAACTTCTCTCAGAATCTCCATCAAGATGAAAATAACTTCTTCCTCTATTTCTTTTGAATTTGAACGGTGAATTGAGCTGCATGGTTTCTTTTTCCTTTCCGTGATGTCTCCAGGCGCTGAATTTTGGGTTATGGATTGTGATTTTCTTAAGATATTTGGCCTTCTGAGGACTCTATTTGGCATTTTGTTACTTTGATGGCCATATTACACAAAAGTTACCTGCCCAAAGGGCACGGTCAAATCTAGTGGGAATAGTGGGATAAAGATAACTTGTATTTTTCATCACCAAATCCCTCGTGAGTTTACAGTAGTGATAAAATAAAACTGACTACTGAACATTATGAAAAATCTACTATCCTTGGGGTTTCCCAGAGCGAATTGAACAAATTCAGAGAATGATATCATAAAATTGAAACAGTATCCAGAGAATGATATCATAAAATTGAAACAGTATCCAGAGAATGATGAGAAATGAGCTCGCCCCCGAACTGCTGCAGCAATCGTACTAATAATCATCGATAACTTTTCGATACTTCCATTACTAGCTTGTCCATAAACTGGCACTTCTTGTCGAACCCCCACCCGGGATTGCTCTGTAAAAATTTCAACACCACATAGATGGTTAAGTTAATCCACGATCATCCAAAAATCGACACCCATAAGCTTAACTCGATGCTAATGTTAGGGAAAAGGAAAGGTTCGAACTTAGAGTTTCTCTCCGGATGAATAATGAGTTCATTGCTCAACCTGATTGAAGATAGATAAGCAAAATGAAAGGGCCAACAAGAAGAGGAATTAAGCTCCCGGGTAGACAAAATTGGTCCAGTGCTCAAGGACTCCTTTATATTCACTGTTCGCCAACTGTAACTAAGACTCTAGAGCTCTCACTTTCATACCACATTCATTATCGATATTATCCCTAACCAAGTCTGCTCTGAATTATCTGCAGCTTCATTCATAGAAGCTAAAGATTCAAAATTCATCAGAGCTTTGCACTATCCATGGGATTCAAATAATGACTGCGTTGAGCGAAGTCCTTTCACTCAACTCCACATTTTTACTTAAGGATTTTACCGTCAAAATAGCACTAGCGGCAATACATCCCAAGTTAATTGAGGATAAATATTTTTTCAAACGGGGTATTATATAAAAGCTTAGCCCCAAAAATCGTTCACAAAGCCCAACAAAGTAGCCACAAGAGCCGTATGATCCTGAACTAAACAACAACCTAACTTCCCATATTTTCAGGCAAGGACATTCCTTGACAACTCATGAAGGATCTATGATCATAAACCCGAAAGGGAAAATCATGAAACTTGCTCAAAATTCAGTAGTTGGTTTAAGTGTAACATACCATATGCGAACTCCAAGTTGAGCTTTAAGTAAGGGGCAATTGTTTAAACGTGTAATATGCATACAACATGATATGAACCTCAAAAGTCAGAGTAAGATTGGCAGTGAAAGCACTAACCTGAAGAGAAAGAACGGCTCGATCAGCGAAACGTTTCACAGAAGGAGGAGCAGCAGCAGGAATGGTTTGTGCAACTCTTTCCAGCTCTTGTTGTTGTTGTTTTGCTGTTACCCGATCAGGTCCACTGTAGTGCTCAACTATCTTTTTCAATAATGGCACATTCTTCATTGTTTCTTCAACCGCCTCCTGATAAAAGAGAAACATGAACCACACATCAACAACAAAGAAACACACTGATTCCAGCCATGCTACTTTCTCCGGGAGAGGGAAATGATAACCGAAATTGCTTGGTTTATAGAACAAAACAAGCTGTCATCATAAATTATTAACAACAAGTCATTATTATGTTAGAACAAAACAGTTGGGTTTGGTTATAAGCATCAAGAAAAAGGCCTTGATTGGTTATCAGATTTGTTGCTGGATACGAAGGAAGTCGCAGTTAACTTCGAGCTGATAAGAAACAAAGTGCTTAACAACATTCAAACGCACCTCCCATTCCGCTTCATTCTGGATTCCTTCATAGGACATTAAGAATGGCTTCACTTTCTCCAACATGTCCCGTATGGGCATAGGTGGTTTCTCATCAATGTCTGGGTTCTGATCAAATTCTCCCATAAGGTATTCTTCCTCAAACTCAATCTGCAATTCAAAGAAAGAACAACTTTATCACCAATAAACTGTTTCACAGTAGCATCTCTCCAATAACACATCAAAGCAAGAGTATATGATCTACTAACACGAATAACCATTGCATACTAGTTTCTCTTTAGTATATAAGAAAATTTGAAGAACAATTCTAAGAATCTATGTGAAAACAATGAACTCATTACCTTGAAGTTGGTGTCTAATGCATCCAAGAATTCATCCTCAAGAGGTGATGGCAAAACTCTACTACCCATCTCTTCGAACCCGTCAACAAGCTGGTTCATGAACTCAACACCAACAGTTTGTGCCAGTTTCTCTCCATCAGCCTTGTTTCCTAGAGCAAAGTCCTCCCCCTCTGAATCATCATCAGCAGCCAGTTGATCCCTCTGCCGCCCCCTTCCCCTTCCACCGCCAAAATCTCCCCTCTCCCTTCCCCTCCCTCTCCCTCTCCCCATTCCCCTTCCTCGCCCCCTACCAGTACCACGGCCACGCCCCATCTGCATTTCGCCATCACCTCTTCTCCTCCCTTCACCTCCCTCGTCTCCACCTCGCCGCGCTGCCTCCTCCTGGCTAAACCTCGGCCTTCTATGAATCTGCTCGCCAGCTCCATCACCATCGTCACCCTCTGCTCTCGGGCTCACCCTAGCACTACGAATATGCCTGTTCACTTCCTTCTCCGGTATTCCTTCTGCCACCACCGGCGCATCAGATTTCCCGCGGCCGAAACTGTGCAGCGTAGACCTCAAACTGGAAGGCAGATAGCTCTCCTTCGCCGGAAGAACAGAGCCTCTTCCTGGCGGAGTACCCGCAGCCGGAGCACCAGGCGCAGGCTTCTCCGACCGCGGTACCTCCCCACCAACGCCTCTCCCGCTCCCGCGTCCGATGCCGCCGCCGCTTCCGCCGGGAGCTGCAGCCGTCTGCTTGAGGGAAGAGATGAAGGAAGAGAACTCCGGGAAAACCGGCCCAGATACGAGAGGCTTCCCGCGGCCGTGACCTTGTCCTCCAGCTTCCCGCGGCGGCGGTTGCTCGGGCTTGCCGGCCGCCGCATCAGGTTTCTTCTCCTCGTCTGCGTTCCGTGTCTCGTTGGTGAAGGAGAATTGGCCGGGAGTGAAGATCTGGCCACGACCGCTGCCGCGCCCTCCTCCGCCGGAAGAAGTGGAGAAAGGAGCGAAGAAGGAAGACCTTTGAGCATGATTACCGATGAAATTGGTAGGGATTGAAATGCCTCTTCCTCTCATTGTTTGCCTGCAAGGTTTCTTCCTCGATCTTCTGCGCCTGAAATTGAGGGTTTATTGTCACTCTCGCTTCGCTTCGCTCTCTCAATTCTCCATCTCTCTATTTCAGTATGGTACCCGTATTTAGGATATATCACTATCTGGTCCCTTCCTCAATGGACTTGGGCTTAGAAATGAGCCGCTTCTATTTTCTTTCTCCCTTTAAGAAATGGGTTAGAACGGCCGCTTCTATTTTCTCCCTTCAAGAAATGGGCCAGTTCTAACCAAATAAACCACAATTAGTTGAGCCCATTAAGAGTAAATTAAGACGTATAAGCCACGATTGGCTAATCTCTCCCGCTATTTCTCTTCATTCTTCCTTCACCACAGAGCAAAAGCAAAAACCAGCCGGAAAACTTTCCACCGGTGATCCCACCAACTGCCACCGACCTAAACGTTCCACTAATCTACTCCCACTACTGTTAATTGTATTCCTCCATATTTCACTGTCGCTGAAAAGCTCGAAAATCGCACCTTCCTTTCACTAGCTGCTATAAATTTGAAATGCCAATCCGTTCGCTTTTCAGAAAACCCACCAAATCCCTACTCACCAGCTCATCTTTCTTCCTCATTTCCATGGCTTCTCTCATTACTCTGCTCCTCATCTTCCTCTCCTTTCCTTCTCAATCCTCCTCCTCTGTTTCCCAACCCAGATCCCTCCGCATTTTCCGATCGCCGGAACCCAGATCCAAAAAGACCCCAATTGGGTCCTCGTCAGCGGGACAGATTCCGGCCCAGATTGCTCAAGCCTGCAGCGCCACCCGGTTCCTAGACATCTGCCGGTCTTCCCTGGCCAATTCCGTCGCGGCTCTCCAGAAACCCCCAACTCCGATCGACCTAATTCAGTCGGCGATTTCAATTTCATCTTCCAATCTCTCCGTCGCGCAGTCGATGGTGAAGTCGATTCTGGGCTCCTCCTCTAACATCAACCGCGCTACCGCCGCGAAAAACTGCGTCGAAGTCCTCGCCAACTCGCAGCACCGCATCCAGTCCACCGCGGCCGGAGAAGCCGTCAGCCGCGGTGGAGGAGGAATCAAGGACGCGCGCGCGTGGATGAGCGCGGCGCTGCTGTACCAGTACGACTGCAGGAACTCGCTAATGTACGCAAACGACACGTCGCTGACTGCCCAAACGATGTCGTTTCTCGACTCGTTAATGACGCTCACCAGCAACGCGCTGAGTATGCTTGTGGCCTACGACGTTTACGGCGACGAGACCGGGTCGTGGGCCCCGCCGAAGACGGAGCGGGACGGGTTCTGGGAGAAGTCGGGCGGGGAAGCGGGTCCGGGTCCGGTCGGATTCCCGTCGGGATTGAACCCTGACAAGACGGTTTGCAAGAGCGGTGGAGGCGGCGGGTGTGATTACGAGACGGTGCAAGCGGCGGTGGATTCCGCGCCGGACAATCTGCCGAGCGGCGGACGGAAGTTTGTTATCCGGATAAAGGAAGGGGTTTACGAGGAGATCGTTAGGGTTCTGTTGGAGAAGAGGAATTTGGTGTTCCTGGGTGACGGGATGGGTCGAACCGTTATAACCGGGTCGTTAACCGTCGGTCAACCCGGGATTTCCACTTACAACACGGCCACAGTCGGTAATACGCTGACCCATCTTAATTAATACAATGAATGAAATGATTAGTATATAACTACTAATGTCAGATTTCTACAATAATTCAAAGTTTAGTGTCAAATTTGGAAACGTTGAAAAGTTTAGGTATCAAACCTATAGCTAATGTGCTAAATATACTGCAATTGCTCAAACAGCACTCTTGTTGAACATAGCAACAATATCCCCATGATTGATTTCTGCAGCGGTTCTTGGAGATGGATTCATGGCGAGAGATTTAACGATCCAGAACACAGCTGGAGCTCCCACCCACCAAGCAGTGGCCCTGAGAGTCGACAGCGATCTGTCGCTGATCGAAAACTGCGAGCTCCTTGGCAACCAAGACACCCTCTATGCCCACTCCCTCCGCCAGTACTACAAGTCCTGCCGGATTCAGGGCAATGTAGACTTCATCTTCGGGAACTCCGCCGCGATCTTCGACAACTGCACCATCCTGGTGGCTCCGAGGCTGGTGAAGCCGGAGAAAGGCGAGAGCAACGCAGTGACAGCGCAGGGCAGGACGGATCCTGCGCAGTCCACTGGGTTCGTGTTCCGTGACTGCCTGATTAATGGCACGGAGGAGTATATGAAGCTGTACCGTGGCAAGCCTAAGGCGCACCGGAACTATCTTGGCAGGCCGTGGAAGGAGTTCTCCAGGTACTGGATCATGACTATCAACTGAGTCCCCTAAATGAAAATTGACCTTATGTTATGTCAGTGATGTCAAACTTCATTATTTGCAATTTTCCAATGCTGCAGAACTGTGTTCATACGCTGCAACTTGGAAGCACTTGTGACAAGGCAAGGGTGGATGCCATGGAGAGGGGATTTCGCGCTGGCGACGCTGTACTATGGCGAGTTTGAGAACTACGGGGATGGGGCTAATGCGTCGGAGAGAGTACCGTGGAGCAGCCAAGTGCCTGCTGAGCATGTAGATGCCTACTCTGTCCAGAACTTCATTCAAGGAAATGAATGGATTCACAACGAGTCCTCTTGAGATCGATCGTGGTATTCTTCTTCTTCTTTCAAATTGCAGATAGGTTGGGTAGTAAACTTTGCAGAAGTAGAAGCTTAGAGTTGTATATATGTTATCTAGGATCAGAATTTACCGCAAGGAAAGTGAAAGAGCCATTAACATGAGGATGAGAGCTATCGTCACAAGCACATTGATTCCATATGTTTTATAACTTCCTTGGTCTGTAACTTATTCATACATTGCACATATATGAAGATGACGACATTATACATATAATTTGAAGTTCTAAAACGCAGTAATCTCGAGCCCTCCCTTTGCAGCAGCAGGGCAGCTGCGCACAGGGGCATCGAACCTACTGAACAGCTTGTAGGACGAGACAAGCGAGATCGCAATGAAGAAGAGAACCACGACGAATGTCAGGACCAAGGAGGCCATGGCCTTGTGGCAGAACACACCAAACGAGCCACAGACCGCGCTCCACGTAATGTCAAGGTCGCCCTTGTCAGCAAGGTAGAGCACCTCGGCCGAGACAGCAGCTGCCGCCAGGATCAAGTAAGTGAACACCTGGTCAAGGAGGAAGAAGGTCCAGGCCGATCCCGCAGTGGTGGCCGGGCGACGCGGCATTGCCACCACGACGGCGGAGAGGAGGGCGTAGCCTGCACAGATGCCGTTGGCGTGTACCAAGTACCTGCATGTGTCAAAATGTACGCTATTATAAAAGAAACATTAGTCTTTGAAGCTTTCTGTAAAACTACTCTTGTTTATCTAACTGATTGTTGGCCGCAAGGTTCGAATTCTAAATTCTCCCGCATTACAACTAGACCAACCCTTTTGAGGAGCCTACCCGTGATGCTATTGCTAGTAGCCAGAAAAGGAAATGATACCTACTTCTAACCTCACATCCGCCATTAATGATTCCCATAGCCACCAATTTTGATCCTTTCTAGCTCATCTATAATTCAATACATCTCATCTGATCGATACCAACCCAACATGCATTTAATGGCAACTATACAGAGACGGGGTTTGATCAACGTAATCAATCAAACATTTACTGTCTTACTAAGATAGAAAATGCAAGGAAAAAAGGGGATTAAGAATGGGGACCTGAAGGCAGCGAGATCAGAGTAAGAAAGTGAGCCGAAATCGTTGGTCTGGGAGTTCTTGAGCATGACTACCAGAGCTGACACGCACAACCCCACGGGAACCAACCGGAGAATGCTCTCCGCCGTCCGCATGCTGCCGCTGGCATGATCCTGCAGCTCTTCCCGGTTACCGGCTGCGGTGGAAGTGTTCATGCCCATCATTGTTCCGCTTGCTTTGGTCTTCTCCATTGTTTGGTTTTCCCCTCCAAAGTACTCTGTCTGTACTATAACTTAAATTTCAGGGCTCTCTACCTCCCTCCCTCTCTCTCTCTCAATGTGTTAGAAGTTGCAAGGAGTGAACAGATACAATCAAGGACAAGGAGGAATTGAAAGTGAAACCCTGTTCTTATATTGTGGAGGAAAGAGTGATGATAAGAAAGAAACAAATGGGCGGTTGTAATGCCATAAATGAGCTGAGGGGAGCTTTTAATTTGAGGAGATGATGGGTTGGTGAGGGTGCATTAAATGGATTTTGATGGAGTGTGTGTTTGTTTGCCCTTCTTTGAATTTCTATGAGTTGTAAAAGTTGTGTTTGTGATATCGTAACATATGTAGATTCGTATCGTAATGTGATTTATCGTTCCGCATGAGTACCGTTGAATTTTTATTTATATCATCCTTGTACGTCTTCATGAGACAACTGACAACGTATGTCAAAGAACAACCCGCAACACGATACATACATCCGAGCCCTTGAAGATTGGGCTATTAGGACTCCGCTTAGCAAAAAATTGGATACCAAATCCTTTAAATATATACATTCTAGCATAATTCTTGAAATATAGGACCTCATACTCTCTGAAATACTATCCCTATCAACTCAGAAATTTGTAAGGATCCGTCCATTCAAAGTGTGGCTACGCCACTCCGGTAGATCTAAAAAAATGATATTAACAAACGCAGCCTTATGTATCAACATCCATCAGTCATCGATGAGAGGAAATGAATCGTTTACTGGTCCAGAAATGAAGTGGGAAGGTCACGCATATCAACATGCATGGGCCTTCACTTACTTCCATTCTCTCCATTTATTAAAGCTCTATCTATCTATCTATTCATTCATTTATGTTTTCTCCATAATAATAGTACTGTAACGTGCTGTGCTGTGCTGCCACAGGGTACCACGCGTAAGCTTAACATGCGGCTAGCAAGTGTCTCGAGCTTGTGCATCAGACCATCAGTGCATGTAATGTAATTGGACCTCCCCTTGGTTGGAGATAACATGGCGATAACTTGAAGAACTTCACCCTATCTTCTTCTTCTTCGAGGGATGAATATTCTTTTGAAGATATCAAACAGTAAAAGATGAAAATGTTGTTTCTGAGGTGAGAATACTATAGAGTGAAAATCTTTCTAGTTTCTACTGGACAACTTCCGAATCACTTAAATAGTAATGTTACATTTAAGTGCTAACTGCACTGGAGGATCTGAAACTACACCCAACACTGCCAAAATGGTTCAACATTACAGTACTGATACACCACTCAACCACAGTAGACTCATGAATGGCACATTTAAGTGCCCCTTCCATAAGGCACACCAACCCTACAATCCTAAAGCCACATACAAACATCAAAGTGCCTTTCCTTTATTTCCTCAACTCACAGCACTTAAAAAATACAGACTAGCTTAGCTCCATTTGGACTTGGAACTAACAATAGGAGAAGAATCTATAGAAGACTCTTCACTTACTCAATCCCAAGCCTCTTTTTCATCTGCAGAACGAACTCATAGTTCTTCTCGGGCTCGGGAAGGGTTTTCGACACGCTCTCGTGCTGCATGCACCTCTTGGCCCATGCCATCAGCTTGGGGCAGTGGGATTCAATGCTGAAGTTGCCACTGGCTTCATAGGTGTGGAACCACGAGTAGAATGGTATCATTGTTACATCCACATAGTTCATCTTCTCCCCTCCGTAATATGGCTTGTCGCCGAGCTCTGCTTCCAGTGTCTTCAGGTACCCGATGAACTCCTCTGTTGCTGACTTCTGCTCGTCCCCTTTCGTCGTCCATAGCTTCCTTCCTGTATCGTAGATCTGCAAATTATACCATTCAAACAGTTGAATAGGTAAGTTGAGCATGTTATGATTGTTCTATTTTTCTTTGATTGCTGAATTCAGAGTTCCAATCATCAGATAAAGTATACCCCTTTGTTCTTCATATCCTAGTAGATGACAAAACTAATTTTCTAACTACACACTATGTTTGAAGTGCAATTTAATCCATTCAAACAGTTGCATAGGTAAGTTGAGCATGTTATGATTGTTCTAATTCGTCTTTGCTTACTGAATTCAGAGTTCCAATCATCAGATAAAAGTATACCGCTTTGTTCTTCGCATCCTAGTAGTAGACATGCAACACTAATTTTTTTACTACACACTATGTTTTAAGCTTTTGAATAATAGCATCACCTATCCAATGGCCAAGAAAGACCTTCCTTTCCAAAAGCTTGGTGATGTTTGGAAGTTTCAACAGCTACATTGCTAAGAGTTAAGAGAAAACATGAAGTAAAATACGAATTTGGTCACCGCGCTCGCCTATTCGTATCAAGCTGGATACTGGACTAGAAATTTATAAAACTAAAGTATCGAACTTGTCCTAACAAATAATCATTTGTATCAAGCTACCGAACAACAAAAAATGAGTCACTAAGGGGTCGTTTGGAAGTTACAATTGTTAAATAGATATATTGTTGGAAATGCATGTATAATATTATACATGTATTGTCGAATTTGATGTATTGTAGAATACAACGTTTGGTATGTGTGATTGTGTATGTCACATCAGCTAAAAACTGAGACAAAACAATCTCAACTCAACTGTCTCAACAATCGCAACTAAAAGTTGAGATATAACAATCACTCAAAATGAGTGATATTTTCTGTCACATCATAGAAACAATCTATATATTGTTTCTACTAAAAAAACGATGCATTGTAAACAATACATGCATAATGACAATCTCAACAAAACAATCGCAACTTCCAAACAACCCCTAAGTAGGTTATTTCTCTTTATCAAATTGAGTATTTTAACCCCAAATTATCACAAATTCCAACCAAGATCTCCTTACAACCATCATTATCAACTCCTTACAGCTACTTCCAGCTCCTTCAATTCAAGTTCCCACCTTTACCTTTGAACAAATCACAAAGAAACAAACCCCTAATTTTTTTTTATCATAACAAAACCCTTAGTTAATAAACTCAGTAAGAATCATCCTACAAAAAGGAAAACAAACAAAACAGACATACAAAAGAACGAAAAAGGATCAAATTCGAACCTTCTTATCGACGAAGTCAGCCCAGAACCTAGCTTGAGCTCTGAGGTAAGGATCAGAGGGCAACAATGGAGCCTTGTCGTGCCAAACCTCATCCACATACTGAACGATGATGTTGGACTCGCAGACGGGCTTCCCGTTGTGAATCAGAACCGGGATCTTCTTGTGAACCGGGTTCATCTTCAGCAGCAGCTCGCCCTTGTTCCTCAAATCTTCGTCCCTGTACTCGTACTTGATCCCCTTCTCAGCCAGAGCGATCCTCACCCGCATCCCGAACGGGCTCACCCATTTGTCCAGCAGTATTACCTCGTCCGCCATTGATCCTCTCGATCGATGCTCTGAGTCTGGAGCTTTCTAGGGTTTGTTTTGGTTTGACTTAGCCTCACTCGGAGAGTGTACAAATGGGCTTTGGCGTTTTATAAGCAGAGGGCCACGTGGCATTGCACGAGCCACTCGCCTATCTCATCCATCTTCGCGGTCTTCTGTAGCGCCACGTGGTCAGAAGGTCTGAAATTAATCCAGTGGTCTAGAGACCACCAGTAGTATCGTGGTTTTGCGCCAAACCCGAAATGAAGTCAATGACTGCTCTGGGCTGTGGGACGACGATACAATTATCTGCAGCTGCATCAAGAAGCGTAAAGCTGGTTTCGTCGATAGCCCGATTTAGCTCCGACTCTTCCCCATCTCTGAAGGGTAATTATCTGCGTTGCCGATCAGTTGCTTCTGCTTCTGTTCGCGCCATGGGTTCCTCTGCTTCTTCTCCCAAACCAGAAAACGTTCGAGGTCTGTTTCTCTCGCTCTTTCTGCTCATTTGGTGGGATTTTGGTCATGATCTTGCTTCTGGTAACACTTCTTCTGGGTTCAATTTGGGTTTATCATTTCGTGTCGGTCTTATCTAGATTCGCAGAAAGCCGCTCCATCGAGTGATGAAGAATGGAAGAAGAAGCTCACGCCGGAACAGTTCTACGTAACTCGACAGAAGGGAACTGAGAGGGCTTTCACCGGGTAATCTATGGACAATAACAGTGACTAATTCAATTCGTGCCTATGGGTGGTTTGCAAATCTGTATAATTCTGCTTTTGATGTTTGTGAACTATCAGGGAGTACTACAGCACAAAAACTCCTGGAACATACCACTGCATATGCTGCGACACACCGCTCTTCGAGTAAGTGTCTAAACAAGTTTCGAGATCTCGAGAATGCAAATGGATATGCTACATTAACGAATTTCACCCTGCAGATCATCGACCAAGTTCGACAGTGGAACTGGGTGGCCGTCTTACTACCAGCCAATTGGGAACAATGTGAAGTCGAAGGTTGACTTGTCGATCATCTTCATGCCCAGGACGGAAGTCCTGTGTGCCGTCTGTGATGCTCATCTCGGGCATGTGTTTGATGATGGTCCGCCTCCTACTGGCAAACGCTACTGCATAAACAGGTAAAGAAATGCAGAATATATGGTTCCTCCGTTGAGCTCTTTAGGTTTCCTGAACCATTGAGCATGATTTTTTACAGCGCTGCACTGAAGCTAAAGCCTATGGAGAAATGAAGCTTCTGCTAGAGACGTTTGAGATCGAGCATCTTGATGATAATGTCATTTTGATTGATGAGTATGTGTAAATGCTGCTGTAAGAGGGTTTTATAACTGGAAAAGTATAGTCTCTTAGCTAATATTCATAAACTGATGACACAGAAGAAGCATTTAGCTTTCTATATGCAACAGTTGTTTGACACTCAGATCTTGAATGGAACATCTTCCTATCCTCTGGCCTTTCAGATTACTAAAATTTTCATTTCAAGCCTTTCTGAAGCTAGAGAACATCTGTGTAGTCTTTACCTGTTCTTCAAGAAACTTGGGCAGTTCGAAGAAGATTGCTAACTGACACCCGATCAGGCATACTGGGGATGGCTCCCTTGACTTGAACACAAAGGGAAGCTGCTGCAGCTGTATGAGAAGCAAAATTTTCCGACAATCAGGGGTTTAAGGAATGAAACATGCAAGCGAACGAAACATCTTTCATCTGGTAAATTTTGTAGGGTGGTTCCTTGACAATGGAATCAATGGTTTAACACAATTACAACAGGAGGATGGTTTATAGATAGAAGGGCAAGAATCATCACAGGGATTAGAGTCAAAACATACCAGCAAATTTCAGGCATTCTTCTTTCGACTTCCCTTCTACAAGTGCAACTGCAAAGGAAGCAGTAAAAGTATCTCCAGCTCCTGTAGTGTCCAGAATTCTTGCTGCTGGTATGATAGGCTGCTTCATTGACTTTTCTCCTTCTACAAATAAGGCAGACCCTTTGGAACCAAGCTTCATTAGCACCTGTTTGACTCCCTGTTAACACTCGCCACATCAAACAATGTCTCCCAAAGACCTATATCTTGTCGATAATGCATCAATCCGACAACTAATTAGGGACAAACATAAAAGTCTCTTCAAACGAAAGTTGAAAGGATGGACACCAATCTAGACAGGACTTGATGGTATGCACAAGTATACCAAGCAGGAAGGTTACCAGTAGTCTCCAAGAGCATTGCCAAGTAATGCACAAATCACACCAAGCTTACAAAGTGAGATGCACAGATATACACAATAGAGGATTCGGGTATGCACAGGAAAATGATGATCAGATGACAAATATCAATGAACTGTCCAAAAATGTAAGCATTGAATCTTCCTCTGAGCAATAGTTCAGCTCTTATAGACAATGCACTTAACTTCAATGGGCAAATGCTGCACATGGTACAAGTAGTACTAACCATTTTGTGACACTTCTTGACAGCCTCTTCAATTTGCTCGAAGCTTTCAGTCGGCATCCCAGTGATTCGAGCAAGTTCAGTTTCATTCGAGCTAAAGATGTCCACGGATTTGAGCAATTCAGCTGGTATAGGCGTATCCATTCCACCGGCGTCCAAAATTACGGAAACACCAGCATCTTTTGCTGCCTAAAGAACCGATACAGGAAAATCTCAATTGGAGTGTTGAAAGCAAGGCCATCTGAGTAAATTTCCTTATGTAGCAACTAGCAAGATAGGAACCATCACAAAACCAGAGTAGAAATGAGATAATTTACCAAAAAGTTTTTGCGCATGCAGTTATCAGAGGTTGATAATATGGAAAAGTTTCAAATCAGGATTACAGCGTCATAGACCGCCAACAAAATCTTAAAGCTAAACCAAAGATTGGTACTTTCTACTCTCCAGGTAATTTCTTCATTCATGCTTAGTCTGTATATCTACATCCATCGAAATTCCAGAAGTATACTTTCTATCGAACACCCTGTTAGAGACCAACCTGGTCATGGAACTCTCGCTTATATAATGCATCACATTGTGCATTGATGGAGAATCCGCAGAACGCTAATGCTGTTCATTAGGCAAGTTTGTTGCTTATGTTCTATCAATATCAAATTCGAGAGCTAGTTACCACGACCAAATTGGTATTTAGCACCAACATGTAGCACTAGCTAATAATCCCATAGAAGATGAACAATGCCCCTCGATTCCAAAGGACTCACCTGAGCAACTTGGATGTTGACAGAATCAGGAATCTCTCTCTGAAGCAAAACAATCCCTGCACTCTTCACAATCTCCAAATCCTGATCCCCCAGCTTCTCAGGCCAGCAGCTCATGTTAGCCCCACCAACAATGATAATGGAGTTCTGCCCACCAGACTGCAGCATCACCACGGCATGCCCAGTCGGCACACCATCTCCAACGTTCCTCAAATGATCGAGACGCACCCCGCCATTTCTGAGCGCTTCAGCGATCAAATTCCCGTGAGCATCCTCCCCAACCTGACCCACGAAGTACGTCGGGTAGGAAAGCTTGCCGCCGCAGGCAGCCTGGTTGGCGCCCTTCCCGCCGGCGAGCGTCTGGCCGTTGCTGGCCGAGATCGTCTCTCCTTCCTTGGGCAGCCTGTCGATTTCGACGTAGATGTCGGCGTTGGCGGAGCCGACCACCACCAGGGGCGGCGAATCGTGGTGCTGGGACGCCGGCGATTGCTGAGGGTTTTGGGAGGATTTAACGGCGAGCGAAGGGAGAATTAGGGATTGTCGACGATTTTTGTTGATGGATTGAATCGGGATGGAGCATTTTTGTAATGTTTGTTGTTCTGTTGGGTTTTTGCCGGGGAGATTAGAAAAGCAATGGTTAGCTGGGGAAAGGGTTAGTCCCTTCATCGCTCTTTTCCCCCGAATTGGTCTTTTTGGCCGGTGATTTGTGGATACGCCGGACGGCTACAGATTATTATTCAATCAAAGCAAAGGGCTTTCGTTTTTATTTTTATTTTTTGCCTTTTAAATCATTATGTATGAACTCGGGGTGACGAGAGTTTGGTCACAGGCGGGCCCTCTTCGCTGACCAATTTACAGGAATGACCACTGAACTTTGGGATTAGTGACAAATTAGTCATAAAGTATTAGTTTTACGAACTTATGGTAAAGTTTGGAATAACTTATTATTTACTATATGTATCAGCCCGTTGGTCGGAATATTTGATTTTATAATTTAATTAACTATCGCAAATTAGATTTTTTCAATAATTTTTCAAATAAATATTTTATTCATCAAATTATTCAAAGTCTGGCCATAGTATGAGCACGTTTATCACGATATTCATACTATCAATGAAATTCTTTTGCATGTTATTATGTCGTTATATTCTTATAACTTTCGCGAAAAGTAAAAAGGTACATGGCTTCTCATAATCTATATCATTGGCTCTCCTTGAATTCAAAAATTATAAGTACGTTTTGTACGCTATATATCTTTTCGTTTAATTATTACTCAATTTGTAGCTAGGGCTGTCAATTTGGTTTGGTTTGGTTAACCAAACCATTAAGTATGAAAAACCAAAAACCAAATCCCAAAAACCAAAACCATTAAGGCCCTTATTGGTTTTTGGCAACCAAAAACCATTAAGGGCCTTACTGGTTTTGGTTTTGGTTTGGATAACCAAAAAACCACCATGTACTCATACACTCATATTTATTCCTATTTCCCACCTTTTTATTGAATAAACTCATAATAATGGTAAATGGTCATAACAATTATTGGTTGGCATGCGTGTCAAAAGAAACAAAAAAAATATTTGTTGATAAATAAGTTTATTCTTATTGGTTTCTTAATGGTTTCTATTGGTTTTTCGGTTTTAACCAAACCAAAATCATTAAGTTGCTTATTGGTTTAAAACCAAAAAACTGAAACCATTAGCTTTCCAATTGGTTTGGTTTCGGTTAAAACCAAAAAACCAAAACCAAATGGACAGCCCTATTTGTAGTTGCATTTCTATAACATAAAAAATAATTTGTCGATGAGAGTAGTCTACTGAAATGTTACAAAAGTAAAGCCATCATCATCATCCAATTTCCATTTCAAGTGGTGGAATTCAAACACAACACACACTGTGAAATTAAGCCAACGAGAAAGAACACCGAAGGGAGGTCGGGGTAGAAACGAAACGAAACGATGACCATAGTAAGTAAACTGGGGGTCGTTTGGAAGTTGCGTATATTAAATCGTTGTATTGTTATGAATCACTATCATATAAATGCATGCATTGATACAAATAGATGCATTTTGAAATTATATTGTTTGGTTGTTGAGATTATAATTTATGAATTGATTATTATAAAGTTACTTTAGAAGGAAATGTCATATTTGTTCTTCACTTTTAATATAAAACAAAAAGAACTATGGACATAATTGGAAAAAGTAAAGGTGCTCAATTATTAAACCAACAATCACACAAAGCAATACATGCATTGTTTTGTAACTTGACACTTCCAAATGTTGTATTGTGGACAATGCATGTATTTAACAAATACAACACTAACAATCGCAACTTCCGAACGACCCCAATTATATATTAAGCTAAGCTACCTCGATCGACTCATGGTGGTATGGGATGGGAACGAGGACCAGATCGTTTTTCCTCCTCAAATCCAAGCCAAGCCTCTCCGACATGTCCAAATCTGGAGGCTTCATCTGATTTGGGAGTTCCCAGTCGAAACGATAGAGCAGATTCGCGAGCACGAGCTTGACGATGGTAGTCCCGAAATGCATGCCCGGACAGATTCTTCGGCCGGCTCCAAAGGGGATGAGATCAAAATGGTGGCCCTTGTAGTCGGTGGAGGTATGAAGGAACCTTTCGGGATCGAAACATTCTGGGTTGGTCCAGTGGTCGGGGTCTCGTCCCATGGCCCATGAGTTGAATATAACTTTGGTCTTGGCCGGAATCTGATACCCATTGATCACCACCGTCTCTTGATTCTCCCTGGGAAGGTTCAAAGGCCCCGGAGAATGGAACCTCAGCGTCTCTGTTAACACCAACTCTAGATACTGCAACTCGTTGATGCCTGCTTCATCCACGATCTCTCCTTGTCCATCAAACCTGTGCCTCACCTCCTTTTGTGCTTTCTCCATCATTCTCGGATGTTTCATCAGTTCTGACATTGCCCATTCTACCACTGCGATCCACGGACTAGTTCCCGCCATCAATAGGTCCTGCGCGCAATTCATCATGTATATATATGAAAATCGTTCGTTCTAGAAAACAATAAATAGGACGGACGGACGGATACTCACCAAGATGACAGCTTTAATGTCAGAGTTGGTGATGGGTGATTGGCGATGTTCGTTGTTCTCCTTGAGATTCAGAAGAAAATCAACCAGATCTTCTTCTTCTTCTTCATCGTCGATATTCTTGGCTGCTGATCTTTTCGTTACGTGGTCGTTGATTACGGTTTCGAGGATGGCATCCAGCGCGGCGTGAAGCTTCTTCAGCTCGCCGTGGGCTCCCGTGATTCGCCGCAGCAACTCGCTGGAAGGGAACAGGTCGACGAGGTCGAACCCTCCCATGGCCTTCATCAGCTGGCCCGCCAGCGAGAAGAACACCCCAACTTCCTCCTGCCCCAGAGAGCTCATCCCCAGGACCAGACGCGAATTGATGGAACACCCCAAATCGAACAGCGATCGGCTCAGGTTGATGGGCTCATGATCAGCACCAGCCGGGGGCGGAGGGAGACTGTAAAGGGCTGGGTCTCCGGACTCGTCACTCTGATAAATTCGTCACTAAATTAATAGTTTGACTAGGTGTAATAGTTCATTAATTCATACGAAAAAAAATAAGGGGTGGTTTGGATTGGGGTGTTATTTGGGGTCAAATAACATGTTTGGCTGACAAAAAGTGGGATGTGTTATTTGGATGTAAGTGTTTTGCCTAATAACAGGTTTGAGACCAAATAACACAAAATGTGTTGTTTGCCAAATACTTGGGAGGGACAGGTATTTGCCAAATAACAGGTTTTATATTATGTGGTATTTGTGTGGTAATTGACCACAAACAACAAGTTTGTCAAATACTCAATCCAAACGACCCCTAAGTGTCTCCAATTGAGAATTAGTTGGTCGAGAAGTTTTCTTTGTTCAAATCTTTACGCTCGTATTTATTAAATACAAAATATTAAAATTTGTCAAAAGTGTTGACGCTCTTACGAAAAGAGGGTATATATTAGTAAATAGTATAAGATACATAATTAAATCTCTCACAACAACTCAAATTATTGATACCTTTTAATAAATAACATAATTGGTTGATATAAGGTTCATTACTAAGTTTCTCTCTCTAACAACTCGAGTTATCGCGATGCTAAATCATGAATAAACCCGTTGGTATACGATAAAGTGATCATATTCTTCAAAAGTTTTCTAGTGCTAATGTATTTTAGTTTACCAAACTTTCCCAAAAATATACGATGAAACATTTTAAAAATGAACAAATACTATCTATATATTAACACTTTTTTGAATTTGTTTTCTGATGAGTGAACCCACCTTAGATGAAATCCCGGCGTTGTCGGTGCGTGAGATGGATGCGTGAATCCACTTGCACACCTCTTGCTCCATGACGGGATACAGCGACTTCACCCGCCCGGTTCCCAGCAGCCCCACATCGCAAACCTTCCTCATCTTCCTCCAGTACTCGCCGTAGGCCGCGAACGCGATGTCGCGGCCTCCGTAGAACACGATGCTGGCGGCGGGCAGGAGCGGCCGGGCGGCGAAGCTGGCGTCGTGGGCCTGCAAGAACAGCTTGGCCCATTCTGCCGAGGAGACGACCACAATGGGGACCTCCCCGAACCGAAGGCGCATCACGGGGCCGTACTGCCTGGCCAGGTCCCGCAGGCGCCGGTGCGGGAGCGACGACCCAAGCGCCATCTGGTGCAGGTTCCCGACCAAAGGAAGCGCCCATGGCCCTGGAGGCAGCCGAGCTGCTGGTGGGGACGACGAGGGCGGCCTTTTCACAACGCAGGTCCATATTGAGACCAGGAAAACACTAGTGGCGGCGATGAATATTGCGGACGAGATCATGGTCAGCCAAGGGGCTAACTGCTGCGCCCCAACTTCTAGTAGTATGTTATCCATTGTTGTACGTTACCCCTCGCTCTGTATCGCTTGTATTAATAAGGGGAGGGACAGACGGTGCGGTGACTGTGATAATAACACTAGTTTTGAAATCGGAGGTTTCGGGTTCGAACTCGAATTGACATTATGGGGGCGAGCGAGCGAGATGTAAAGAAGATTGATTAAAGTCCGATCCTTGCACGCGTGGATCTCTCCCAACAATTTGAGTTGTCGAAAATAATTGGTTTATGACATGGTATTAGAACTGGCTTGTTATTAAGGTTGTGTGTTCAAGTCTTCACAACCTTCCTTCATTAATAAGATCAATCATTGTCTTAAAAAAAACTCATGTATTGAATAAATCAAGTTATTGTGACAAGTTAATTTATTGAAGTGAAAATGTTTATTTAACTTTTTAGGGTTTCGATACGGTAACGATCAATTTGAGTATATTATTAAAGTGACTGTAAAATATTAGAACGTATTTTGCCCAAAAATGAAAATTTATTAGTTACTTTAGGAAAAAAAATTGCAACTGACCAGATTTAAAAATTAATAGCGCAAATTCATTTTACATATTTTTATTGTTGCATACTACAAAGTAGCTAAACCCACATTTTCATCGAAAAAATTGACTCCGATTACTGTTCACTTAAGAATTAATCTCCTAAGCGCTGCTCCGTTCCCTTCTGTAATTAACTTTTCCCTGGGTATTTTGTCTTGGACTGATCAAGTAAGTCAATTTAATGGCAACCTACTACTTTTTTCAATTTTCCTAACCAATCTGATTTGTTCTTCGAGTTCACAAATCTTGGCGGGTATTGGCGTAGAGAGAAAAAGGCATATGCTTTCAGCTTATGGACAAATACAATTTATTAATCAAATTTTTCTAAATAATTGGTCAAATTTTTCGAAATATAAAATATTAGCCAAATTTTTTGTAATGTATTAAAATATTTGTCATTTGTCTTTTACTTTTAGTAATTTCGTAACTCTTTTTTCTTGGTTAAAATACTAAAATTCTAGAATGTTCACCACGTATCTCTTTTTAGTCAGTATTATGTTGCCAAGTTAATATTACTAACAATACTGCTAACGGGCAGTTAAACTATGAGGTAATAAAAGGAAAATCCTAAGTAATTTGACGAAGTTTACATATAATTTGGATAAGAACGAGCTAACAATGGGGTGGATCAAGACAAGTCGGGTCGATTAGAGTACTCATACCCGCTCCGCCCAAAATAGGCCAAACAAATCTAACAAACGGGTCAAATCTTTCTAGATTAATCTGTAAATTCGAGCAAGAGATTTTCTTCAAAGTTGGTCATCATGCCATCTTCTCTTGGCTCCAAGAAGATGAGAAAGTGATAAGAGATGTCGTTGCTGTTTGGTTACAGCGTTCGACTCGTCACTGTCTCGTTGCTCGAGGGTTATTCTTGTCATTAAAAAAAATGTACAAAGAACCCTAACTTTACTTAAAAAGGGGAACTAATAATATGTACAAATAAATATTTATTATATGCCTCGTTCCGTCGTTCGTCCTAATTTACCGAAAGTGGGAAGGAATCTTTTTGATTGCGGTCCAGCACATTCTCCTCACCCACTATTATTCCCAAACAAACGAATGGAAGTGGTTGCTGACTAGTGATGGTATCATGGTAATTGGATTTTTATCAATTATTACCATTTTTTTATAACTCTAAATGCCCGGCGGCACCCAAATTGCTATCATTATTAATGCTGACAGCTGAGTAGTAATAATGTAATCCTATAGGCTATAACTAATCAAGTACTTAGTTAGTAAAGTTTACGTATATGACAAACGACAAGTTAACGTGCGGCCAACTATCCTTTTTCTTACGTCCTTTCTTTTTCATATGAAATTAAAGTGACACTTGAAATATCACTTTAGGTTTAGGATATAGATATAAATTAAGTTGATTAATCAAAAATGAAAATTGAAATATCAAACACCAAAGAAGTATTTGTCTGAGAGTTAGTGAGCAAACTAACCATAGTGGAAAAGTCATCTCATCATTCAGATTTTAGGTTTTCGTATGTTTAATTCGGAAAAATACAACAAATTTGTTTAGTTTAATTGATAATGATTCTTGTCTTTGTCTGAAGAGATCATAGTTCAAATCCTGAAGTTTATATATATATTTCTATGAATAAGAAATACATAAATAATTGTACATGAAAATCTATAATTCACACTTTTGCTTTTGTTACATTAAATTTGGTGAAAAACTAATCTCAACTCTGGTATAATATATTTTTTATACAAAAAAAATTACATTTGTTTTGATTCTCATAAGCAGATATAAGTCTGACTTACCAAGAAGAAGGGGAACTAATGGGATTAGTGACGGATCCAGAAATTTTATATAGGGGTGTCCTCTTCTAAAAATTAATTTAAATTTATAATTATATAATTATTAAATTAGAAAATATCTGACTTGTCCAAAGTACGACAAAGCACATGACGTGTTTCGTATTTTGAAAAAAAAATATAATCGGTGTCTAACAATGCTCTACAAATGTCTCTCGATATATCCCACTAGACAAGGGGAGCCCGTAATTGGGTTTAATCGCTAACTTTTGAACATAATTGGGATAAGAAATAGCTTTTTACTATTAAATTTGGATTTGAAATACAAGAACAAATGAGTTATAGTCTAATGAAATATATGTTTACTAATAGTAGCAGCGACCCAAGTTCATATCACATAGGCAACCACTTAAATGTTTACATTTACCCGTACACAAACTACTATTGGAGAATTATAATCATTTTTTCCAAATTTTAGGAGTGTCTTGCTGCCACTTAAATATTTTTTTTTTACTTATATGCAAACTACTATCAGGAGTTGAATAATCGTGCTCCCAAATTTTAAGGGTGTCCCGGGACACCCCTTGAGCCCCATGGATCCGGCATTGAATGGGATCAGATACAATGCATAACTTATGAGTCAATAAAATCATCTACTTATCATTTATAGAAGACTTCTAACTTACTCCCAATTAATTTTAACCAAACAATCATCTTTCATTTTAAGTGGCATTTAAAAAAATTAAAAAAAAAATCAAATTAATTGTGTTATTCAAATTAACATCCACTTTGATATCTTTTGGAGCAAAAATTTTGAGATATTTATTACCGGTCCATACTATGTGATAATGAGACTATACCACGTGGGGGAACTGTATCATGGTCGTAATATATAGGAGTGTAAAAGGATTATATACAATTATAGTAGGAATATACTAACTTTTATTTACCACTTTTCATCATCGTATACCACCATTAATTACCACCATAGGCCTATACCCGAGCCTTTTCTTTACCAACACGAATCTAGTGGAGAGAAAAGACTCTTTTTCTAATCCCATATTTTTAAAATGGACCCTATCTCATTCTTTTTAACTAAGAATTTAAAAAGTTTTGCATAGAAATTATCACACATTGATTAACATTATATATATCACTATCATCTTATGATATTACCACAGTGATATGATGTCATCAAATTATTATGTCAAATATAAGACATCATACCAACATCATATCACTATCATACCAATATCATATCAACATCATATCATTATGATATCATAAACAACTTTTAGTGGTAATATCGTGATGTGATAGTGGGCGCACGGCTAAGGTCTAATTCGGTATTTTATTCCGTTTGATGACATAAAAATTTTGCTCCAAAAAACATCAAAATTGATATAATCTTGTAGAGGATAAAAAAATTTGATTTTTCTATGCAAATTTGTTTCAAATTAGATGTAAAATGAATGAGATTAGGTATTTAAAAAATGCTTTAACAACCGCTTGGAGATCTGCACCAGTAATCTCGTGAATATAATGTTAAGATTTAGAAAATTAGAATCTAAAGTTTATGTGTAAGCTTAGCTATGATATCATACACCATAATATGGTTAATTCAAAGTATAGATAACATTAATGGTTATCATACGCAATGCAGTTAAAAGCGTGATTCTACTTAAAAGTGGAAAAGGGGTAAAATCGAAAAGCGGTGAATCAAAGCGTAAAAGCGTAAGTATTTTATGCATCCTGTATAATAGTTCAAAATCTGTTAAGTACGCCATAAACTATGTAAAATATGAGTGCACAGAGTTTTTATAAAAGAATAAGTACCTGCAATTCATATCTAAATTAAAACAAGCTCATAACATCTTAACAATAACTTCATAAACATAAATCGTAACTCACAAACGAGTTAAGAATCCAAATTCTTACAAATTGGTGTAAGCTTACATAATAACATAGGAATTTAATAATCCAAGTTCTCGAAATCAAAGCACACAAATGTTATAAAGGATAGAAGGAAGCTTTAACCTTAACGTTACTGAAACTCATGGGATCACATCCCCTCCAAACACCCATGAACTCAAACCTATGTGATATACTTTCCGAAAACATAATCGAAACGAACGAGGTAAATTAAACTAGATATTCATCAAAACCTTAAAGCACATTTTGTTTACCACGAAATTACTCGTACGCTTTTCCCACTGGAAGCGCGCAAACGGTAGGGAGAAAAGACACACGAGATTCTTTTTAACTGAAAATTTGAAGGAAACCAGCTAGCTAGCTGCATGACATTATATTACATATTGATCGCGATGTCTGAGGTTGATCAAAGCGGCACAGGGTCGATGAAGAGGGCGGCAATGCGTTCCTTCAAAAGCTGGGGATATGTGAAGGCATCGGCCTTCAAATAAATCACACTGATTGATCGGGCGAAGTTGATCACCGGAGACAACAGAGCCGCCGGGAACGGGGTTATTGGTTTCTGGCAGCACATAACCTCAGTCATGTCTTTCCAAGCATCTGAAATCCGGCCCAACAATGCTACTATCGCCTCCTCGTCGGAGACACCGTGCTCCTTGATGTAGCACTGAACCGCCGATGCCACGTGCAGCCTCTCTTGCTCGAACTGCATGCATGCATGATCCCAAAATTATTTCTACCACCAAATTACAACTAAATAATAATGACATTGATTTAGGTACGTACCGAGTAAGACATGATGTCGTTCTGGAGCCTGCAAATGGAAGCGGAGGCCAGCACCATCTTGTTAGTCTTATCGGTCACCCAGTGGAAGGCCTCCCTGGTGGCCAGTTCTGGTCCGATACCCAGATATGCAGATGCGCAGACGAAGAAATAAGAGCTGGTTATGTTTGCATGAGCCAGGTACTCCCTCAGAGTTGGAACATGGCCCTCAGTGCGCCACCATGCCTCAGCCAATAAGGACCGGCACCAGTTCTTGAACTACGTACGTACGTACAAGGAGGCAAACACATGACAGTCACATTCATAATTAGCTAGTGTCAGCTCCAATAACAAATTAATATATGATGCCATGCGAGCATCCGGAGTGACCCGAATCACGCTAATCCCTTAAATAGGGAATCGAACACAAGACCTCTCGGTCACAGAAGGCTCTGATACCATGTCAAGAACCAGTTGTTCCCAATAACTCGAGTTGTTGGGAGAAGGTTATGCCGGATCTTATACCACTCTCTAACACGCCCCCTCAAACGAAAGCCAACCCATGGGCTTGAAGTTTGCACAGGCTCATCATACCATGTGCTTGAAAGACAACGGTTAATATTGGGGGTCGTGGAGATTCGAGTTTTACGTGGTATCCTCGATCGATTGATTGATCGAGACTAATCCACGGTGAGCTCGGAACAAGCTCACGACTGATGTTTTATTATACGACTACATCTTGACGGCTTGCTTACGACATGTTCGTAGCTAAGCTTATATAGAGATAGACGTAGGGTTAAAACCCTAAGAACAACCAAGTTTCCTTATTTTACTTGAACAAGGAAAACTAGAGACTTGTAGGACAAGGAATTAATTACTTTTTGCCTAAGTAATTAATATCCTCAACACCCATCGTATATACGTATGTAATTGTAATGTACCTCTTGCTTGCAGTAGTCGAGGCCATAAGTGGGACCACTAGTTTCTGATACGGCCTGCTCCATTTCTTGGAAAAGGTTAAAGATGACGACCCGGTAGGCATCCTTCATCATCCCCTCAGGGAGTTCTTCCAGAGCCAAAATATCCAACCTGAAACGGAAACCCAACCCAACCCGAATCATACAGACCGAACAATGATGATTGATTTGGTCAACAATTCGATTGAGGGGTCGTTTGGAAGTTGTGATTTCAAATGGTGTATTGACCTAATTCATGTATTTGTGAGATTAAGTCGTTTTTTTGACTTATATAGAACTAGAATACATGTATTTACTTTTTGGAGGCCCCACCACAATCACTCAATATTGAGGGATTTACAATCTCTACTTTTTGTTGAGATTCTTCACAATCACTCAAAACTAACTTTTTTACCTTTAGAACAAAACACAATCTAAACCTCCAAACAAGATATTTGCCTAATACATCAATTGATTCAATACATCAAATGATAATACACTAATTGTCTCAATACATCAATTTGAAGAATCACAACTTCCAAACAAGCCCTAAGTTCATTTCAAACCGAACAATAGTCTGTTCGGCTCAGTTTCGCTGCAGTGCGGTTTAGTTTGAATTTATTGAACCACGTACATTTTTTTATTGAACGACATAGGCACCCTAAGATCCAATATCCTGAGATTTTTTTTATTTTTTATTATTATCTAAGGTTATTATAATGAGTATATCTAATCTATAGAATGATCTCTTCTAGATTTAGGTCCAATAATTGTGGCAAGTTATTGCTGTTCGTTATTTTCACCCCTTGTTAATTAGTTTTTACTCTAAGTACGCCTTCACTTCAGATAAAAAGTGGTACGGTTAAGAAATTAATTAATTTAACGTACCTCTGAATGGCCCCCGTGAGGATCTCAAGCTGTTCGTAATCACCAAAATTATCGTAGAAATCGTCCATGAGGGTCAAGACAGCTCCGCATTTGGTGAGTATGATCCTACCCACACGATGCTCGGGCTCGGGGTAAACAGTGTTGATCCAGAAATAGCACTCCACAAGTCTATCTCTTGCATATGGAAATTTGGTTGTCGTTTCAAGACTCGCCCACCACCTAATTGATACATATATATCATGAAGCTAGCTCGGAGTAATACCTTTAGATAAAGAGGTATCCCAAGAAAGATGAAAGCAAATTTATAAAAATCAAGCACATGCATATATATATAAACCATATTAGTCAGTATATAATATACCGACATTGTGAGTTCGTGGAGCTCCTGTTGATGAACTCCCTGCACCATGTTAAAGTCCAACTTTGCCAACTTCAAGATTATGGTCTCATTGGGGGAGGCTAAGGCGGCTTCTTGCTCTTCTGTTTCGGAGTAAACGTCGATGCGATGCCTAGCAAGTGTCCTAGGGACGCATTTCCATATAGGAAGGGCGAGGGAAAATTCAACTTGCTTCTTGAAGGACGAAGAGGTCTTGGGATCCTGAATAACTAGCTCCAGGTTCTTGGTTGTGAAGCTCAGAGCTTCATCCAGCATGTCTTCTTCGCCATGGATCGCCACATGTGCAGCCTCGTACAAGCTCAACAGTCCTTGCCCGTCCAATGCCAACGATTCTTTGAACTTCCCCTTGTCACCGTCCTTGAACTTTCTAAACACATCTGCATAATCAATTTGAAAAAATTACAACTCTAGAGTGGTTGAAAAGAGGTGATTATATAAGTATGCATTAATTATTGTATCCTATAATTAATTTTTCTACGTGTACATACCAGGAGAAACACGAAAGCCCTGTTGTCGGAGGAGTCGAAACCAAAGAGAGACATGGTGGAGATCAATATCATCATACTTTTCAATGAACGAGTCTCCTCCAAGACCAAGAGTGTACACTTTTTTCAGAGCTTCTTCAATCTCCATCTCGAAGTGATACCCAATCCCTAAGCACTGGATTGCATTAATCAGCCTCAACTTCTGTTTTATCGCCACCGTATCATCATCGGTATTATCGACTGCAATTGTCACCATCATCCGCACCTCTTCCTTCAAAGTTTCATATTCCCTACTTTCTGGGCCTAGAACAGGATGCCCCTAAAAAGACAAGAGGGAATCATATTGATAGATGTTGATGATATTGCGTTTTACAAGAATGATGTAATGTTAAACTTCGGATATATGATATATCTGTGATAGCAGTTCGAGTTAATTATATGGGATATCATTCCGTATATGACAATGAAAGCTCAAAAGTTTATGTTTCGAAAATTGTTTTAACACTTTGATTTATTTGCACATATATAGAGTGTGATCAATTCCTGAGAATTTCAAACATAATCATGGAGATGGAGGTGGTTTTTATTCGAGAGACTATGTAAGAAGCTAATACCAAACTTATGTTATATACATTTATTTTTTAATTCTAACAACTTGCGTTCCTAGTAGGGGTGGGAATTGGGTGGGTCGGGTGGATTATGACTATAAAGCACACCTACCGTACGTGTTTAAACGGATTGATAATTTTTAACCCATCACCCACCCTCATTTAATCTCGCGTTAGGTCGGGCGGATGGTGGATGATGCATGTGGGTTTGCAGGTTCACCCATATCACATTGTATACAATATAAAGGAGTCAACTTGACATGATAATCGGTGAAGAGACTTATCGGACGGAAACAAGAAGATGAAATAGGAAAAATATTCAAGTTAGTTCTAAAATTGGGTAGAAATTCTATTATGAAAGAGTTTTCTACAGATGGAGATGATTATCAAGTGCAAAGAACTAAGAAAAATAATTCAACAGAGGATAGAGAGGTGATCTAGGCACAAGAATCAAAGGAAAAATAAAGGGAAGAAGAGGGGATGGGGATTTGGAAGGTTGGTTTTGAGGTTCAATCTCCAGGAGCAACCCTAGTTTCTGTCTAACGTCTCCACTCTTCCCTCTCTACCACCAACGACTTTGTTCCTTTTGCTGTTGGGTTAAGCGGGTCACCCGCGCACCCGCCCACAATCCACCTGCCACCCCGCGGATGACTCCCAGCGCAATCTGTCACTCACCCACTAACCCACCCACATAACAAAATTCGGTTCAAATGCGGATGTATCGACCCAAACCCGTGGATGATTGGCCGCATGCCCAGCCCTAATTCCTAGTGTCACCCCGAGAGCTAAGTTTACTTCACGATAATAAATTCTTCCAAATAAAGAAACTCCCTACCATGATATAATTGATCCGAACATTTTTTTGCCTGAAATATATAGAAAAATTATATATTTTTGTATAATACAACGAAATATTTTTATGTGAAAGTTTGAGTTAAAACGTGAGAGACTTAAGTCGAATAACAAAAGTAGGGAATTAAAAAGGGACATTGAATCCTAACCATATATATGTCATCATCCAAAAATCAAGGGACTAGATCTAAGTATGCATAGTTATAATATTATAACTTGAGTCGTTGGAAGAAGTTCAATTATGAAACTTATATTATTTGCTAACACATTCAACTCATATTGGCTTGAAATCAATTTGCACAAATGCGAATATCATATATAATTAACAAATGGGATCACCAGAATTCGAACATAGAATAACTTATAGGTCACAGGCTCTCATACCATGTGAAAAGCTAATTAACTACAATAACTTGAGTTAGTTGAAAAAAGTTCCAATTATAGGAGTCTAACTCTAAATTAAACAAAGGGATTTTGCATTTCATCGTTTGGTCGATTCCTTAATTAATTACTACTCCCGTACCTGATCATTGGTGAGGAAGTGGCCCCCCCACAAAGTTTCATCGAACACAGCTGACTGTATCGGATGATCTGCACCGGCCGGAAACCCCGTCGCCGGCAGTACTTCGTCTGATTGAAGCAACATCGTGTTTCTCTTCTTTTAATCTGTGTTGTACCTGAACCTGATGATGGGTGGCAACTGTTTACTGTGTACTACTATATATAGAAACCAGAAAGCAGCTACACTTTCCTTTTATATATATGGTAATACTATACATAGGTGATCTAGTCGTTAGATGTATATATGTATCGGTTTATTTCGAATAAAGTAACTCTAATTAAAGAAAACACAAAGCAATGTTTGGATTGCGGTCCAGTTCATGATTCCAATGAAGAATAGAGATGACAACCAAAAAAAAAAATTGACGTGATTACCACGGCTGATCGTTAGTTAAACTAATAGGTACATTTTTTTTAATAATAACCCATATTATTATTAATAATGAAACTAAAGAAACAAACAGGAAAAGCAAAGAGCCAATGTCCTCCGTATGTAAAATTCGAATACGAAGGATTTCATTGCAAAACCCAGATGGAATATTATGGATAATGGTTGGACATGGTTTTCTCACTATTTGATTTGAGTTCGTCCGATTCTACGTGTGTATGTATTTTATCAATAAATGGTTTTAATTTTCTCATAATATTTGATATTTTTTATACTTATATAATATTGTCATGAAATTGTGTTCTCTTCAACTAATGGTCTTCGTTATAGTGATTTATTGTTATACTTTTCACTAATCTAGTGACATTAATATACATGTAATTATTAATATGATTGTTGAAGTTATGGAAGAAAAATATTACTGATGGATAACCATTTATATCGAAACCCGATTGGCATGAACATGATTTTAATTTTTCTTCTCGATTCTTGTGTGGATATGGATATGAGTAAAACCCGAACATACTTTAGTTAAGATAATGGGTATGCACTATTAGCTTCTGACCCAATCCATTATCATTCCTTGGCTAGCATACTTGATTTGGTTAATAAACTCTTAGTGGCATACTTGCTTTCCCACCCCCCCACCCCCCCCCCCCCCCCCTCCTTTGGTGCGTAAATTAAAATAAAGTGTCATTCCGTTGTATATATAAAAAATGTAGTGCTGAGAAAGATGCCCTGCGTCCATTTAAAAAAATAATAATTAGTTGGCACAGATTACCAGATCAGTCATGTCTTTGCAGAAGCGTTTAGGCTGGTCCTAGCTCAATTTATATTATACAAATTTAGATTAATTTTTTTTACCATAAATATCCGGAAAAGAAATATAATATATACCGTAAAAAATAAATTTTTAAATTGAAAAATAAAAGGAACGCTAGTGACCATCCACCAAACCTATAATAAGAAAGCTTTCATGCAACTTGGCCGAAATTTATTTCCTGTAAGTCTCTTAATTACTAATAAATATTTATATCATTAAAAAGTTTAAGCCAATTATTCGCTTAAATTACACTATTACCATTGTGTGGAGTACCAGCTGTACAATATTCCCACAAGGTTTACTTTAGGCCACAAACCACTTGCTACCATAATTGGATTTAGACAATCATAATAATTGAGTTTTGATTTAAATTTATTAAAAGATATCTCATCACCAAAAAAATAATCTTATTTGGACCATTGAGATGGAAATTTCATGATGCTTGCATGATCTACGTCCCGGTGTTGCCAAATAGTTTGGTTTCGTACCCGTATAAGTGCCTAATTCATGTAAAAGTTTTCTTCGCAAGAAATTCTACCGATGGAATTAAATGATTTGAGAATTTATTTCATTTAAATATTAAATTTTAAATAATTTTAAGATCCATCTGTTAAAAATATTCTCTATAATCCATTTTTCTCTTGAGCTAATAAAGGTTGTTCTCCACATGATTATACATTAGGTTAAGTAGCGACTAAGCAAGCAAGGAAAGTTAGGCGCGGAAGTATGGAGTATTGGTGTCAGGATAGTTATGTGATTTTATCGTAATTATGAAAATACTTGTGTAATTCATTTGGAAATTCCATCTCAATTCATCACAATTGCTAAAACTAACCTCAATTCCTCAAAATCCAAAATTTAGAATTTAAATTGATTTTCTTTATATTCCAAACACATAAAAAATTCTCAAAACTTTTGATACTTCAAGCATTGGCGGAGCATCAGGTGTGAAATGTTCCCGATCTGGACCAAACTCTTGGGAACCGCGGTCCAATACTAAAATACATCATAGGATTGAGGACTGAACCAACAGTTCATTGGGTCCGGTTCGGTCTAGTCCAAATGTCAATTCAGTTTATTTTTTAAATATTTATAAAATTTATGAGACTAAAGACCGAACCACGCTATATTCAATTTTCGATATGGTCCGGTCCAATAATCGGTTTGGTTCAATGCAGTATGGTACAAACCAAACTGTTGCACACTTGAAACTCCTAGACACATGTAGGTTAGGCATCGTTTGGAAATTGAATACACCTTAATTTTTTTAAGGATTTTTAAGATGTAGTTAGTACATCCCGGTAGTGAAATACATCATAGGATCGAGGATTGACTAACAGGGCATTGGGTTCGGTTTGATCCGGTTCAAATGTCAATTCAGTTCATTCTTAAGTTATTATAAAATTTATGAGACCAAAGACGAAACCACACTATATTCGATTTAATATTGTCTTTTCTCTTGTAGATGTTCAATTTCCCCTAGTGGGTTTGGAAGTCCTTTCTGGGTTGAGTTTTTGTCCTCTGTTTCTAATTTATCATATATAGAGAAGTTAGAATTGGGCATTGTGTGAGTTTGGCGGATGCACCCACCCACACTTAAACGGATTGACTATTTTTCACTCACCACTCACCCACATTTAGTCTCAGGTTAGCTTGGGAAAATGGTGAATGATGTGGGTGGGTTTGTGGGTTCACCCACATCACAATGTAAATAATATAATGAGTCAATTTGACATGATAATCGGTGTAGAGAATAATCGGGTGGAAACAAAAAGAGAAAAATGTGGAATTAGTTATGAAATCAGATACAAATTCTATTACGGAGGAGTTTTCTACAGATGGATATGATCATCAGTTGCATGGACCTAGAAAAATAATTCAACGGAGGAAAGAGAGGTGATCTAGGCACAAGAATCAAAGGAAAAAATAAAGGGAAGAAGAGGGGATCCCGAATTGGAAGATTGGCTGTGACGTTCAATCTCCAAGAGCAGCCCTAATTTCCGTCTAACGTCTCCACTCTCTAGCGCCAACGATTTTGCTCTTCTTGTTGTTGGGTTGAGCGGGTCACACGCGCACCCGTCGACAACCCACCCGCCACCTGACGAATGGCTCCCACCGCAACCCGTCACCCACCCACATAACAAAGTTCGAGTAAAATGCGAGCAGGTCAGCCCAAACACGCGGGGTGATCCGCGGCATACCCAGCCCTAGGAGTAGGAGACGTAACGATCTAGTTAACAAAGGAGGATTGACTTGTTATGAGTTCAACTTGTCTTTTCATCCTCATTACTTCGTTTACCTTATTCTTTCGCTCTGTAGATCTCAATGTTTCGGAGATATTTGGCCCTCAGCTACTTGGACTCGAATTGTAGATTTTGAAGACAGAAGTTTGTCCTTGTTGGTTCCTTCACCTGTTGTCCCTTCTTTCTGATATCTCCCTTTTTATTTGCTTACAATGATGAGTTGATGGAGTTTGGTCCGACGAGAAATGGTCGAAGGTGCCTCCTTGGGCTTCCGCTACCCTCCATCTGAGCTGGTTGTTTCTAGTTTCCCTTCTTTGTTTTGGTTTGGTCCATCATCCCTTAGCTTCTGTTGCATGTTGCTACAAGCGGCGTTGGAGGTTTCAAGAGCGAGCAAGGTGCAATTAGGGTTGTCATTTCGGTTGCCGATTAGCGGCTAACCGGCCGGTCTAATTGTTAACTGTCGGTTATCAGCTAACCAAAAATGGGGTATAATTGCATCGGTCGGGTGTCTGAATAGTTTAGTTAAGATAATGCTTGTTGAAGTTCTGGAGAAAAATTATTAATAATAGTTGTAGTTAAGATAATGCTTGTTGCAATTAGGGTTAAGATAATGCTTTTCACTAATCTAGTGACAATATACATGTAATTATTAATATGCTTGTTGAAGTTCTGGAGAAAAATTATTACTGATGGATAACCATTTATACCGAACCCCGATTGGCATGAACATGATTTTAATTTTTTTTTTATTTGATTCTTGTATGAATATGAATATGAGTAAAACCCGAACATAGTTTAGCTAAGATAATGGGTCGCTTTTGACCCAACCCATTATCACTCCTAGTCTATTTAAACTCTTAGTGGCATACTTGCTTTGATCAATACCTGCTTCTCAAAATTGTATTGTATAATTCCCCCTCCTTTTGGGATGCGTAAATTAAAGTGTCATTCCCTCATGCCCTGCGTCCATTTAAAAAAAAAAAGTTGGCACAGATTACCACATCAGTTCAGGCTGGTCCTAGCTCAATTTATATTATACAAATTTAGATTATTATTTTTTTGCCATAAATATCCGGAAAAGAAATCTAGCAAACAATAAAAGGGACGCTACTGGACCATCCACCAAACCTATAATAAGAAAGCTTTCTTGCCACTTGGCCGAAATTTATTTCCTGTATGTCTCTTAATCACTAATAAAATATTTATATCATTAAAAATTTTAAGCCAATTATTGACTTAAATAGTTAAATTACACTGTGTGGAGTACCAGCTGTACAATATTCCCACAAGGTTTAGGCCACAAACCACTTGCTACCATAATTTGATTTAGACAATTATAATATAATTGAGTTTTGATTTAAATTTATTAAAAGATATCTCATCACCAAAAAAATAATCTTATTTGGACCATTGAGATGGAAATTTCATGATGCTTGCATGATCTACGTCCCGGTGTTGCCAAATAGTTTGGTTTCGTACCCGTATAACTGTATAAGTGCTTAATTCATGTAAAAGTTTTCTTCCCAAGAAACTCTACCGATGGAATTAAATGATTTGAGAATTTATTTCATTTAAATATTAAATTTTAAATACTTTTAAGATCCATCTGTTAAAAATATTCTCTATAATCCATTTTTCTCTTGAGCTAAAAAAAGGTTGTTCTCCACATGATTATACATTAGGTTAAGTAGCGACTAAGCAAGGAAAGTTAGGCGCAGAAATATGGAGTAGTGGTGTGAGGATAGTTCTGTCATTTTATTGTAATTATGAAAATACTTGTGTAATTTATTTGGAAATTTCATCTCAATTCATCATAATTGCTAAAACTAACCTCAATTCCTCAAAATCCAAATTTTAGAATTTAAAATGATTTTCTTTATATTCCAAACACATAAAAATTCTCAAAACTTTTGATACTTCAAGCATTGGCGGAGCAACGGGTGTGAAATGTTCCCGATCCGGACCAAACTCTTGAGAACCGCGGTCCAATACTGAAATACATCATAGGGTTGAGGATTGAACCAACAGTTCATTGGGTCCGGTTTGGTCTGGACCAACCGTTTCCTTTGCCAGATTGGATTAGGTTTAGACCCACATGGAGAAGTACTATAAATACTTCTCATACTCCTCTGTAATCTGTAATCTCCTTGATATAGTGAAACTGGCTCTCTCTCTCACCCGTGAACGTAGCTAACACACATCGTGTTAGTGAACCACGTAAATCGTGTGTCTGTGTTTTTCGATTCTCGCTTTCGTATTCTTGCTTTATCGATTCCGGCGATTTCCCGATCCGTAGCAGCGCGTTTATAACAAAAACTTATGGCCTTAATCTTTTTTTTGGGGAGACTAGTACGTATATAAGGAGATGATCCTTACGAAGAGTGCAGTACTACAAAGAGAAGAAGAATACAACAGAGAAGATAGAGCCTCATTGAGAGGCAAGTCCAGGTAGATAGAGATTAATGGTCTTCAGCTGAAAATTGATCGATCGAGCTAGGTCAGCATTAATAGATCGGTACGTAGGTTTGAGTTTCAAGCATCATCAGTTCCCCTGGCCACTCGATCGATCGAACTGATCCACCGAACTGCTCAGAAGAGGAACCTTGGCATCAGTAGCACAGTTGTCATCTCTCAGCAAAACTTGGTAGACTGGATCATGAGAACTGAGAAGAAACAGCTGCTTCGTCATGTAAGCACAAACAGCAAGACTGCAGAGAGAGAGAGAGAGAAGAAGAAGAAGAGGAAGAGGAAAGATCAAGTATAAGTTGATTTCAATTTCTGCAGAAAAAGGACCATTGTTCAACTCTGTCTGTAGTGTTTCTGGAGATGGAATATTGGAGGAGGATGTAGATTACCTGCCAAGACAGATGAGTAGAATCACCCACAGGGAAGCACTTAACCAACTTGTTTCCTTGTAGAAAACCCACACCTGTAGTATACAGTAGATGAAGGTGATCTGACAACATCTTCTACTCTACCTTAACTAAAATTTAGGGTACAAACATACGTACACTGAGTAAGAAAACGTTATTTAGACCTTAGAGTAATCGAATGTTTGGACATGATATCATACCTTACTCTTAATGAGTGAACCCTAGATTTTAGATATTTAATAAATTATAGAGTCTAACTCTTAAGATTGTGCATGTAATTTCTTCCATATATTTTGACGAATCATATATGACTGCCGATTTTTGTTTCTAATTAAATTTATCTTAATGTATGAGATTTGTAGAATTAAGACCTATATTTTAATCTTTAAGGGTTTGCCAGTTTGGGAATAGTACCAGATATCAAACTTTCGACAATTCAAAGTCAAGATATCATTTTCTTTCTCAGGGTATGTCATATTTTTACTTTTACGCAAGTTACGTACAATATATATATATGGTTCATGCTATCAGAAACCCAAATTGAATGATCATTTCGTTTTAGACGTTTACCGAAAGAGTCACAGTGACGAAAGCGGAGTCGATCAGTGTTGTTATGACCCACCTAGCAGGTACACCGTCTTTATCAGAAATCACATTCATCCATTGCATGGCTAATTAGATAGATAGATAGATAGATAGATAGAGGATCTTACGGGGCGAGCAGGACCTCCATACGGAAAGGAGATCCGGCAATATAGACGGCGGAAACCAGAGCTGCTATCATTAAACAACCCAGACTTATGAAAGCGGTTCTTGAAGCGACCATTGAAGAAGAAGAAGAAGAAGAAGACGACGACTTGCAGTTCTTGTGTTCATGGCGCAATAGCACATGGTGAATCGGGTCTTGGGCAGATTCTTGAGGCGACAACTTGAGAAACTGAATAAATATGTAGCCGCATATCCCTGCACTGTACATGGTAACACATATAAAAACACATAATAAATAAATAAATAAATAATATAATCATCCCATAAGGTATCAGATATTTGATCCAATTGTTTCAATTTTTGTATAGCCTTCTGCGACAGGCGACATCTTCGGCGACGAATAACTCCTCGTCGCAGAAACTTTATCGCGACAATTCTATGGACTTTTAGCGACGATAAGAGCGTCGCTAAAATTGCATTTTCTTCGCCGGCAAAAGGCTAGGGAGACGGGGTACTCGGAACTTGAAAGGATTTTGGAGACTATTACAATTCGTCGCAGAAACTTTTAGGGACGACGTAAATGACATTTAGTGACGAACTGCGGGTCGCTAAAAAATTGCATCTTCTTGTAGAATCCAGCATGCGGTATATATATATATACCTGCCGGAAGGGATCATCGCAAGTATCCAAATGGCTGCACGCACAAAGTTGGACTCCTTGTAGGCAACCCACAGCTGGAAATTAACAAGAGAGTGGGAGAGAATCAAAATTTTTTTTTTTTTTTTTTTAAAAGGGCAAGGTGGATATATAAAAGAGATAGTGATGATCTGGCCGATCTAAAAGTACCGCCAAGGGAGACATGTGGATGTAGAACTCAGTGATGGCGGCACACAACCATCTGCAAGAGCAAAACAGTGCTCTGAGGCAATCGAAACTGAACCAATTGGTTCTAATAATGTCGAGCAATCGAACGGACTTGAGTATGATTACGTACAAATATCAATTAATCAAGCTAAAGGATCAGAAATCATGAACACAAGATACACTCATACAAGATTTTTTAACATGGTATCGTCAAAATGACACTAGTCCATGGAAAGGATCTCCCCCTCAAATTTAGGTATTATTACGGCTTAAAGCCTTCGGTTCACCAAGTTACAATATATATATAGGTTTCTCTACAATAAAACCTAATACGATATTCCTACTCAAACAAGGAAGGATAATTAACACGTACGTGGTGTAGGTCTCTTTGCGGTAGGCTGGATGGTTGTAGTACGTGTAGATGGCAATGGCGGCGAACGTGCATGACATGGCCAGGAAGAGAGCCCTTAAGCCGGTCGCCAGGAGAGCAGCCATCGGAGTACGTAGTAGTGAGTAGGAGTTCCGGCGCCGGCGGCTCGTCGGAGGAGGAGGGAATAATTATTGATCTCAGGAGGAGGAGTGTTTTGTGGGTTCGCTCTACTTGTGACTGACTGGCATCACCATTATTGGAGTGAGAGATCGCTAAACCTTTTTTTTCTCATGGTGATCAAAAGAAGCACGCATGAATCTGAGAAATACTAATTCATTAAACATTCCTCACTTTTCCAGATATAAAAAAGTAATGTTAACCGCAGACAAGTTGGCTGTTGTTTCGGGTATAAAAAGGTGTAATAGGTTTGGCAAATTTCACATCGTTACATCATTCACAAGTCACAAGTAAGAAATTCATTTCAACTGACATACACATTGTGAAATAAAATGGATTAATTGCAAGTTTGGTCACTCGAATTGCTACAAAATTTCACGTTTGCCACTCAAATTAATTTATTCCATTTATAGTCACTTAAATTAGGTTAACAGTCCAAGTTTGTTCACTGGCTGTTAGTCTCCGTTAACTTTTGCTGATGTGGCGGTCAACTCTTATAGTTGACCGTTAATGAGTGACGTGGCGATTAAAAAATTAATAAAATAATTTAATTTAATTATTTTTTATTTTCCACCTAATTATTATAAAAATAAAAAAAAACCTAATTCCTTTTAATTGTTATTTTCCACCGCCCGTAGCCTTTCCTCTCCCCTCAGGTCGACGACCTCTCCCGGCCGGCCAAGCCCCGCGTGGTGGAGGAGAAGTAGGCGGTGGCGGAGGAGGAGGTGGTGGAGCGGTGGCTTCGTTGGGCGTGTAGTCGTTTAACCCAAAATGGAGAGAATTTTTACAAGGACGTGGAGATCGTCGTGGATAGGCGTGTCGATGTCGTCGGAGAGACGGTTGAGGTTGCCGGCGGACCAGCGGAGGGTGACTGTTCTGGTGAACATGGACCACAATGCCAAGAGAAGAATGGCAGCTAAGGCCCAGAACTTGTACCTGCCTTTCCCGAAGAGAGAGGAATCGGAGGTGTCCTTCTTCAACAAGCTGCCCGTCGCCGTCGATGTTGGAAGAGAATCGTCATCCTTCATTTCGATTCTGCTCCGATCCGGATGCTGGAAATTTTCTCTGGCTCCAACCGAATCGATCTCAAATGGAAAGTGTCAGTATCGGAGTTTGCCCAGAAACTCGAACCCAAATCCTCCGGCGCCACCAAACAGCAAGGAGGAGGAGGAGGAAATTAGATACACACAGCGGCGCCGCCGACACCCACCGGACGGTTAGTTCAACAATGCCGCGACCACCGCCGCCGCCGACCTCCGTTTAAAAGTCAAGGTCAAAGAAATCAACCCGTCAACCAAACCATTCTTCCTTCCTCGTTTCCTCGTTTCCTCCCACCTTCCTAATTCCTTTTTCATTCCGCAAACTCCCCGAAAAATATTAAGAAAAGAAAACTCCACATTTTTTTTTTGTTTTGCTTCCAATTCCCAATTTTGGTGCGTCACTTCCCGCGATCCTCTGGACAAAGGAAAGAGAGAGAATACGATGTGTGGGATATTTGCGTATCTGAATTTCAATCTCCAGAAGGAGAGGATTTACATACTCCAAGTACTGTTCAATGGGCTCCGGCGGCTTGAGTACAGAGGCTACGACTCCGCCGGCATCTCCATCGACAATTCGTCCTCCCCTCGCCCCCTCGTCTTCCGCCAGGAGGGCAACATCGAGTCCCTCGTCAACGAAGCCACCGCTCCACCACCTCCTCCTCCGCCTACTTCTCCTCCACCACGCGGGGTATGGCCGGCCGGGAGAGGTCGTCGACCTGAGGCGGTGGAAAATAACAATTAAAAGGAATTAGGTTTTTTTTTAATTTTTATAATAATTAGGTGGAAAATAAAAAATAATTAAATTATTTTATTTTATTAATTTTTTAATCGCCACGTCACTCATTTAACGGTCAACTATAAGAGTTGACCGCCACATCAGCAAAAGTTAACGGAGACTAAAGGCCAGTGACCAAACTTGGACTGTTAACCTAATTTAAGTGACTATAAATGGAATAAATTAATTTGAGTGGCAAACGTGAAATTTTGTAGCAATTCGAGTGACCAAAATTGCAATTAAGCCGAAATAAAATAGTTCTCGTAAGAAGTAAGAACTGTGAATTTAAACGTGCTCATTGTAAATCAATGCGAGGGTACCATCTAGTTATCCGATTTCCATTACAAATAAAGTTATAAACCTATTCTAATTTTAGCAATAATTCACTGAAAGGGAAAAGGTATTGATATTAAGTAATAATAACATTCTTAATTACTCGTGATATTCGTACGTACGTACTCAATTATTATAAAGAATTGAAACAATAACAATAACAAACCAATCAAAACAGGAAGGAAGGGACCTTTCGATTGCGGTCCAGCACATTCTCACCCACTATTCCAAAAACAAATGGAAGTGGTTGCTGATTAGGGATGATAAAATAGGTCGGATTAGAGTGGTTCTTCGATTTTGTTTTGAGTTTCGGTTGATAGTAACGAACCCAAAAATTTCATTAAAAGTATTTAACGGTAAACTTAAATTTCTTAGGGTTGTTAAATCGTCTTAAATTCTAATATTACCATCTCTAAAATACAATTTTACACAAACTTTTTGTTCGGAATTTTGATTTAAAGTTTGTCAATGGACAAACCCATAATACACTTGGGTCCGTTCCGTCCCTTCCGGTCGGGCAGGTTGGATCGAAATATTGCTGCAGGACTACCAGAATTGGAGCCATAGATTACTGATTAATGGATAGTGGATTAATTTGCTTTCATCAAATTGCCCGATGCATATCTATGTACCATGCATGTGACTTGAATTTGGAATCCATTAAGTAGAGCATCTAGATATCAATATAAATTGATAAAAAAAAAAACAACTTGCTGATGAGATTCAATACAACTTCACCCAACTTGAGGAAATTCATTATATTAATTAGTTGAGGGTTTTAATCAATAGTTTTCTGCCGAATCAAAGTTAATTTATGGAAAGAAATTATGCTCAATTGTGTACAATACATTATAATTTCTATCCACACACACAAAAATTAACACATCATATTTTTTTCTAATATGTTATTGTTTTACAGGATATATAGAGAGTGACATCTTAGAGGTCAGACAAATAATTTGGAAATGATTGTATTTTACAAATTTTTTGGAGTACGAGGCTAATAGGCTATGCCATGGGTAATACAGATTATCGTATTAAACATCTTTTTAATGGCTTCGAGGTTGGATCTTGTATTCTTGTCCTGCCATTGTCTAAAAGCTAGCCTCATGTGGTAACCGAAACTTGTCCTAAGCTATGAATTTTGTGAACCCTTTCTTTATTTCTCCTCGAGGTTGTTACTTGTCAGATAACCTAAAGCTGTACAGAAACATAAAATTTGCAAGTTGATACCCTCTTTTAGAACGTGATTGGTGGCTGTAAGCCTTTTTCTACGTGTATTTGAATATGAATCAAGTTTCTTTGTCACGTTAGGTGACAAGAACACCATTTATTCATGTCATATTTTCGTTATTCACGCTATATTGACTTTATTCACGTAAGAGTGTTGTTTATTCACGCAACTAATATTGTTTAGTCACGCAACCTGGTGTTTATTCACGCATGTTGTTATTTATTCACGTCATTGTAAAATTAAATTTTAGATGTTAAAATATATCAAAATGGATGTCATCGTGTAGATTATGATCAATGCAACATATTTTTAGAGACTAATTGAGAATCCAAATTTAATTCCATAAAATATAGCCAATTATTAGAATTATTAAGCCACAAGTTAAAAAAAATTACCAAAAATCGAATTTACTGTTCATTAAGAAAATTTCGGGGTTACTGTTCACTTGGGGGTTTTCGGATCTTATGTGGTATGATTTAAGTGAGTCCGAATTTACCTCATTGGGCAAATCAAGCATGACAGTTGATTACCTTTTTAGGTTGTGAGTTCACCTACAACCGCCCACAGGTGACTGCTTCTTCTCCTTTCTCCTTTATCTCTCTTTTTCCCGTTCGTGAAATCAAAACACTCCAAATCCCTTCGAACAAAAAAAAAGGCTGCAAATCCCTTCCTCTCACGTTTCTTCTCTGCTAATCAACAACAGAGCCTACAACTTGAAAGGCTAACAGCGGCTTGCATAGCCCCATGGAATCGAAAGAAGAAGCAGAGAAAAAGACTGAGCGAGTCAGCTTGAAGGTCACCACCGCAAAATTGAAGTCGCCATATGAGAGTCCGATGGTATCTACTTCTTTGCAAAATCGAAGATCCCTTCAGTTCAACTCCCTCCCGAGCAAAAGCTTGCATATCCCATTCTTCTTCCTAACGAAATCGTCAGGGGAAGTTGGATGGACGGAGGAAGTAAAATTGAAGCCATGAGCGCGTTCCTCTCCCTTTCACGCCCAAGAAATTTGTGGTAATTTTGGCTTTCAGTAGGTGAACAAAAGAGGGTTGGACTTGAACGGATGATATATAGATGTTGAGTAACTGATGATTATTAGGAATAAGAACTTATGGTTATTGGTGATCAATTCATTTCTATTGGTACTGTTTTTTGAATGATCATTGGCAAGTAAAGTTTCATTATATTTGAACTAAGGCATGAATAGCTGAAGGCAGGCGAGTCCTCGAGAGTATGTCAATTCAGCTTTCATAAATCCATATATTGATTACCCAAGTTGGACAATGCCACTTCGTTCTCATGTTTTCCGAAGTGACTTCTACCATTTCATTGATAGGAAGCTAATATTTAACAGAACGCTAGATTTACATCTTGAATATAGTGTTTGATGTTGTAAAGAAAAAAAGAAAAAAGTTTGAATATAGTGTTTGGCTTTGCCACTCTTTTACCAAATGCAGAAAGCTGTAGAACAGGGGATATATACTAATTGGATTATACTAATTAGATTGTGTTGTATGACAGCTATGCCGCTTATTCTTTTCATTTTTTATCTCATCTCTCATATCTCAATCCACTGGAGCTACCTACTGAGGTACTGATACAAGTGTCGTGTCGTCACTCATGCTTTGTGCTTTGTGTATGGTTCTCAGGGTGGTTAGGGAGTTGAGAATGAGGTGCTTCTTCAAGAGAAAAGTTTGAAGAGGATGGAGTTCCTGGCACCATTGAATTGGTACCCAATTTAGGCTGAATCAAGTCAATGTTGCATTACCTTCTATGTTTTGCTGTTAAAACATAGGCATTGAAACAAGAAGCCCAACTGAAATTTTGTCATTTGTATAGTATGAAACTACAATGCCTGATTCTATATATTGTTGATGAATGAAATTAAGGAAACCGTGCATGCTTTCATTTAAGATATGAACATGGTATATCATGTAAGGTGAAAAATTAAAACAACAACTAGCTTACTGCAATTGGAATGGAAATTCATTATCGACGGTTCAATTTCCAACTTATAGTAGGTATTATGTTTCTGAAATTTTAGGTTTAAGGCCCAATGCAGTTATTATGGAATATCTATAGATATGGCTTATCGATTATGTGTTTACTGGAGTCATATGATTGTTGTTTTGTTTTTAGTACAATAAAGAGCATGAAGACTATTGGTTCTGCCAACTTAACAAGACTCAACATGTTTGAATGTAGCTTGACAAGGTGTGATGGACAAATTTGGTTCGACTTAGTCAATGAGCTCTTTTAGTAATGCCTCTTTTCTCCACCGCTATTTTAATTTATTTTCATATTTACTGTGTGTGTATGTAAAAGGATTCACTTATTGAAGTTTATGTTCCATTTTCTTCTTACATACAAGTTGTTTCAGAGGGCAGGTACTCAATGAGAATAGTTGGTTGGTTAATTGCTTAAGTTGAACAAGAAGTTGCTTCAATTGAGGAGCCTTTGACACAATTGATATTGAATTCTAAATCAGGTTGAATCAAGTCACATAACCAATTTTAGAAGAGATCAAGTGCTCATGATTGATGAGATTCTACCTTCTTTGCTACGCGATAGCATCAATTAGTGAATTCAACTTCACAAGCAAAAGAAGTTTTCAGAAGTTGAATTCTTCCCTAAAAAAATGGAACCTCGGAAATGATGTTTCACTGGTTACTTTCAAGCAACTTTCGAATAAAAGAATTGGAGGGTTTTATTGCGAGGATCTATTATAAATTAACTTGCGTGATTATTCATACACGAATAGTGTAATTTATCGGACCGACGCAGAGTAATGGGAGTTTTTAGTTTTTGAGATTTGTGTCTACCCGCTGCATAGCGCGGGCCATAAAACTAGTACAAATTATTAGGGGGGAAAAGTCCGAATTTTCATTTACGTGAATAACTTACACTCTTAGATGAATAAACATGGTATTACGTGAATACACACCAAATGACGTGAATGAATACAAAAATACGTGAATAAATTGGCATTAGGTGTTTTGTCACTGACAAGAAATGTTTTCATTTGAATATATGCTCGCTAAACTCCCACTATATCTAGCAGACAAATTGATCCAGCTGCAGGATCTTTAACTGTTGAGTCTCTCCCCGCATATGATTTTGATTTTTGAGCAACGGGAGCATGTTTTTATTTGCTACTCCTGTTCTTTTAGGTGTTTGAGTATGTTCGATGTTATAAAATCAACGACATGACCAGTAGAAAAGAAGTTGAGATTCCATCATTCATAATAACTCAGCGGTGAATGCAAATTTGCTCTTTCTAGGATGGTGCTCTTGGGTAATCGTTATGTTGTCCAATAAAGGAACGATTTCACTCCATAAAATGACATTGTGATAGTTTTATGTCGGCAAGTCGGATGAAAAGCAGATCTAGTTTTAACGAAATCCATATTCGATCCAACCTGTCAATTACAAAAGCGAGTAAAACTCCTCCCCACCAACAACTCATCAGAACCAGCTGGTTCAAACAAATCAGGCAACGATGACATTAGGATTCGGAGAAGCAAATTCCAAGAATTCAGGGTCACGTTCAAGACCAGCCATGACATCCTCGTCTAGCCTTATCCAAGCCTCCACCATTGAAGATCTGCTTCCAGCAGCAGCAACTGTGCCAGCCAACTCCGTCAAGACCATGAAATTCTCCAGACATGGTCGATTCCCTCTGGCGCCTCCGAGCACACCCACCCAAGCTGGTTTCCCCAAACCGGCCAACTCAACACCACGGAGATCAAACTGCAGCCAGCTCGAACATAGCAGAAGCTTATGGCTACCAGCAATTCTCCCTGCCAACCAATTCTGCGCTTCAAACAAAGCCCCAGCCCCTTCTTCCCCTGTTATTGTGTTGAGGTAAGTTTCGTCAACTCCTGCAGTTGCTTGCCTTATAAGCTCCGCCAACTCCTTCATTGTCTCCCTGTCAGGCAGAATTTCCGTATCAGAAAAAGGTACCAAGCAATTCATGTACCTAAAGAAACGCATTGATGACTAACTTCAGTTTCACAGAATTTCAGGGGGAGTCCGTACCTCTGTTCCCTACTGCGGAACGCAAATGGGGTTGCTAACAGATTCCCAATGGAGTTTCTCGACAACCGCTGGCCCATTCGAGTCCTTATGTTGATCACATGCCCGAAACATTCCATCTGCTCTTCATTCCGCGAGGCACGCACTGCAGATTCCCAAATAAGCGCCGACAGGGTCTCGGTGCGACTCGGGCTCACCACGTTCCTGCTGCTGGCTCTGCCTCTCAGCGCCGCGATGGCTTCCTCGCCGAACACGAATCTCCTTGTGGCCGTCCTTCGGAGGTTCTGGAAGAATAAGTTGTAGTTGAAGCTTGCATTCTGGGGCGGGATCGACCGTTGGGGAGGGAAAACAGAGGATGCCGAGTCGAAATCCGGGAGCATAACTGTAGTAACAGATCCCATTGGCAGCCGCCCACGCGTTGAGGAACGCAGTTATGGTGCCCCCATCGGCGATCTTGTGATTGAAATCGATCCCGATCGCGGTCCCGCCGCAGTCGAACGTGCTCATCTGGACGGCGAGCTGCGGGCGATCGTCATGATTCGGGATCCGGAGGAGGCACATTGGCTCGAAGGGAACCAATTCGCCGAGCAGGTCCAGCTTCGGGGGTGCTAGAAACTCTGAAAGGGTTTGACCCACGACTCGAGCTTCAGAGAACGGGACGCCTGCTTGGAAGTCGTCGATGACGAGATTGTCCCTCACCCGCCCGGCGAGCGGGTAGAATGGATTCAGGGTCTTGGAGAGTGAGGCTTTCAGCCGATCGGCGGTAGCCGCCGGCGAAGCTAATCCGTGTTTCGCCGCCGCCGGCGGATAGAAGAAGACGAAGGAAGTGTAGAAAGAGCCCGTGAGTTGGTCGAGAAGGCAGAGGTTGTGTGGTTTCCTGGACTTGTGTTCGAATCCCCGCGAAGAAGATGAAACCCGAGCTGGTTTCACGTTCTCCACAGACTTCACCAGGACTTCCATCAACTTGCCACCTGGTCGTCGAGCAAGATGAGCCATTGCAATTTGCAAATTACGACCAATCCTCTCTCCAAAACACGAATCAACATATCAGGATTCCCACGTAGCTAGTTGCAGAGAAGAACAAATATGTTAATCATTGACAATTTGTTACGATTGCTTTTCTGCGGATCTGGAAATTGGAGGATTCGACGTTGCAAGAAAAATGAAAACACACACCACACACGATTTACGTGTTTCAATAACATAATGCGTGTTAGCTAGTCCACGGGCAGGAGAGAACCAGTTTCACTATATTTTGAGATGATACATATTATAAAGGAATATGAGAAATATTTATAGTACTTCTCCAAAGTCTTAACCCTAATCAAATCTCGTAAAGGAAAAACAATTACAGACCAGGCCCAGAACACGAACCCAACCTACATTGCCCCCGCACCCCCACCTGGACCCCACTTGCTAATCGGACAACAAAACTCCCGTGACTTCCAGTCATAACGGCTAATAGTACGATTGAAATCAAATCAACACAATCTATTCACTCATGTGTGATATCATACTCGTACAACACCGTACCATATGGTGACATGACACCGCTCAGCGACGATATAATTTTTGTCCAGAACCAAGTGATCTCAATACAGCTCGAATTCGAATAGTTGACAAGCATTCAAATAATTGAACATATTGTACCATTTTATTTACTACCTGAACTCAATATAATATATGATGGCCGGCTTTATATATGCAAGTATCAACCCACTGCAAGTTGACTTTGTGACAAGAATCAAGTATCAACCACAGCCTGGCAATCACAAAGCTTTAATCTAATTATTAGGTTAGCAACCCATTCTGTTGGGGACGTAATTAGTTCTCTAAGTCGTTGAACCATTACTATACTGCTACTGTCCTCAAGATGGGTAGTTACAAATAGGGCTGCCCGTTTGGTTTTGGTTTTTTGGTTTTAACCGAAACCAAACCAATTGGAAAGCTAATGGTTTCAGTTTTTTGGTTTTAAACCAATAAGCAACTTAATGGTTTTGGTTTGGTTAAAACCGAAAAACCAATAGAAACCATTAAGAATAAAATTATTTATCAACAAATATTTTTTTTGTTTCTTTTGACACGCATGCCAACCAATAATTTGTTATGGCCATTATTATGACGTTTATTCAATAAAAAGGAGGGAAATAGGAATAAATATGAGTGTATGAGTACATGTTGGTTTTTTGGTTTTTGGAATTTGATTTTTGGTTTTTGGTTTTTGGTTTTTGGTTTTTGGTTTTTGGTTTTTCATACTTAATGGTTTGGTTAACCAAACCAAACCAAATTGACAGCCCTAGTTACAAAGATTAGGACTAATTGTGAACCGACGTGAGTTGCGATTAATTGAAGTGAGGTGTGCTTATGCGCACCGCACTGGCAGATTAAGAAAATTAAAAAGAGCTGTAGCTTATATTTTTGAGATAATGCCATTTTTGCCTTTCCTATATTACTAGCTAGCTTATAACTCGACCCGTTGGCCGATTAACATTATGCATGTTCATATTTGATTGTTTATATTCATTAGAAACACGGTCCATATCATAAGTGCATTCGATCTGGTGGGATCCGATGAAGTTCGTTCGAAATGTCCCATCAGAACATTTTTCTTTTGAACTTGTATGATTGGTAGGATGAAGGTCCATGACATATTAGATTCAATTCGATACGGTCTTCGTCAAAACTGTGTTGCGTCCAATGTGGTTTGGGGTTGACCATCAAAACTTGAGAGCAAATGACAAAATTAGAGTTACATCCAATATACTAATAGACTCGACCAAAGTAATGAGGCACAATATTAATGGATCTTCTCTCCATGAACCTGAATTTCTCTATCAATTGAGTTTCTTGTCAGCTTGATCTCCAACTCCTCAATCCTCTTTCTTGTATTTGGCCTACTCATCTTCCTCTGGGAAGTTTTAATAAGCTCGTAAAACCAACACTCATCTTCAATTCCATCAGTATGCTCTTCTCTTCCTTCTCTGCCTTCACCTGATCCAGTTCACTTCCATGCCCTTCAATACCCTCTCCATTTTCATTAATATCCTGATCATCTACCACTTCCCTCTCTTCAACTGCTTCGATTTTGCTTCTATGTCTTTCAATACCCTCATTGGTTCAATCACTACCCTGACCAACTGCCTCTTCACTGCCTTCACTTGCTGCAAACTACTTCCATGACTTTTTATACACCTTCCTCAAAATCACAATCAACTAACCAATATCAATCCATGGTCTTGGATCAGTTTTAAAATCTCTATGAACATCTCAATACCACAAAGTCTAAATCTAAATATTCTTTCAGTTAATCATGAACTTGAGTTTATCAAAATCTAATTCACTCCTTCTAAGTTGGAATTCCCATCCCCCAAGCTCATTTTTTGTTCATTTGATCCCACATAACCATGATATTATACCTCTAACTAAAATAAATCAAAACATTTTACGAAAAGAAACCGAACCATGAACTTTACCTGCTACCAAATCCAAACACAATTTCTTCCTCTCGCCACTTTCCTTCCCAAACCCAATATAAACTTTTACTCCAAGTTCACACCCCCAACTCCCAATGTATTGCGTGAAAGCTTAATTTTAGCAATCATTATGCTTGCAATTAGTTTAATGACACCAGCAAGTGCCAAAATTCCACCAGACGATGAGTTGTCTTCACTTTGAGTTTTGTCATAAAACTGCTGGCCCGATATGTTTATAAGTTTGGAGGCCATATGATGAGCAAAACCGAATCAGTTGCAGTGAAGTTACCGGCCACAGTAATCACAATGTGAAACATGTGTTAACAAACGCGAATATGGGTTACTTTTATGGATTGACATTAGAATGATGGGATTGGACAATGAGATCGTCCTTAGTTAAGCGACATGTAAATTGGTTCATTTGGTATGGAGGACATAAACCGTTAAAATTCTAAATTATTTGGGCGAGTTTGTATTTAGTGTTTTCAAAATCGTGGTATATGAGTTAGGTGATTAAAAGTAACCCACGGGCCTTCAACACCTCTCGGGCTGCTTCTGGGCTTGAGACCACGACGTAGGAGAGCTCGCCGAGCTGGAGGCCCATCAGGTGTGGGTTGTGCTTTTGGGCCAGATCACGGAGGCGGTGGTGCGGCAGTGAACAGATCAGCTGGTGGAGGTTCCCTATCACGGGTGGCTTCCGTGGGCCCGGCGGCGGCGATGATGGTGATTTCTCCGGGGAGCCACATCGTCGTCTGGTCACCAGTGATATTACTGATACGAGGATGATTGTGATGAAGTCGATGTTGGAGAAATATTGCTGCAGGAGTACTAGTACTGGAGCCATTGATTATTGATCGATGGATACTGAATTAGTTGGTTTCATCAAATTGGCCAGTGGATCAATATGTACCATGTGAGTTGAACTTTTTGGCCAGCGAACAAGGATTTTGTCTAGCAAATCTATTGCACGTTAGCTTTTAATATAAAAGTCTTGTATTCGAATCCGTTAAGTAGAGCATCTAGCTATCAATATAAATTGATATCACCATTATAAAAAAACAACTTTTTTTTGAAGAAGATTCATTAAGAAAACGAATGGGCTAAGCCCAAACGGAAAAGTAGATGCTACATGGCACAAAATTGAAAAAGGAACTCAAACAAAAAGGCCAAAAACAACAAACCATGCCTAAAACCGATCATAAAACCGGCGTGACACCACCGGTATGACCGGCATGATCGATATACGAACCTCTAAGTAAAATGATCTCATTTTAGAGAATTTAATTGATAAAAATTATTTTATTATTATTTTATGAGTATAAAAGTTAAATATTGATGTTATTTGTTGGATTCAAATATAAATGTTTAGGTATTGACGTTAAATTTCATGTTTAAATATGAGTATTTATAATTTTATTTGTAATATTGACCGGCATGAACCGGCACAAACCGGTATGTGCCACCGGTTGAACCATTCCACTTGCTAAACCGGCACACTGGCATAAACCGGTTTGATAACCTTGAGATAGACCTTATTCGGACAGTTAGACTCTTGAGCTAACTTGATAAAGTATAAATATTATTGTATAATTTTTTGAGCAATTAGTGTTTGGATCAAATGAACTATTAATAAATTATTTATCAAATTGGATCATATATTTTTTTGGATAAATTCCTGAATTTCTTAATACTATATTTGAAGGAAATTAAGTGTTGTTGATACAATCATAGTTAAGATATATACAAACTTGTCATATTGACGTCAATTACTAGAAGGAGCTCGAGCTATGTTCAATATTTTTTTCGAGCCAAGCCTAAATTAGGTAAAAGTTCTCTGTTGAACTGAGTCGATTAGCAGCACTGTCTATCGTAACCTTCATTCCATCGATCTCTAGGCGAGATTCGAGGTTCATATTGTACACATCAGCATCATGATCAATCGACAATAAGATAGAGATTTAGGATCATATTGTGCAGCAGATAGAATAAAATCATATTCTGGTGGTGGATCATTGTCACCTACTTGTCCACCCAACAATAATCCAAACAACAATCCCGACAATTGATGCACATGGATGATGGAACCATATACAAATAATTGGGTTAAATATTAATTAATTGTTTAATTAAGGTCACTACCTAGCTACAACTACAACAAGACAGCAATCTTGGAAATGCAAGTTCGGTGTATCGATCGGCCCGGCCGGTTTATACGATCGGATCAACAGAGAAAATCATCGATCGCTTCCAATGGCTCCGCCGCAAAATTGGTCCGCCCTGACCCTCCTCCTTCCATTCTTCACCACACTAATCAGCATAATACTAATCACCGCCATCGTCGTGAGAGTGATATCCTCCTCCATCCGGCGAACCAGACCGGTCCAACCGGCTGCCACCGCCCCGCCACCACCAGGCCCGCCGAAGCTCCCGGTCATCGGAAACATCCACCAGCTGATCCGCCATCCGCTCGTCCACCGCCGCCTGAGGGACCTAGCCCAGAGACACGGCCCGCACGTGATGGGCCTCCGGCTCGGCGAGGTCCTCCACGTGGTGATCTCGAGCGCGGAGGCCGCCAGAGAGGTCATGAAGACCCACGACCTCGTCTTCGCCACCAGGCCTCACATCCTGATGGCGGAGATTGTGATGTACGGCGTCAGGGACGTCGCCCTGGCACCGTACGGGGATCACTGGCGGCAGCTCCGGAAGATCTGCGTCATGGAGCTGCTGAGCGCCAGGCGAGTCCAGTCATTCCGGCCCGTCAGGGAGGCCGAGGTGTCGAGGCTCGTTGCCGGCGTTTCCTCCGCCGCCGCCGCCTCCGCCGGCGTCAACGTCAACCTGGCCGTGGCGTCGGCGACGAGCGGGTTGACTTTTAAGACGGCGTTTGGGATGGCGAAGGAGCTCACGGAGGAGACGTTTTCCGGCCTGGTGGGTGATGTTTCCGACGCTCTGTCGGGATTCAGGATATCGGAGGTGTTCCCATCGTTGACTTTCCTTCCGGCGCTGACCGGGTTCAGAGCTCAGCTCACCAGGTTGCATCATGCGGCTGATGCGTTGCTTGAAGAGATCCTTTGTGAACATAAAGACAGAAGAAGAAGACAAGGTGGCGGCGGCGGTGCCGTTGATGGCCGTCAACCTGAGGATCTAGTCGATATCCTTTTAGATCTTCAGGAAGAAGGTGACCAAGAATCCTTGACCGATGAAGCAATCAAAGCAGTAGTTTTGGTGAGTTCTAACATTTCAACAAATTTTCTCAGCAATCTTAATCTTACTATTTTACATTGGTTTGAAGTTCTTTATTTACCGATAGATAAGATGTTTTGGAAATAGGTTAGTTGCATTATTGGTCACTGATATTACAAAAAAATTCATATTTTGTTACTGGAAATATTTAAATTTAATCTTGGTCACTCAAATTAGTTAAATGGTTCAAGTTTGGTCACTCTCCGTTCATTTTCGTTAACTCTAGCTTACGTAGCAATCAACTTTCATAGTTGACCGTTAAATATGTGATGTGGCAATTAAAAGTTATTAAAACTAAAAAAATAAAATTTTATATTTTCCACCTCTTTGTTACATTCATTAAAAAAAACCTAATTTCTTTTCTACACACCCCAATACCCTACCCGACCCAACCTTACCACCACCAGAACACAACCTCCGACGGCGGCATTCCTTCCATTCGACCGTAGCTAGCGATCCTCCTCTCCGACGTCTGACTATCATTTCAACCGCCGCCTCATCTGGATGCTTCTAATCCATTATAAGCTTCGTCGACTCCCTCTCTAAGGCAACAACTTCTTCTGTCGCCCCACCGGCTGCAGTTGCGACGACCGTTTGATCATCGACTTTATTGGCAGAGGGCGAATTCGCGGCGCAGAGAATCTCTAAGGAAGTGGAAATTAGGGACAAGAGGCCTACGCTGGCAGTGAGCATGTCGAGCTGGAAGAAATTTTTGCAAGAGAAGATGAAATTTGGGATTGACGCGTGGGGCCCACCCACATGCCCAGCTCGTGGAGGTTGGCTAGAGTGACACCGTATCAAGGGAAACCTCTAAGAAGCCACTCGTCATCCGGATCGAGTTTCTGGTGAGGACTGAGGAGTGAGGACGATGTAGGAGTTGTTAAAGCAACCTGGTTGTGGAGGAAGGAAGCAAGGAGCCTTGTGAGCGGGAGGTTCAGTGATCTAGGTTTGGATTGGGCAAAGGTGGAGATAGTGAGGGTCAAAAGGGTGAGAAAGAGGAGAATGATGAATTCCAAAGAGAGGCCATTTTTGCTACGAATGGAGGAAGTATAGAGGTTTGTGAATTGAGAAGAAGATATGGCTGTGGGGGGTTTTATAGAGGGGTGCTCGGTGGTAGTGAACCCCAAAAGCTTGCGGCCATAGGAGAGGAGGATCGCTAACTAGGGGTGAACGGAAGGAATGTTGTTGTCGGGCTGGAGTTTGTGTTTTGGTGGTGGTGAGGTTGGGTCGGGTAGGGTATGGTATGGAGGTGTGTAGAAAAGAAGTTAGATTTTTAATTTATTTTTGTTTTTTAATGAATGTAATATGAGGTGAAAAATATAAAAGATTATTTTTTTTATTTTTCACAAAATTTTTAATTGTCATGTCACGTATTTGACGGTCAACTATGAAAGTTGATTGCCACATAAGCTAGAGTTAACGGAAATGAACGGAGAGTGACCAAACTTGAATCATTTAACTAATTTGAGTTACAAAGATTAGATTTAAATATTTCCAGTGACAAAAAATGAACGTTTTTTAATCTCAGTGACCAACCATGCAATTAACCCTTTTTGAAATTTTACAAATCTTTCATTGTAGACATGCCATATTCCATAGATTTGTAATTAACTTGAATATATTTCAATCCCTCATGCAAAAGATTTAGGGTTTATGTTCTTTTACTGGTTTTTTAGGATATGTTCGTAGGCGGTACGGAAACCACAACTACCGCAGTGGAGTGGACCATGTCGGAAATGATGAAAAATCCGAGCATAATGAAAAAGGCACAAGAGGAGGTGAGACGCTTGTCCAGAGGGAAAGCAATCGTCGAGGAAGAAAGCCTCGATGAATTGAAGTACTTGGAAGCCGTCATCCAGGAGAGTTTGAGATTGCACCCGCCGCTTCCTTTGCTTATTCCGAGAGAAAGCCTAGAGGCGGTTGAGGTCGGTGGGTATGAGATCCCCGCCATAACAAAAGTTATTGTTAATGCTTGGGCAATTGCACGAGACTTCCGATACTGGACGGAACCCGAAAAATTCAATCCCGACAGGTTTCTCGACAACGACAGCGCCAATGACAGGCGACTGAATTTCGAATTCATTCCGTTTGGCGCCGGAAGGAGGAACTGTCCAGGAATGTTCTTCGCGATGGCTCTCGTGAAACTCGTGCTGGCGAATCTAATCTACCGTTTCGATTGGAAGCTCCCCGTCGGAACTACCCCCGAGAGTTTGGACATGGATGAACATTTCGGACTTGGAGTGAGAAGAAAACATAATTTGTGCTTGATTCCAGTTGAATACACTACAAGAAGGTGAGAAGGCCGTTGAGCCGGTGTACTAGAGGGAAGTGCCGTTTGTTTAGTGCTCTTTTGGGTCCATACCTCTATATTAATAATGTCTCTAAAGAGCATCTAAACTAATTTTGATGAGATTTGTGGGATTTAATCTAATTCTCCTACTCCTGTTTTATTGGCTTATTGATTGGTGTGATTCATGAGATCACATGAAAAATATGTTAATTGTACTGGAAGTGGGTTAATATTTTAGAATGGGTGGAACTTTACTCTAAATTTATATCATGGACAATTTTTCTAGAAATGCTTGTTATGATCGGAATTATTACTCAAAATTATTGATTTGACCCAACCCTATAAGGGGTAAGCTATAAATTGGTGGTAAGGTACATGGTTACAACAAACTGAAATATAAGATGAAAATAGCACACATATCAAATATGAAACGAGTAAATAAAAGCACCTATAATTGAAATGGAACAACACAACTAGATATCAAGTGCACAATCACATGCACAATTATGTTGATTCAGTGAATTTTACTCTTGAACTTGTCAAGCTATACACTCTTCCAAAATATAAGAATTGAGATTACCATTGGCTCCAATTCAGCATATCACTGCGAAACGTATCTCAGCCGGTCATTATACCACGGACATACGAGTCCTCTCTCAAACGTCATCCTCTTCAAGGATTTGACGAGCTCTTTTCAAATTCAGTGTGCACCAATCTTATAAGAGGTTATCCAGTCCAAAATTCAATGCCTTGACGGCCTAGGAGATGCTTTTCCCCTTGCAACAACATTTGGATCCGATAACGCCATTTTTTTGGGTCTTTTGTCCCTAAAAAGGAAATTTCATCATAGAAACCAGAGCTTGAATTGATACTAGAGGTTTCGGTCAAAAATCTCACATAATCATATTATCTCATCTTCTTCCCCGTATCCTTATAAATAATAGAAGATTAACAAACAGGAAATTCGATTTAGAAGTGGCAAAATATATGTCTCCCCCTCTGTGAACACTCCAGCACAAATAATGGCAGCACCACTTCTGCTGGCCGTCTTTGTGATCGCCGTCCTACTGATCACCATCAAAAATCTCACTTCTGCTCGCCGGCTGCCGCCTTCCCCGCCGAAGCTTCCGATCCTCGGAAACCTCCACCAAATCGGCAAGTACCCTTACCGTACCTTCGCCAGGCTGGCTGAGCGGTACAGGTCCCCTCTCTTGCTGCTCCACTTCGGCAGCAGGCCGGTGCTGGTGGTCACGACGTCGGCGGCCGCACGCGAGATGACGAAGACACACGACGTCGTCGCTGGCGGCAAGCCCGAGTTCCGAACCGTGAAGAAGCTTCTCTACAACAGCAAAGATGTCGCCGCTTCTTCCTACGGCGATTACTGGAGGCAGACCAGGCGACTCTGCGTGCTCCACCTCCTCAGCAACAAGAAGGTCCAGTCCGGCCGCGCCGTCAGGGAGGATGAAGTCGGGTTGCTGGTCAATCGGATCCGGCAGAACGTCGAAACAGAGCAGGTGAGCAGGGGAGGAGGAAATTGGATTGTTGGGTTTACTTTGTCCGATATAAAATTTATTATTGAATCTCTTTCAACAAGGCGAATTATCATCAATTTTAGACTCTGTTTTTATATAAGTGGGTTTCCTCTGCTTTACTGCAGCCGGTGAACTTGAGCGAGCTCCTTTCGTGCCTCGCCAACGACGTCATTTGCAGGATAGCTTTCGGGAGGAAGTACAGTGCGACTAGCAACTTCAGGGATCAACTGGCGGAATTCATGGAGTTGATGGGGGCTCTCAGTGTGGGCGACTTCATCCCCTGCCTCTCCTGGGTGAACCGGATAAACGGGTTCGACGCCCGGGTCGACAGAGTTGCTCGGCAGTTCGATGAGTTGGTTGATGGAGCTGTGGAGGAAGGTGTGGCAAGATTGGAGAAACAGAGCAATGTGGAAGACGACGGCCAGGCACCCTTCATAGATGTCTTGCTCAGCCTTCAAAAGGACGGCTCGGAAGCATTCCACCTTGATCGAGACGGCATCAAAGCTGTAGTCTTGGTATCCGGATTACATTCTCCAATCTCTTATCTCCTCTTATAGTAATCTTATATGTTGAATTTAATGTAGTCAAAATCACGCTTTACATATTATACTTTTACGCTTTTGGATTACTGAAATGTTTTTGGATAGAATCATTCTTTTTTGGTACTAAGGTAGTCAAAATATGAGCTTTAAAAACTTAAAACTTTACCTTTTTATGCGCTTTTGACCGACACCCCGACCTTTTTCCTGCACTAACTAGTTGTTGGTCAAATTGACCAGGACATGTTCGTGGGAGGAACAGATACAACATCGACACTTATGGAATGGACAATGTCGGAGCTGGTGAAGCACCCGAGGGTGATGAAGATGCTACGAGAGGAGCTCAGAAGCAAAATCGATCAAAAAACAGAGACGATCCACGAATCCGACCTTGACAAATTGGAGTACCTTAACCTAGTCATCAAAGAGACGATTCGATTGCACCCTCCGATCCCGCTGCTGTCTCCAAAACAACTCACTCAAGACGTGACCATAATGGGCTACAACGTGCCGTCAGGAACCATGATCTTGACCAACGCATGGGGGATCGGGAGGGACCCCGTGGACTGGCCAGAGTCGCCGGGGGAGTTCTGGCCGGAGAGGTTTCTCACCGCTGCTGCTAGTGTGGATTTCAGAGGGCAGGATTTCCAGCTGATACCTTTTGGTTCCGGGAGGAGAGGCTGTCCTGGGGTGTCTTTCGCGCTCGCGGTTGTGGAGCTGACGCTGGCGAATCTGGTGAGGAACTTTGAGTGGAAGTTGGACGACGGAGTTCGAGGGGAGGATCTGGATATGTCGGAGTGCGTTGGTCTCACGGTGCATCGCCGGCTTCCTCTTCTTGCTATTCCAGTCACGGTTTCCGATTGCTAGATTACTTAAGTACCCTTCATTTCTTGAGCTATGATGGTGTGTAATTCCAATCTGATCGTATCTTATAGATTTTCGGTGCAATCAATAATTAAGTCGCGCAAATGCTGCCTGACTTGACGGTTTAGACCATCGCATCAATAAAATATCATTTTTATTTCATATGTGGTTCCTAATGTCATGTCAAAAAAATTTCTATTCTACTACATACAACTTCCATTACCTCTTCATCAAAAAAATACTCGACTCATTAATAAACGAGTCGAACTTGAGCTCTACCTTGTTTGGCTCGTGAACTAGTTCGATTAGGTGGCTCATTGAATACAACTCATAAGTTGTCTCGTTTTGAGCTTATGAAATGTTCCAACATTGTGATTAGAGAGTCAACTCGACTACAGCTTATGAGAAAATCAATCTATATTTTATGAGTTGGTTTGTTAATGATACATATATTAATACATTGAGTATATGTAAGCAAATACGTCTCATATACTATAATTAAGTTATCTATTCCAAAATTCAAGGCATTGACCTAGGAGATGCTTTCCCCTTACAACAAAATTTGGTTTTGAGAACAAATATTGGAAAGAACACTATTATTTACCATTTCAAATGAGTGTCACAACAACAATGCCTAGTGAGTAGTGACATAGGAAAAATTGGCATTTGAACATCTTTTAAAAACAAAAACAGATTAAATTGTCGATGCAAGTCTTTTTCATCTGCAAATCCGATAACGCCATTCGTGTTGGATTTAAAAATATTTTCCTAGAGAAGCAACTTTGAGAGGCGGGCAATGGATCTTGGCAGTATTTTTCTAGATACAACCTTGGTTGGACGTAGAAACTCCAACTAGCCACATGTCAGATTGTTATTGGTAAGTTTATCTTTCTTTTTTATATTTTAACTTGATTTATTTAGGATAATTAAGAATATTAAATATTAAGCAAAAATAAAAGTGAATCCACCAATAACAATATGACATGTGGATTGTTGGAGGTTCTGCGTCTAAACAAGATTGGAGCTAAGAATTACTCATGTAGATTAACCGCTTGGCTATGTAATTTTTGGCTAAAAGAAGATTAAATCTTCAATGCAAGTCTTTTTCGTCTCAAAATTTGAATTCAAAAATATTTTCCTCATAGAAACCAGAACTTGAATTAATGCAAGAGGTTCCGGTCAAAAGCTCCCGTTGACTATCACCGGATGAGAACCAATCAAATCTCACATGATTTTCCTCCACATGTACTTTATAAATAATAATAAAAATGAACAAACAGGAATTCGACTTTAGGAGTGGACAATATCTTATCTCCAAGTCTGCGCTATGTAAAGTGTAAACACAGCAAAACTGCACCAGCAAGCTAGAGATAGATCATTGACATTAATTATGGCAGCACCACTTACTCTACTGGCCGTCTTCGTGATCGCCGGCGGATTCGCAGTCCTACTAATCACCATCAAACGCCTGATGATGATTAGTAGCACCAGTAATCAAACTCGCCGGCTGCCGCCTTCCCCGACGAAGCTCCCGATCCTCGGGAACCTCCACCAAGTCGGGAAATTCCCTCACCGCACCTTCGCCACGCTGGCGGAGCGCTACCGCTCCCCTCTCCTGCTGTTCCACTTCGGCAGCAGGCCGGTGCTGGTGGTCGCCACGTCGGCGGCGGCCCGTGAGGTGATGAAGACCCATGACCTCGTCTCCGCCGGCAAGCCCGAGTTCCGAACCGCCAAGAAGCTCCTCTACGACGGCAAAGACGTCGCCGCTTGCCCCTACGGCGAGTACTGGAGGCAGACCAGGCGGCTCTGCGTGCTCCACCTCCTCAGCAGCAAGAAGGTCCAGTCTGGCCGTGCCGTCAGGGAGGAGGAAGTCCGGTTGCTGGTCAATCGGATTCGAAAGAACGTCGAAACCGAGCAGGTGAGCAGGGGAGGAGGAAATTGGGCTGTTGGGTTTCCAGTCTTCCGATTTAAAATTCATTATTGAATCTATTCCAACGAATCGAATTACAATAACAACATCTATTGTTAGAATTTATAAGATTCGTTATTGAAACTCTATCATCGTCCATTTTATACTCTGTTTTTTTTATATGTGGGTTTCCTCTGTGTTACTGCAGCCGGTGAACTTGAGCGAGCTCCTGTCCTGCCTCGCCAACGACGTGATTTGCAGGATAGCTTTCGGGAGGAAGTACAGTGCTACCACCAACTTCAGGGGTCAATTGGTGGAATTCATGGAGTTGCTGGGTGCTCTCAGCGTGGGCGACTTCATCCCCTGTCTCTCGTGGGTGAACCGGGTGACCGGGTTCGACGCCCGGGTCGATAGGGTTGCTCGGCAGTTCGATGAATTGCTTGAAGGAGCTGTGGAGGAAGGTGAAGCCAGAGTGGAGAAACAGAGCAATATTGTGGAAGACGACGGCCAGGCACCCTTTATAGATGTCTTGCTCCGCCTTCAGAAGGACGGCTCGGAAGCGTTCCACCTTGATCGAGAGGGCATCAAAGCTGTTATCTTGGTATCTATATTAACTTCTCCCATCTCTTATCTCCTTTTACAATGATCTTATACACCCAATTTGATGCTGGCCTAGCCTTTTTTTCTACGTCCTGAACGGAGAAACTATTTAGTTCCAATAACTCGAGTTGTTGAGAAGTTTACACGTTACACATCAATTATTTCGGTTACACATCAATTATTTCGAGTATGATATACACTAACTAGTTCTTAATCGAAACGATCAGGACATGTTCGTGGGAGGAACGGATACAACATCGACGCTCCTGGAATGGACAATGTCGGAACTGGTGAGGCACCCCAGAGTGATGAAAAAGCTACAAGAGGAGCTCAGGAGCAAAATCGGTCCATTAACAGAGTCGGTCCAGGAATCCGACGTCGGCAAACTGGAGTACCTGAAGCTAGTCATCAAAGAGACGATTCGATTGCACCCTCCAATTCCCTTGCTATCTCCGAAACAACTCACTCAAGACGTGACCATAATGGGCTACGACGTGCCGTCGGGAACCATGATCCTGACCAATGCGTGGGGGATCGGAAGGGACCCCGCCGACTGGCCCGAGTCGCCGGAAGAGTTCTGGCCGGAGCGATTTCTCGACGCCGCTGTTGCTGACGTGGATTTCAGAGGGCAGGATTACCATCTGATCCCTTTTGGGTCCGGGAGGAGAGGCTGCCCTGGGGTTTCTTTCGCGCTGGCGGTGGTGGAGCTCGCGCTGGCGAATTTGGTGAGGGATTTTGAGTGGAAGTTGGACGGCGGAGTTCGAGGGGAGGATTTGGACATGTCGGAGTGCGTTGGTCTCACGGTGCATCGCCGGCTTCCTCTGCTTGCTGTTCCGGCGATGGTTTCCGATTGAGGGATTGTGATGACGTGTAAGTGTAATTCCTCTGATGCCATCGTATCTTATCTTTTTAGATTTTCAGCGCAATCACATTGTAGGGTAATGATTAAGTCGCGCAAATGCCGCCTGACTTGACGGCGTAGACAATGCCCACCCACTTCTTTTTGACTAATAACAGAATTTTTTTTTTTTTTTTTTGACGAATGACTAATAACAGAAAACTTGCTGAAAAACTAGCCCTTTTTTGTTTGACTTATTACTTCGAATTGTTTGAGAAGAAGTTGGTACAAGGAATGTGGGTTGCGGATTGTTGAAGACTTTTTTTTTAATCTATTTATTCAAATTGACTATGTTTCTTGTTTTACTAAAACGATTGTCAATTTTGTGGGGAAAACGATACTTTCAACTCGTATAGCTCAACATTTGGTAGACAATCGCAATTTATTTTTGAACAACTTGTAAGTTACCGACTATTATGTTTTATCTATCACAAAATAAAAAGCTTACATCTTTACTTACCTGAATGAGGAACACAAGACGTACGGCCTTCTCATACGACACGGCGACCGCACGTGCAGAGTTGAGAATTTGATTCATCAGAGCTACGGGCAATGGGTTTGGTTTTTGAAACCCTTCTGCCACGTCTTTCCAAGCTCCTCTTCGGAGACTTGATGCTTCTTCATGTAGCACTCCACAACGGACGCCACGTGCACCCTCCGTGCTCGAACTGTTTGAGAAGAAGTATTAAAATGATATCACTTTGTAGAGCACAACGAACTCGTTCCATCTGAGCAAAAAAAAAATTGAAATCCGAGTTAGAACGAAGAAGATAAGAGCCGATTAAGAAAACTAGGGAAAATAAAATAGCTTTAATTGACAACCCTTAGATCTAGATTTCTGGGCCCACTTAGATCTATGGGTCCAGATTTAGCTACTCATAGGTCAGTAACCAATGGTTACTTGCCCTATCCTAAGCCGGATTCAAGGATTCTCATTAAATTGCTTTTGTGACCGGCGATTAACATAAATCTCTTATGACTCTAGCGATAAATCTCTTAGGACCATAGGGATTCTCCTGGAACTGAAAGAGCATCTTTTTTCTGGTACATACTGCTAGGGATGACAAAAATATCCGCAACCGTAGATATCCGCCCGGATCCGGCCTTATCGAGTAGGGTAAAACTCGAACCCGAAGGACATTTAGTGGGTATGGGTAAAACCCGAAAACCTGAATATTACGGGTAATAGGTGGGTATGGGTTTCTCACTATCCAACCCGAACTCGTCCGATTATACACATGCATATGTATTTTATCTAGAAATAATTATTATTTTTCTCTAACATATTTTATATGTAGCATATAAATATAATATTTTCATGAAATTGTGTTGTTTGAATTAATTTTCTTCATTCTAGTGAATTATTGTTATACTTTTTTCTTACGTAATGTGAGAATACGTGTGAATGTTAACATATTAGTTGAAGTTATGAAGAGAAATTATTACCCAAGGATAACCGTGGATACCCGAAATCCGAACATGAAGAGAAATTATTACCCAAGGATAACCGTGGATACCCGAAATCCGAACGGGTTTGGACATGATTTTAATTTTCTACCTATTTCACATGTGGGTATGAATAATATGAGTAAAACCCGAACCCAAACTACTTTGAGTAGGGTATGCACTTACCGCCCAACCCATTGTTATCCCTACATACTGCGACAAATTCTCCTAATCTCCATCTTGATAAACATTAAGAATAGAGCTCACCAAGCCTTCCAACAAATTTTCATCATTTCTCCTCATCCGCTTTATAACGACAGCTTTTGTGTCTGTTTGCTGTTTGTGTACATTTTCATCTCGATAATTTCCCGTCAAAAAACGTTCCCGACCGGTCCCAACTATGATCGATCGCCTTACTACAACAGAGCTCGATCTTCCTCGTCCTCTCCTTAGCGGTTTATACAAGATTCCGTCTCTCGCCTCTTCTGCCAAAAACAATTACAAGAACCCAAATTTACAGGCCTCTCTCGTGCATGAAAAACACTCAACTCACTATTTCCTCGCCGTGAAAGAGACTCCAAACTTCTTCCGGCTACCAGATTCGTTCGACCCAACCATCCTCGATTTGCCGCTACATTGGCAGATACAAAGTATAGAAAACAACTGCCTCATCCTCCAACCGTTGAGACACTGCACAAAGCACATACATCCATAAGCTCTTTAGTGATCGGCAAAAGAGGAAAGCAATATTTCTAGATTCAAGCAGATTAAAGATTTGAAAGTTCAAAAAAATGTAATCTACCAGTCGAAGCAGAACAATGAGAGCATCAGTTCTGTTCGCTAAATGACTGGAGTCGTTTGACTAGATTTCCTCTCAATTTTGCAGGGATCCTTGGAATGAACTTCCGCTTAGCATCGGTGATCAACATGCCCCTGCATAAATAAGAATTTGGTGTTATGGATATGCTATGCTTGACTCAACACATAGGGGTGATTTTGCAAGCGGGGAGAAGGGAATGCAATTTTCATGTATCCAAACAACCACCTTTCCTTACAAACTTCAATTGGTTGACACCAGTCTTTCAGGCCATGTATTTACCCTATCCTCATCCTAACATAAAGTAGGTAAGATAATAATGTTGACTTAATGACATTGGGGTTTTCTTGATTTAATGGTGATCAACCACTCATTACTATAGATCAACTGCAGAAGCAGAAGTGATCAAGCCATGCATGATGTCTCAAACAGGAGACATGTGTACTTACTTTAAGTCGTGTGCGCTACTACGGGTGGTTCCTGCTTCTTTAGCACATAATCTCTTCTTGGAACACATGTGGGTGTATACCTCATTGGACCAATCAGATGATCGTAAAAATGCAGATGCTTCTTGCTTGAGTCTGCAACATCAACAAACAAAGACCAAAAAAAAAACTCAACAAATATTTGATCTAGCAACCCAAGTTTACTAATCAGGTTGACATAAAAGCAGCAACACAATAGTTTCTTAAGTATTGACTTGACACCTTAAAAACTGAAAGGCATCTCACCCCCAAGGGATTGTCCTAATGAAAATTGGATTAAAACATCCAACTACCCCCTAGAATCGAATCGGGTAGTTAACATCATCGATAAAAGAAAGGCATCTTAGCCAATAAGACTATGTAGTATGGGTTTGAAGAAGAAAATATATCTAGCCATAGAATCCTACAATTTGCATGCCACCAGCGCAACTTTAACTACTGACGATTGAGCTAAAAGACGCAGCCCTGGCCAGGTTAGAAAATATATAATGTCACTTGCCTCATCTGTCGGCTACGTTTCAATGGAACTAATTCGATTCCTATAGATACTAGGTTTGGAGGTGAAGGTGTGGTACAACCCAAAAAGGTTCCAATCCATAATACATGACCAAAGTAACTGTAGACCACAGTCACTTATAGAAGAAACACTGAGAAAACCACTCCAAGTATGAACATTACTGAAACGGACAACTAGATGATGGAAACAAAGTCCAGAAGAAAACAAATCATAATAACACAACACAATCTGGAGACATAATATTGTGAATGTATAATTATCAACCCAGCTTTAGACTAAATCAAGCATATAAGATAGATTGTAACTTACAGTTCCTTCAGCTCATCGACCTTGGCTCTCGATTCATCATCTAGAGCAAACAAAGCACTGGACTCCACGTTCAGTTTTCTCTTGGACCTGGAAACAACATGGGATTCTGAGGCACCATTTGCAGCTTCATGGTGTGCAGGTCTTGACTCTGCCGTTTCCTTGTGTATTAGGCCATTGCTCTTGCAGGCAAGCGGCTTCACAGAACTAACAGCGCCATTTTCAGAGCTTTTATTTTCACTAGCAACTGCATGTGGATGGTAAGACTCACCATTGACAGCATTATCTTTTGCTCTGTGTCTGGAACCATTCTCGAGTACTGATGACTTTGGCTCTTTGCCAAGTTTACCCATTTGAAGTTTGCCTCCTGAAGTACCATTAGCTACCCCATTTGCTTTAGTATGAACCTCAACCCTCCCATTGCTAATTTGAGGAACCATCTTAGAAACAGAGTTACCAGTAATATTGAACTTTATTGGTGTAACAGAAGTGACTTTGTCAACCTTAGATCTGCCTGGAACATCCTTCCCAGAAACCAGTGGCTTTGAAGAAAATGGTTTTGGGGGAAGAGCCTCCTTAGTACTTTTAGAGGCTGCGCTGCCATTCGAGTGACACGAATGGACTCCATTTGAAGTACTTTTAGAGGCTGCGCTGCCATTCGGGTGACACGAATGGACTCCATTTGAAGTACTTTTAGAGGCTGCGCTGCCATTCGGGTGACACGAATGGACTCCATTTGAAGTACTTTTAGAGGCTGCGCTGCCATTCGGGTGACACGAATGGACTCCATTTGAAGTACTTTTAGAGGCTGCGCTGCCATTCGGGTGACACGAATGGACTCCCTGTGAAGTACTTTTAGAGGCTGCGCTGCCATTCGGGTGACACGAATGGACTCCATTTGAAGTACTTTTAGAGGCTGCGCTGCCATTCGGGTGACACGAATGGACTCCATTCGAAGCAAACGGAGGCTTTGTATGTACTGGCTTTGGATTAGTTCGAGAGAAGAAAAGAATATATACATTCTCTGACAAGACCTCCTCTAAGTTTGACATGGTGACAAAAGAGTCATTGCAGCAATACCACCGGCCCATTGCATCCTGTGGTCAAAATGCCACAATTTAAGTCAGTGAACCATCTTCTGGCTTTTACTACCAGTATCAGCAGGCACTATTTGTGAATATACCTTAATATAAGCGTAGTAATGTCCAGAGTCGGGAGAGAATCCTGAATGCACTATTGTACCAAAGAGACTATATTCTGGCTGAGGATCCTGAAGAATTACAAGTATGAAATAAGGAACAATCAAATATGCAAATCAGTAACATCAATAATAAGAACACGCGAAAAAAACAAAGTCGCAACAAACAAAAAGTGTAAACAGCTATTAATCCAACCATTCAACATGTTATTAAGCACAAGCAGTAGATGAAGGACTATACACATCTTTCACTAGGTCTAAGCAACGTAAGGTGGTCAACTAGAGAAGCAAGAATAACTAGGGCCCAGTATATAGAAACATCAACTCATATCAAAGTTGAGCTTGTTTCGCTAAAAAAATAGATACTTAGTTTCCACAGTTAGTTCTAGAGCACTAGGTACTTTCACCTTGCCAGATTACAAATACAAAAGGGTAAGGGTCTTGATGAGTCTATGCACAATACAGTTCAGTTAGCCAGACGGTGCTGGACTCCCATAGCCATAGTTGTCTATCTGTCTTGATAGTTCAGTTAGCCAGACAGTTCAGTACACCACCATTTACAGTTATGTAAACTTGTGGCCGTCAAGGACTTGTGATATTAAGATAATAAACCTCGTGCCTGCTAAGTAACATCCAGTTGTAATGGTATCTTTCTCCATTCCAATACTTGGTAATCAAAACCACCATCATCCATAGTCTAACAACCCATCCCAATCCATCCACTCCCCACCCCCTCTACAGTTACCCAGTTCAAGAATAGGCTTGATCAAATTATCTCAATGGTAGTTTCGATAAACTTATTGGTCAATATAACCCAAAAATTATGTTCCTATCCATTAGCTTTGCTGCGTCGACATAGTATCTCCTAGGTGAAGACACTTGAACAATAAGTCAAGATACACTGTCGGCTCCTTGTTTCCATCCAAGAGATTGCACACTTGTTTTTTATTAAAAGCATCCAGGTGTAATAATGAGCACAACAACGTTCAGATACAATTCCACAGAACAGTGGCAGTCCACAGTTGGTTCTAGCACCAAATAAAGGAGAAAGATGAATTCTACAGTGCAGCTAACCATACCTGGCTCGACTTGCACATGAAGCGTGAAAGTACCAAGACTTCTTCAAATGCTATAGTCCTATCAATCTTCCCGCCAAATATGCCCTCAAATCTCTGGCAAGCACACGTCCAACTATAAGTCTCTCTACTCCAAAAAGAATAGACAAAGCATCACCACTTTTTTCTGAGTTACTGGTGAAACCAAGACCAAAACTTAAAACATACCTTGAGTTGGATAACAAGGATATTCGGTGCTTGACTTATTGACATTTGCTTCCTTGCTGCCACCAATTTCTTACAACTAAACAAGCATTAGTCCCAAATTTGAACAAAACCAGAACAAGTATAAACGAGAAAAAGCCAACTAAAACAATTAGGTAGTTACCTTTCACATCTGTACTTATTGTTGCCATCCAAAATCTCTGGCTGGAAAAACTTTTGCATGGCCTCTAAAAGCGATCCACTGTGCAAAATGTCGAGACTAATGTCCATAATCTCATCGACCTTATTGGACTCGGCATGACAAGACAAGCACTTCACTTGGCTCTGCAGGGCACCCCCGAATATATCCTTAACAACAGTACTTCCGCTAGCAGGGTCGATGCCCTTCCGCGACAGCTTCTTAAGACGCAAACAGGTGTTGTGGCATGCATCGATGACATATCGCAGGAATTCGTGGGCGTCTTCCTGTCGGCCACTTCGAAAATGCTCTGCATAAATCCTGAGACAACTCAGGATCTTGGCCGGGGCATCAAGGTTGCGGCCCAAGCTCAGAGAGCGGACTATCCTTTTCTCAAGTATACAAAAGGGGCATTCCCGCTTAAGCTGCCCGTTGGAAACTGAATCACCTGAAGAAATAGTTTGACAAAACAAATATTCAAAAACAGGATTGATAAACACATACCATGAACTTCTTTGCCCTAAGAAAACAGAAACTCTAGAATGTTGCCCCTAGCTCCAATCAAAGCAAAGGGCAAAATAATAAAATGGAGGCAATATTGCTCTCTATGATTCCTATTCCTAATTCCAAAGAGAACCACAGTTCATTGAAGGAAGAGGGAAGCTTACAGCGAGATGAGTGCTCTAAACCGAGGCAGAAATTGGCGAGAGGAGGGGTGTAAGTGAGGCACTGGAGGACGCTGTTGAGGTAGCAAGTGTTACCGAGGTTCCTCAGCCCTAATGGCGGTCCATTCTTCCTTTCCTGGCTCAACAAACTCGGCTGCCAACTCATCTGCAATCGCAGGCCGCCCATTCACCTAATCGACACGCCTATTGGTAGCCGACGATCCCCTTGCTTCTTCTTCATTAGACGCGGCAACTACACAGGGCAAGCAAAGCTAGCAAACCGCAGCGTCCTTTATTTCACCGCCGGTTATTATTTGGCCATTCACCGCCGCAACCAGCCAGCCTCCGCCGTCGGTCGCTTCGGCGATTACCCCAATCGCATCGGCCGCGTTGTTTGTCGATCTCTCCCTCCCCCTCTCTCTTTCTCCCCCCTATTTCTGAGTCCCGCGGGCTTCTAACTCTCTCCCTCCTTTTCTCTCTCCCTCTAATTGATTAATCCATCTCGGAATAGAAATCGTAATTTTAGGGATTTTTTTTTTAATTAAGGGGCGGTCGCTGCTGCACGAGACCGGGTGCTAAAAGTAAAACCGCCCGGTCCGTTTGTTCATCCGCTTTGCTAAAAGGCCGGACTTATTACTCTGGCCCAAGATTCTAGGGGGCTAAAGGCTTGATGGGTTGATAGTCTGGTATGACCTCAGTCCTCGTAAAGGCCTAATGTACATATTGGCCTTTGTTAGAGCCGAAAGGCCCGAGAGGCCCAGCATCCTCGTAATAGCCGGGAGGCAGCCTCATAAGTAGTGATGGCAATAGGTTGGGGCGGGGCGGGTACCTCAATACTCATGCCCCGCCCCATGTTATTACGGGTCGGGGCGGGTAATATCTGCGCGAGTACGGGGCGGGACGGGTCGACCCATCCTTATATGCTATTTGGAAAAAATACAAGCAAAATTTTAATTTTTACGATAAAACGAATGTGAAAAGACTTCATGAATGGATAATAGTGATAATATAATGGTTATTTGAGTCTATTTAGTTGAAAGATCAAGTCTAACTAGTTAATCTTGACCTAGAAAGTCAAACTAGGAGATATATGCATGGATGGCATAAGAAATTGACTTAGAATGGGCCAAGAATAGGGCGGGGCGGGTTGGGTCGGAAGTTGGTACCCATGCCCCGCCCCCACGCTACTGCGGGACGGGTAATACCCGCCCCATCGCAGATCAGGTCGGGTAAAACCCGACGGGGCGGGTTCAAATTGCCATCCCTACTCATAAGAGCTTGAATGATAATGCTCAATGGGGGTAAAGCTAGGTGTGCAGCGGTTCGTGTCGGACTAAATCGACGCTGGATCACACGAAAAGAATATATAATCTAGTGCAGTTCATGGATTCATGAATTTTATAAGTATCAAATAGAAATAGGCTGAATTGATATTTGGGCGAGATCAAATCAGACCGAATGTGATGATGCTTAAATCATTGATCCTGATCTTTTTTTATTATTGGACCATGATTCTCATGGTTTTGGTCTGGTTATTACTAGACCATTGCATACCCCCTAAATAAAGCTCATTTGCGGGCTATTCATTTATTAGTTTGTACTATCATGCATAGCAATAAATTAATCACAATTTGTGAATGCCCTAGTAACATCAAATATTATGAAATCGTATCGAAGATTGTGTTGAAACTATGGTTTAACAGTTTCATACGAATAAAATATTTTATGGTCTAAAAAAACTAAGTAATACACCAAAAAGTAACTATGCTCCCAAAAATGGCTATCACCTCACTACTAGTTTGTTTCACTCTGTCACCACACTCCTTTATTTTCTGGTCATTCTCCCCTTTTGTAAGTTCCCTTCGATTCCACAGTACTGTTAGATGAGTTTATTCGCATCCTTTAGATTGGGAGAGGCTTGAAGATAATGTAGCAGGAAAACTTGTGAAACACAAATATTTATGTGGACGAGAGCCAACAAAAAGTCTATGTTGATAGGATTTGGCATCAAATGCTCACCTCCAAATGCTCATCCACACTACAAAACTACAAACTTCCGCTCTCATTGTAAACCATTTCCATAACTTTTTTTTTGTTTTTTCAACACAGCAATGTAGCGCACATTCATAAAAGTGGGTAACGGTTCGGTTAATCTGAGTATTCCAAATGTTAATTGTAGATTCAACCAGAAGGTATGAAAAAGTCTTGCCACAATTTCAAACTCGTATACATTGACTTCTAGTTTGAAGAGACGTGCAATAAAAATAGCATGAAATTAATCATTATCTCTCTACAACCACTTGAATTGTTGGAATGAACGAATTCAGAATACGTGTTTCAATTTGGTTTTTGACTCGATTCAATCCGATCATGAACCGCGAACCGAGCATAGTTCAGTATTTTTCCTGTCTAGCAAATGGGTTTTCTTTGGTTTCTTCTGGCGATTCCAGGCCCACCCATTTTTGTCCCCAAGCAAATCTTCACATACATGGCCCTCCTAGTGGCTGTTGTTACACCCTTATCTTTCTTCTCCCCACACACCCCTTAGCTAAAACAATCTTCTGTGTAACTTACTCCTATCCTGCACTTTGGTGCACACACACCATCAAGCCGTTGGTAAGAACTGAAAAGCAAATCTCCTTTCCTTCTCCTTCCTCTATCCGATTTTGCTGCTAACTCTGTTTCTCTCTTTTTCCCACCACCATCGCAGATTGGCCTTGCCTGAATTTGGAGCGCGGGAGGAGGAAAGGGGAAGATGGCAACCATTACAAATGTGACCGAGTACCAGGCGATTGCAAAGCAAAAGCTGCCTAAAATGGTGTACGATTACTATGCATCCGGCGCTGAGGACGAATGGAGTCTTGAAGAGAACAGAAATGCCTTCACCAGAATCCTGTGAGTTGGCTTGCGTGGGACGACGAATCGGGTTAACATGGTATTAATTAGAGTCTTTTCTTTTGATGATGAAATGGGTTTGGTACAGGTTTCGACCGAGGATTCTGATTGATGTGAGCAAGATCGACATGACCACCACTGTGCTGGGGTTCAAGATATCCATGCCTATCATGATTGCCCCTACTGCCATGCAGAAAATGGCTCACCCTGAAGGTTCCCCCATCTATACTAGTTTTCACTACTCTATATGCTCTGTTTTCTATAAGCTAGATGATGATGGTGTAAGTAAATATTTGTTCACTGTCCTCCTGCAGGGGAATATGCAACTGCTAGAGCTGCATCAGCTGCTGGAACAATCATGGTTTGTTCTTCTTTTTCCCCCTTATGTGAAATCGTATAATCGAGATGGTTGAGACGACGGATTCACACATGAAACCAACAATTGTTAAGGGCTTCGATAAAAATAGATGTAGTTGTTATTTTTGTATTTGAGATAAAATTTTATCTCAAACACGATAGTCGAGATAATCAAGATAATGGAGTTCAAAGTGAAATATATATAATTTTAGCACATAATGTAAATTTAGGTGATAAAATATAGAAAATTTCCTAAATAAAATATGGCTAATAAAAGTAAGCCCATGGGTCTGCAGACGCTGTCGTCATGGGCTACTTCCAGCGTGGAAGAGGTTGCTTCAACTGGGCCTGGCATCCGCTTCTTCCAGCTCTACGTAAGTCCACTAAAAGCCTTGGAGGAATAAATTTCAACTCGATCACTTTACTTTGCAGTTTCTAACTTTCCGGTCCTGAATCCGATAGGTCTACAAGAACAGGAATGTTGTTGCTCAGCTGGTGAAGAGGGCTGAAAGGGCTGGCTTCAAGGCCATTGCTCTAACCGTTGACACCCCGAGGCTGGGACGCAGGGAAGCTGATATCAAGAACAGGTCCTCACATTTTATCCAGTCCTTAGACTTCTTTAGTTTCCTCCATCCGGTCCCTAGAAGTTCAAAGTTTGCTTTGTTTTGCTCTGGTTTGATCAGGTTCACACTGCCACCTTTCTTGACACTCAAGAACTTTGAAGGCTTGGACCTTGGCAAGATGGACGAGGTAATTAATGATTAATCAGATTAAATAATCTTGATCTCTCATCAAAACACCACGAAATGATTCGTTTTTAACTCGTCTCTGTGCAGGCCAATGACTCTGGACTTGCTTCCTATGTTGCTGGCCAGATCGACCGATCCCTCAGCTGGAAGGTTGCTTACTGTCTTTTTTTTTTCTTTTCTTCCCAGCAGCATGTTAAGCTCATATGATGTTTTAGATCTCGATTTAGATTGCGATTAGTGAAGTTTCTACCGCGGTTAATCGTTTTACTCCTGTGTGATAGGATGTGCAATGGCTTCAAACAATCACCTCCCTGCCCATTCTGGTCAAGGGTGTCCTCACAGCTGAGGATGGTAAGAGCTACCAACCAATTTGGTGATGTTGTCTCAAAGTTTTTCGACATTAACGAATTCTCAAAATTCTGATTACTGGTGATGGTCTGTATGTAACAGCAAGGATAGCAGTTCAAGTTGGAGCAGCAGGAATCATTGTGTCCAACCATGGTGCTCGTCAGCTCGATTATGTCCCTGCTACCATCAGGGCTCTTGAGGAGGTATGTCGTGCTCGTCGTCGACGTTTCCTAACAACTCAAGTTATTAAAACGAAACCACAATGTGCAGGTTGTGAAGGGCGCACAAGGGCGAGTCCCGGTGTTCTTGGATGGTGGTGTGAGACGCGGGACTGATGTGTTCAAGGCGCTGGCACTGGGAGCCTCTGGCATATTTGTGAGTTCCATCCAATCTTGCGTCCTTCTTCGTGTTAGTACGCGGTATAAGATTTATTTATTAAACCTCTCTTAATAACCTGCATAGATTGGACGACCGGTGGTGTTCTCACTGGCTGCTGATGGAGAGGCCGGAGTGAGGAACGTGCTTCAAATGCTGCGTGAGGAGTTCGAGCTGACAATGGCGCTCAGCGGCTGCCGTAACCTGGGCGAGATCACCAGAGGCCACATCTTCACTGATTGGGATGCTTCTCCCAGCCACCCTACTGCCAAGCTTTGAAGGCAATCCCAAAAGTGTTCAAGATCTCTGTTTTCACCCCTGCCATTTTCATGGATCCATGAACAGACTCTCGTTTGTTTGTTTGCTCACTCTGGGTTTACCATACATGTGTATTTTGATTGGAAACTTTGATATACCAACCTCTTCTTCCTTATGTTTTGTTGTGAATGGTTGAAACTCTATTCCTGGTACTAATCAAATGCCAACCTGAATTGGCTCCCCCCTTTGTATATCTAATGTGGCAGAAGTATATGTATTATGTGGTATTAACTAATGTCGACAACATTTAAAAGAAAGCATGAAACAATCAGAGAATAGACCATCACAAAGCGGATTAATTATATTGAACATTATTTTAGTATGGTAGTGCTAAAAATATTTTTATGTATAATGCACGTCTTTGATAGCCTTAATGTTGTTCTCTTTGCTTTCACTAAATAAGCTACTAAATAAGAAGTTGAGATAAACACGCCCTAAGGACAAAATCATATCTTTTCCTTCATACCAATAATTGTAAAACCGTACTGGAAATGTTAGTAATAGAATATTTTATACTAAAATCATGGTTGAATTATAATTCAACTGTTTCGTACCGCGAAAACCGCATATCATTTCGGATCCAATATCTGGTATTTACAATCCGACCGGTCGATAAAATATTGATCTATGCAAGCTGGCCTAGGCTTGGGCTTGGGCAGGATTCATCCAGCCCATTTGAAGTCCAAGTGCAGGCCCGTTAGCGGGTGACGAGTCATCTATGTCCAGCCAATCAACTTCGTCGTTTGCACCCAAAATTCCCCAATACAGTTCTCTTTTCCACCCGCGAATCGGCAATTGCAAAAACTCGGGGACTTGCCGCCGGGCAATGGACGAGAACGGAGTGGCCGCCGGGCAGGGTAAGTACAGGTGCGGCACCGCCGCGGAGACCCTAGAATGGATCAAAGCGATCGTCGAATTCATACAACCTTACAACTTCTTAATCACGGCGCAAGTCGTAAATTTCTTCACGGACAGACTGTGGGAAGCTTTAGATAAGGAATGGGTTGATTGCCTGCGGAACGAACCAGTTCAGCACCTCCTTCTCATTCCTTCCGGTGTGGTTCAGGTAACGGCCGCCTTCTTTCTCCAGTACAGTAGTTCCAATGGAGTTGTTTGGTTATGGTTTGTGTGTGTATTTGCTTTACGTAGGATCATTGGCCAGCTTCTCTCAAGCAATTCATACTCACTTTGAGGTCCCTCGCGTTTCCAAGGGAGCAAGTGAACCTGCAAAAGGTACAGTTGCTTTGAGATAAGTGTGACTGTATCTTTGTTGGCTCCATTTTTAGAGCTTTGGTGAATACAAAATATTCCGCTAATTGAAATATAATTATACTTAGCAGCTGGTTATAGGTTTGTATGTTCTTCTTGCCCAAAATGATTTCATTGCTCTTGGTAGTTTGTTCATCTTTTGATTTAGTTTTTCCTTCTAATCTGCTGCAGCTTTTTCCCAAGCTGAACATGACATCGCTTAGTAGTGTACTTTCCCAGGGGATGAACAAGAAGAAACGACACGAGGTATGTTATTCATATCTGAAATTATTATTGGTTTTGCTAGGGGCCTGACTTGGATTACTGCTCATTGTCTTTAAGAGAGCTTTGGATGAACCTATTCCTAAGTTGATTTAGTGGGAGGAAACCATATAGTACAAATTCGTTTTTGCATTTCTTGCTCTATCACTGAAATTGTCTAAGTACACAGTCACATTCTTATATCAGTGAATTGGTTTTTGTTTCTGAGCAGATTGAAGTCCTTTCTGCTATTGTAAGTTCAATTACAAATGAAGTGGGTGCAGAAGTGATTGTTGATGTTGGTGCTGGTCAGGTTTGGACTCCTTTTTTCCCTTCCACTAATAGACTGACATGTATATTTGAAAATCCACTAGTACTAGCAAGATTGAAGCTGCTTTGCTTTCAACAGCCATTTGCAGAACTTATCTAATTCCCTCGAGAGGGACTTGCAGTTTACTTGCTTTCTTCACATTACTGAGGACATGAACGAAATGAGTGATGGCTAGAAAATTGCTAATTACAACTGAAGCAGAATCAAAAATGGGTTGAACTTGTGTAATTTTCTGTGATGTTCTCTGTGTGTTGCATGGGATTCAGGGGTACCTGGCACAAGTGCTTTCCTTTCAGTACCACCATCATGTAGTTGCAATTGATGCTTGCTCTCATCATGGCAAAGTCACAGAGTCAAGGGCTGAGCGAATAAGAAAGCACTATGCTGCTCAAATGCGTAAATTGGGGTATGAAGTGGTCGTCTGTTGTAATGTTTATTTGTGGTGTCATAAATTTTCTTTTGAGCATTAACACATTATACATTAGTTGACTTCTTGGCATTATGAAGAAGTTTGTAGCTGTATTTAGTAACGACCCGTTCCACTTCCCCTTGTTAGTTCAGGAAATGGGACAATCAGTACACCCAGGACAATAACTTGCCGTGTATTGTCAACTGACATGCTAAAATCATTGGCCGACATAGTACCACCAGCTGATGATGTCAAGGGGGCACAGTTAATTAACCAAGATACGGAGGGGAAAGCTTCGTTGGTACTTGCTGGTTTACATGCTTGTGGTGATCTTTCAGTGACAATGCTGAAGTGAGTATCTTTCTGTTTCGTGTCATTTATCATTTTCTTTGGTTTTCTTGAAGTTGCAGGCACTGATAGTGCTATATCCAGGGCATGAATTGTATGATTGCATTGTGCTCTTTAAGTTTTTTCTTTTGCAACTATTTATTTTTAGTTTCTCAATACATCTTTATAAGTTTTCTTACAATTGGACCAGGACCTTTTCTGAATGCAAAGATGCTAAAGCTATTATTAGCATTGGTTGCTGTTACAACTTGTTATCTGAAGAATGTTTCAACTCTGCTGGTTCTCAGACCGGATTTCCTGTGAGCAATGGTGTTAGGGCCACCAGCATTTCTCTGGGGAAAAGTTCCCGTGATCTTGCCTGTCAGGTGCACTTATACCTTGCCTCTCCAATCAGATGTGGCTTTTTTCTTCTCAATTCATTATGTACGTGCAATCTGTAGGTTAATTATACCCACGAGAGCATTAGCTGTACAAGGGAAAGGGTTAAGCTGTTGGGTTGTTTTAGCATGTCTACCTATATCGCGAGCCACATATTTGTAGTCTTTGGACATACTTAAGCAGTTCTTGGATATGGGATGCAGTTCATCTACTTCATTATTTTCTCTTCACGAGTATCCTGTCCACATTTAGTTTCAGTCTGATGATCTCTAATTGCATCTTATCTTTGTTCAGAGTGCAGAGAGATGGAGTTGTCTCGACAAAGATGCTGGTCTTCAGAATTTTGATTTGCATGCCTTCCGTGCTGTTTTCCAGAAGGTATGAGCTTGGCTGAGTTGGTTTACGCCAACTCTCTTTCTTTTTATATGCAGCTTATGTTCTTCAGAGCTTACTTGCTTATAACATTTCATTCCCTCTCAAGGTTCTTTTTAAATACTATCCTGGAATCATAACTTCAAGACCCTCGGTTGGCCGTCAAGGGAAGGCTCTGCGCCGCAAGCAGCAGAGGGGGGTCCCCTATTCCTTGGAAAATGCTGAAGGTAATAAACATTTCCTCTTGGAAACCTCAAAAGGGACAAACATTTGTAACATAATGCAGCCTCTAGGATCTAGGTTGTATTGTAGAATTGGTAAACCCAGTCTCACCTAACCAAACCTTAATTACATTCGGCATTTCCTCATAATAAAAAGAAGTGTCTCTTGCAGATGACGATTATAACTCAGCACTGAACATAAATGCGAACTCAAATGGTGCAGCTTGTGATTTGGTTAATGAAGGACTTGCAGCTCCAGATAAGTGTACACTCTTTGAGAAATTCAGTGTGTCTGGACTCTCTCGCCTTGGCCTTGAACCCTTGCAGGAGATTGATTTCCATGAAATCTGGAGTGAATCTCAGCCTTATGCAGTATGTTGCTACCACCCTGTTTTGGATCACACCAGTTTCTTTATGCTGCTTTTTGTTCTTTAGCACCCTTTACCGTAAGACTAAAAATCTGTTTCTCCCTTCGCTTTACTCTTCTCCTCATGTTCAACTTTGTATTAAACCCAAGTAAAGATCTCGTTCCAACTTCCAACTATATGTTTTATTGCTGTATAACAACCCAACTTATTACCACTTTTTATAATCTGCAGGAGCTTATCGGGCCATATTGGTCTCTTCGAGCTGCTATGGGACCTGTTTTGGAAACTTTGCTTTTGCTCGATAGAGTATTGTTTCTCCAGGAGCAAGATGGACTATTGGATGTAGCTATGTTCCCTATTTTCGACCCTGCATTATCCCCTAGGAATTTAGCTATAATTGCTAGAAGAACTTGACGCTAAGGTGCAAATGAAGCATTACAAAAATGGTATTGGAATTGCTTGCATAGGTTGCATTGCATTGCTGACGTGTAAGAGAAGTGCAGATATGATCTTGATGCCCACCTCCTGGTTGAGCATTTTCTGTCCTACTGGTTGATGCAAGTTATGTGGAATGTCTAACGGAAAACTATTGGGAACTGTGTATGTTGCCCCATGAACGGGTTGAAATTTTAACGATGCTCTTACCTGTTTTTCTTTTTGTGTAACTCATCGGCGAAAGCTTTGGTTTTAGTACTAATACCTTAGCCAAGTGTTTGTGAATTCCTGGAGACTTCTTATGCCAACATTCGAGTGCGACAGACCTAGTTAGAGTCTTAGAGGTCATTTCTCAGGGTCCACCTGAGGCTGCTTACTATTGTTCTGATGCAAGCACTTGTAGGACCTTGTTAATGTTTTCCTAGTTCATGCAAATAATTATAGGCTTTGTGATCATTATTGTAATTTGCTTACCCTACCTGCTTTATTATTGTTCCATTAAACTAGGAGAATCATTGTAATGATCATCGTCATCCATTGAAGAAGCTTCAATATTCGTGTTTGAAAGGACTTTGATAACTGTAGCTTTCTTTCTATTAGCAGTGTGCATGGAGGTCACTGTTGGCAAGTTGGAAATATTCTGGTTGATTATATTTTGATAGGGTAAAGCGTTTGTCCGCTCCCAGTTTGTCAGGTACCAATTTCCGACCCACTCTAGGATTTCCCATCATACACGGACTTTGATGAGAAAGAAGGCAATAAATGATGTAAGTACAGTTTTTGTTTATTACTTATATCCTTGTTGGATATCTCAAGTTGGATTTTTCTTATCAGGGGACTGGGGAATATTGCTGAATATTGATGAAAATCTAGCCGGTCTTTTGCAGTTTCTGACTGGCGGTTCAGCTGTAGAAGTCCTTGCAGGTAAATTATACCCTTCTTCTCTTTTAATTTTGTAGGGGCCAATGCTATTTTGGTCCCCATACTATGCTGTTTTACCAAATACATCTTTGTATTATGAATGCCAACAAATATCTGCCTGTGCTATTTTGTTCATCAGTTTCTAGTCCCTGTGTACTGAATTATGTCCAAATCTGACTAATGAGGTCAACCTATTGCTTAGTGTGTGCTTTCTTGACGAGACTTGTCACATATGTTGGAAATTTGTATTTCGCATCTCAATTCATACCATTGATAAAATCCGACCTCCTTAAGATCTGAATGATGGATGCATCTTGTGAAAATGAGATGAGAGGTAGAATTTTGAGGTGCAAAACATGAATTTTCAACACATTTGGCATGCCACTTATCAAGGAAGTGCTTACTAAGCTTGAGTTTGATATTAAATGTGACTAGTTTTGATAGAATCTTTAATCAAGGGACTAAAAGTCGATAAAGGTCGTATTAGAAAGATTAGAGGTACTATTGACCTCTTCTTTATGTGAGGAACAACAAAAGAACAATAAAACAATGACAAAAGAAAAGAAAAAAGGAAGAGGGCAAAGAATATTGGATAGGTTTGGCATTTCATTATTGTTTGTAATAGAAACTGGTGAGAGTAGGTTCTTGAGATGAATTGAATTTGTTGGGAAAAGGCTTAGAGGGGTATATGATTTTGGAAGCTCATTAGACAAATCAGCATCAGTTGAAGTAAGCAGAAGAAAAAAAAAAGCATTAAGGAGGGTGGGATTTGATTATTTATTTTTTCAGTTCCAACTGGCAATGCCTAGCATTGGGCCACGTGTTGAGGAGAATATTGTGATTAACTTAAACAATTCCTTCTCATTTTTGTTTTTTTTTTCTCTCCTAGTAGGGTCTCTGTTCCCAGTAGCTGCCGACTTCCCCAGGAATTTCTTAGGCAAAATATCTGATTTGGTTGGAGGTTGACCCGAATCGGTTAGGAATGGAGTATAATTCAATTCTGTTTCGATTTCAAATTCAAGACTTCCCCTGCTCTTTCTCAAATTATCAGATTTATCTCGAGTACAAGGGATCGAATGAGGACTGCACATAATTGAATCTGATCGAATGCAATTTTGATATGATTCTGGTTATCTTTTTATCTCTGTCCGGTTCTATACCAGGTTTGATTCTGGACCGGGTTGATTCATGCACACCCCCCCTCGCTGATATCCCTCTCTTCTTTTGTCTGTCTTCACTCTTCAGGTACATATCTACCTGTGACCAGAAATAGGCGGAAAGTGAATGATCACATACTAATTCAAAGACGTCTAAGTGCAGTCTCTTCTGAGAAGTTCAGTCCAGATATGCTCTCTTGAACTCTTCCTTTCACAATTGCCTTAGACTGGTCAAAGAACTTGCAGTCTTTCTTTTGTCTTTAAAAACCACTTCTGCTCAACCATTCTTAGAACAGTCTTCTTCTGTGGTTCATATTTACTTGGTTTTTATCATAGACAGCAACAGTATTGTTAGTTAGTCCTCTCATCTAAATTGACCGCTATCTAACCCTGTGGATAGGTTCTCCTGCCCGTGTGCAGTGTCACCTTAGTCTCTTACGGCATTGTTTTTTTCTGGCATATGAATAGTATCAAATACTTCTAGGAGCATTAAGATAAACATCAATGTTCACGGTATTAGATGTTAGACTAGAGGTGTTTGGAACTGATAAAGTTGACCTATAGGGGACGAATCTTTGCAGTTTAGATTGATCCTAAGCTACAATCATGTAGATTGAACATAAGGAGGTTAGGCTTCGTATATTTATTTGCGGGGTTTCTGTTGTAGTTTTTCAGATCTGCCAAATCACTGACTGTGGGATATTTGGTATAGAAGATGTGAAGGTCGTGGGGGAGCTTGAGTATTGAATGTTGTTGGAAACTTGACCAAGTCCAGTGTGGGAATGTGAGAGCTTCTGTGTGTTAGGAAAGAGAAGGGGCCAACCTAATCTTCATCAATCTGCCATTTATATATATATAAAAGGAATGACATCATTTGTATACAATAAACCAATAAGTGGATAGTTTAGGAAGATCATAATCTTTGTTTTAGTCATATCCATTTTGCTCTCCTTTTCTTGTTTAAATAAATCCGTCAAGTCATCTCATTATTAGCTAACTGTCATTTTCCACTCATGGGAGTTGTTTGAAAATCCCCTGGTTTGTAGTAAGATTTCAAATGATAGAAGGGAATCGCTAGTATATGCTGTAGGTGGGATGGATGGAGGTTTCGTTATGGTCATTAGGACGTAATTGTTATGTATGGATCGATCCTTTTAGCAATGAACTCGGGACCTGAATTTTTTTGTGTGGAACGAATAATTGGCGAGGACGAATTGCTGTCATAGTAGAGGGACTTGTTTGTTGAAATAGTATAGTACAGGGACTGCAAATTTCAACAAACGGTTTGTAGGAATGTTCAAGTTTAATTGATGAGAAGTTGCACACTTGCACTAAGGTCTTTGTCAGCTCTTTCCACAGATAGATTAAGGTACCGACGACGAGAAATTGGAATTCCGGTCATTATAGGGAATTCTGGTCATTGCAATTTCGTGTGCATATTCTATCCTTCTTTCTCTCGGTTTTCCTTTTCTTTTTCACTTCAAATTTGCAAGTGGGCATTTTCATGTATTATACGACATAGGTATGTATATTACCTAATGTAAGTTAGGAATTGGGTGGGTATATGTTGGGTTTAAGAGAAGGCGTCATTTTTTGGTATGAGGGAGTAAACTTGGAGGAGTCATTCTTCTTCCCCGTGCTTGTATTTTTACTTGTGGTTGTACACCATATATATTGATGATAGTTTAGTAGAATTATACCGATAACCAAAAGTAAAATACAGCCCTGGGAAGAAGATAAGTTTGATTAGTGATAACTCCTAGTACCTGACTCCACAAGGTGGTGTTGAAGGAGGCGATAATATTTAATGAGCGAGATACATAGTGAGCACTGAGCATTGCGCGAGGGGTTGTTAATGTGTTGGATAGTGAGCGGGCAGTCTTGAAATCGATTATGATTCAGGAATGAAGTGAGTAGGTGTCAATAGAGTAACGAGTAATGTTATTGGTCACCGACCTCATCATCATGAATAGAGAGGACAACTGTGAGGAGTTGAGCTTGGCATCCAACATGAGATTAAGATTGGGCGAATTAGTGGCCTCCTTGCCTTGAGAAAAGAGAGGCAATAGTTGTAGAACTGAGAGATCCAGTGTCAACGAGGAGGCTACAAAGATCCTTGTTCGAGAATCGTTGAGTAAGAGCACCAATACAACCAACCAGAGAGAAGTGAATTGGGAACCGACTATGGTGAGAATACCGCAAGTGTAAATAAAAGCAAAATTGGCAACATCATATGAATGAAGGATAAAAAAAGGTTTTTGTAAATCGAACTAAAGCAAGATATCAAGCAGAGCTCGAGATCTTGTGCGAGGAGCCTGGTTTGGTGAACCCTTACGTACACTTACAAAACTTCCACACATGTGTGGAATGTCCAATATCAACACGTTATCGTGCACATCTTTCATTATCTGCATCATAATAAGAGATAGATTTTGGCATTCACTTGGTAAAAGGGATGTCTCTCTCGTGGATGATGTTGTTGTCCATCTCTTTGTTTTTACCGATGATAGTAGTCTAAAAAAACAATAAAAACATAATAATTCGAGGTGAGAATTGTTTAGATGACAAAATTTTAAGGATGAGATTTGGCCAAACATCTTACTCTAATGATGATGAAGGCACTATGTCAATTAGTTATCAATGTGCCAAACGCAGTCGTCATGGGGGGTTTTTGGCAGGTAGAGGCTAAATTAATAATGCAAATAAGGTGCGTCTCTCATCAAACACCACAAAATTCCATAGTGGTTGGAAATTTTACAAGAACCCACCCTCCTGCCCAACAAACTATTAGAAATGAGTACAAAAATGGTGACGAGAATGAAACTTCTCTCTCTACAACCCACCAGCAATTTGGCAGTGATTGGTTTGGCCACATCATCATTTCCCCACAAGGAGCTGAGCCATATAAATTAGTGCTCTTTGTAAAAATTCGTTAATACTCGTATAATACCCGAACTAGTATTACATGTGTTTAAAAAGCTCTATGATGTACTATTGTAGAATCATTTTATTTCTGAGTTTATTCGATGCTTAACGTGCTATATATGTATAGCACATTTAGTACAAGTGCTTTTAAAAAAACCAATTAATAATCTAATAATTTTTAACATTTGCATTAAATTTTAAATAATTCATTTTAAGTGTTTTATTTCCAAACTTTTAAAAGTACCGTTATGTTCAATCGACATATCAAACTTAGTACATATTGATATTGTAAATTATTAGTATCTTATTTTTTTTAAATTAAATGATCCTTGAGAAGAATTTGTAAATTTCATTTGGTCGTGACTCGTGAAGGAGCTTTTTGTATGGGTCTAGTCAGTCTTGCTATCTTTATCTAGAACAATAGTGCAAAATAGTATCATAATATGTTAAATCATCTCTATCAAACTCAATTTCCTGGAAGTTACACAAACAAACTTCAGTATGTCCTCGCGAACTCAATAAGCTTTTGAACTTTCAAATGAGTACCATAACTTAACTGCAAACACCATAATTTGATTAAGCAAATAAATTCACTCTAAAAGTATTGCGAGTCGAGGAAGAGCATAGTACTCTTCTTACTTTGATATTGATATCCTCTCCTTCAATTAGTCATATAAAGAAAAGAAAATCAAAATATATAGGCTATCTTTTTTTGCTTCTAAGAATTAATAAAATCAAATCCACTCATAATAATAACAATTATAATAAAGGAATAGAACCAAGAAGAAGAAAATGCTCCTCTATCTCACCCTCCCTAGCTATCTAGCTCCCTCCATTTCTTTTCTCTCATATGGAGAGTATGACTAGTTGACTTTCCTATTTTACTTATAAGCACCATCTTTCTTCTTCTTCTTCTTCCCTCTTTATATAGTTGGGAAGGAAACCCTGCTTCTTATATGAATAGATAGAATCCCCAAAACTCATGTAGCCTGTCTTTGTTTCGGGTTCTCTCGCCCAAAGCAAATAGACTAAGCATATAAAGCTCCCAATTCCCCTCTTCTCCAGCTTGCTCGCTCTGTTTTGCTTCGTCTCTCTCTTCTCTGTCTCTCTAGAACTTGAGAAAAGTTCAAAGTTCAAACCCAGAAGAAACAGAGGTAGCTGGACAGGATCATGAGCAACATAAGCATGGTGGAGGCCAAGCTGCCTCCTGGGTTTCGGTTTCATCCGCGAGACGAGGAGCTGGTTTGTGATTACCTGATGAAGAAGATATCCAGCTCCAACTCCTTCTTCTTCATCGAGGTCGATCTCAACAAATGCGAGCCTTGGGATCTTCCTGGTAATTAATTCATTACTTTACTCTTGTTGCTATGGTAATTAGTTGTTACTTTTACTGCTTGATCAAAACTATTGGTTGTTGAAACTTTTACTGTATCTATTGGGGGATCACTTAGACATGGGTTTTGTCACGGTGTCAAGTGGTTGCTAAATGTCCAACTTTGGGCACAATATCCTGTCCTTTGGCAACCGAAAGTTTCATGGTTGCATGATGAAAAATTGTCACAAAAGGACCATATTTTTTGTTGTTGATTGCAAGTGGAGGAGGAATCTATTTAATTAGTCGATATTAATGGTTTCCACGAGTATATATGTTAGTTTATTCATTATCGTTCTACTAAAAAGATTTATTTAAATTTATTACTATTTACTGGCGTAGTCGGTTCATGGTTAATACAAGCTCTTCTACTGTACTGCAGAATCATTTTCGCTTCCCTCACGCCTCCTTTGTGTAGAGCTTAATTAATGAGGTCAAATCTTAGGCAAATAATATGATGCGCAAGTTGATTTGTTAATAACAGAGTCGAACCTAATAGATTTTTTTTTTACAAATAACCATATTAGCTTGGTTACAGCTATACGGTGCCGTGCAACTTATTGATATGGTATAATATCATGAATATGGGGTTTTCAAATCCGAATTGATTACGAACGGTAATCATTTTATATTACAGAACACACAAAAGTTGAGATATATGCTCAAACAATCTGATAGAAAGACAAATAGTTAAAGATTGTGGTTAGTGCTAATTAGATTGTGTTGTGATTTGTTGTACTTCCTTTTAGTTAAAAACCCAACACCTTAATTTTTAACCTCTAGCTAACTGCTGCATAAAGAAGAGCATTAACCTTTAATATCATTACTTATATTACCTAATCTCTCCTAATCACTACACAACTCACACCAATAATATTATTAATAGGTAATTAATACTAATAATCTTATTATGAAAATTGTTATATTCACTTAACAAAAACTTGGTGTCTAAAGTCTTTTGAAGAAATTGACAGTGGCAAGGTAGGAGGGAAGAGATATTGGTGCATGGTCCCAACCTAAAACGTCATTAATTACCTGAAACTTGGGGTATGTGTTTGTACTTAATTCTATATAGTTAGTACCTTAATTATTTCCCCCGTCACACGTGTGTGACGTACACACGTGCTACCTTCTACTTGGGGGTATCTAATTACGATTCATCTTGGGTTTTCACTTACTCACAACCAAACCTTATTTAACTTAATCTCTACCTAATCCAATACCCCATTTGTCAAAGCCACCACAGTACATTCACAAAACAAATGTCTCTAAAGTTCAAGCCCTAGTTTCCAAAGTCAAACAATCAGAAGTTAACATAGTAGTAATGTGAGAATAATTATAACACTCTGTGAGATTAACAAATATCATAGGATCAGTCAAAATGTCGGACACAAATCTAAAGTGTCATACAAAATTCATAATATGAGAATGCATTTACTTATTTTTTGTTATGTTGTTTATTTAGCATTTTTTTTGGGTGGAAAACGGATCGCTCAAAGGGCGCCCCAGGTGATTATAATTATGCAAGCACCTAGCTCCTAGTCATCTCTAGGATATTTTAGATGATAATAATGGAAATAGATATAAGGACAAATAAACTTTATTATGAGATGCCCATAACCCAAACAAACATGCCGTAAGCAAATGGGAACCCACAACTCATGGGAATATATGCACTAATTCATTGAGAGAAACCAAAAATGAAATAATGCAACCTTTTATATTAATTATTAATTGAAATAAAGAAATGGAATAATTTAAAAATGAAAGAATTTGAACTTTTATATTTATTAGTACTGAAATTATTCAAAATTTTATATTTATTAGTACTTGAAAAAAAAAATGGAGTAAGGTTGTCAAGTGGTAATTTAACTTCTTCTATATTGTGCTCCAATAATGCTCTACATATCCCTTAGCTCCATAAGAAATTGACCTCTCAACCACACAAAATAAATAATTATAGTAAAAATAAAACCTTCTAATTAGAGAAACACATATACATGAAGAAATTAATAATCAGCTATTTTAGCCTTACTTGCATCTATCACTTTCTCATGGTATCCGCCACTTGTCACCTCCATATATATAAGAGTTCTATTCTAGTATAGTGACATCTCTATATATAATAAAATCTGCCACTAGTCATCATCTTTCGATTAGCCTTTCCAGATCAATCAACCAAATAACCCAAAATTTACGAGTAGGAATGTAACCCGATTCGAAGCTCATACCAAAATTCTATTGGTTAAAATGTTAACCACCCTATATTTTCACCATCTAGAAGCTAGCTAGTAATAAGAATTCCTTGTTTGCTACTTGGGTATTATCCGTTGAAAACTGATCCCATTTTCGTTGACTTCGACCCAACCGAAACTGGCCAACAAAAAGCTAAAGGGAAAGTCTTCGGTTTGTGGATTGGGCCGGTGCCGGCCAGATCATCCGCTTACCCACTTGGTTCCATCTCGTTGTTAATTCAAATGCTCTCAATATCATCATCATCAAGCTCGATCTTTAGCGACTTACGTTCATGCATGCATGCATGCAGAATCCTAATTTATATCCGTTGAATGTTTGCTTATTGATTGCTGCGGTGCAGAAACAGCGTGCGTGGGAGGGAAGGAGTGGTACTTCTACAGCCAGAGGGACCGCAAGTACGCGACGGGGCTGCGAACCAACCGAGCCACGGCGTCGGGCTACTGGAAGGCGACGGGGAAGGACAGGCCGATTCTGAGGAACAAAGCCAGCGGCGGGCAGCAGCAGCTGGTTGGGATGCGGAAGACGCTGGTTTTCTACCAAGGTCGAGCCCCTAAAGGCCGCAAGACCGACTGGGTCATGCACGAGTTCCGCGTCGAAGGCACCCTTTCGCCCCCGAGAAGAAGCGCCGCCTCGCACAAGGTTCGTTCGTTGTTGTCTCTCTGATCTATACTCTAGTCTCCAAGTTTCGGATTACTATTTAATTTGAGGTTATAATGTTTCGAGGTTGATTTGCTTTTTTTTATCTAGCGTTAAAGACTTGTTATGTCACATAATACTCTTGAAATCGAGGAGACAAAATTGCAAACTAAGGACGACATTATGATGAGTCATATTTCGTATGTTGTTGATCTTAGTCGGACTAACAGACGGATTAAGTGACATGCATCCATCATGAGAGGGAAAATCAAGTCGATCGATGATGATATTGATTAGTTTGACATATTGAAAGGGAAAGATTTATTGCAGGGTCATATTCGAATGATCTTTTGCGTGAAGTTGTGATTGCAAGGAATCATGGAGGCATATACTAGAAAGAAATTCTTATGATTAGATTTAGGATCCAATTAGACTAAGCCACGTACAAGAAATTTGTACTTAGTGTCACTGTAAGCTGACCTAAGATGATTCTCTTTGGCCAGTTTATAATTAAGTAACCCGTGGTGTGATATTATAATTAATTTGTTGTCTTCTAATGCAAGTCACTAATTATTGTTAATTAGTGTTCGTCATTCTCTCTTTAGGATCTTGATTATAGCATGAAGTTTGGTAGCTGTTGGTGATCTTCTCTCTCAGTTAAACTAAATTATTGAGTGTAGTAATTAAGTTAGCTAGGGTTTCTTTTATTCTAAATGATTTAATAATTTGAATACGATATGATATAATTACAGTTACTAATCTCTTTGGATTGCATATGTATTTGCAGGAGGACTGGGTGTTGTGCCGAGTGTTCTTCAAGAACAGAGATGAAAATACTGGTCCCAAACAAAGCATTGGGATGGTGACCAGGAACAACACGAACACCATCAGCTACGACGACGAGGATGATGATTATCTCGACACCGATAACAACAACTCATCTTCTCTCCCACCATTGATGGACTCTTCTTACAACATCAACTTTGACCAACAGCAAACTGCTCATCATGATCAGTATGAGCAAGTGCCCTGCTTCTCCATGTTCTCCTCCCACGACCCACCACCGTCTTCGAACTCCTTGTTTCCACAGTTCTTCTGTAACAACTCTGCTGCAGCGAACTCCTTGGAGTTCGCTGCAGATCATCAGCAAGTATTGTCCATTGTCCCTCCTCCTGTTGCTGTGGAGGAGGGAACGTTCAGTACTTGTGACAAGAAGGTCATCAAGGCGGTGCTGAGTCACCTCACCAAGGTGGAAAATGCCAGTGATGATATTAGTAGTTACCCTTATTACGATCATCATCATGTTGTTAAGGATTCGTCGTGCTTGAGTTTGGGCGAGGGGAGCTCGATGGAGAGCTACCTCTCTGATGTGGGTATCCCTAACCTTTGGAACTCTTATTAATTGACTTGACCTTATATGTATGGGTGCCTATGCCCTTAATTTGAAGACAATCCTTGAAAAAAAGAACATGATGAAGAGAATGTAATGGTTTGTATAAATTTAGCTTTGTGGAGGGTGTAAATTTATGACATTTCATGTATGATGGTCAAATGTGTAATGTTTAATTTATACCCATTTTCCATTTTGGGTTGTTTGTTTTTGTAATGTACTACCACTTTGTATGGTCCTTGTGGGTGAAGCCTAGGGTAGGGATGGCAAAAATATCCGTAACCGTGGATATCCACCCGAATCCGACCTAATCGGGTAGGGTAAAACCCGAACCCGAATATTGCGGGTAATGGGTGGGCATGGTTATCTCACTATCCAACCTGAACCCGCCCGATTATACACATGCATATGTATTTTAATTTGTCTAGAAATAATCATTATGTTTCTCTAGAATATTTTATATTTAGCATATAAATATAATATTTTCATGAAATTATGTTGTTTTAATTAATTTTCGTCATTCTAGTGAATTATTTTCGTACTTTTCCTCTTACGTAATGTGAGTATACGTGTGAATGTTAACATATTGGTTGGAACTTGGAATTCTAAGGAGAAATTATTACCCATGGATAACCGTGGATACCCGAAACCCGAACGGGTATGGGCATGGTTTTGATTTTCTACCCGTTTCTCGTGTGGGTACGGGTATGGATAAAACCCGAACTACATTGGGTAGGGTAACGGATATGCACTATCCGTCCCCGACCCGACTCATTGCCATCCCTAGCCTAGGGTATTGGAGGGGATTAGAATATGAAATGGGTGATCTATTATAAATTGAAACTAATTTTCATTGTCGTGCATACATTTTGAAATTTTTTTAGAATACTCATATGTTTAACCTACATTGAGAATGAAAATTTATTATAACTATTCAGTTTTCTTTTAAAAAATATTATTGGATAACTTAATGACTTATACCTTCAATTATTAATTATATTTAATTATGTTATTTAGTTTGAACAAAACATTTAGATTCATACTTGAACACATTTTTTTGGACATTGAATTGCCACTTTTTATGGCATTTCTAACTTCTAAGTCATCTTTGTGCACGGTCCAAATGGGTAAAAACTAAAAAGGCCCAAATAAGAGGAAAGATAGGAATATACAAAAATGGGCTGCAGTCATGTTAAAACTTAAAAGTAACAGGCTCAATATGTAAGGTCATAGGTCCAATAAGTTAGTGCCTCTATTCGAAAAACTATCAAGTTCGGACCTCTATTCGAAAATGAAAAAGTATAGGCTCTCATTTTAGAAGGGTATCAAAGTTTAGGGATCGAAATAAGCATTAATCCTCCGACAGAAACATCAACCGTTGACTTAGTAGTCTCTTCACTATCCTCCAAAATTAACTTGCTCCCCACTTGCTCCGTTCCTTCTCTCATGGCGGATGGCGCTGTGCTTCCTAAAAACTTCATCTTCCTTCCTTTGTGGATATTCCCAAACAATAATAGTAAAGAAAGACGACGAGACGACCCGCCATTGCCAGAAAGACTCCACTCTTTTCATATATGGACGACTGAGAAAAAGGTTGAGGCCTTTTAAGGGTTAGTTTAATTGGATTCTCCGGGCGGCAATTTTCCCAATTGCGTATTCAGTTCCCACCGGCAATTTTACCCGATCAATCGCCGGCGGTGACCATGTGGATTTACTGTCTCCTCGTTGTTCAATTGTTCATCTTCCTCTGGCAACTCACCCGCAAACCTAAACCGCCAGTCAACTCTCCCGCTGCGGAGACAACTCCACCTCCTCCTCCTCCTTCCGCAATTTGTGTCAATAATGGAGCAGCGACGGTTCCGATTGTTTACAAGCACGACGTGTTCCTGAGCTTCAGGGGAGCAGACACCCGCTTCAATCTCACCAGCCATCTCTACGCTGCTCTGAGAGGCCGCAGCATCCTAAGCTACATCGACGATGTTAATCTCCATCGAGGGGCGGACATCGTCGATTCGCTGTGGGGAGCGATCGAGCAGTCGCGGATGTCCGTCGTCGTGTTTTCAGACAATTACGCCGATTCCGGATGGTGTTTGGACGAGCTCGTCAAGATTGTCCACTGCCTGAAAAACCTAAATCAGGTGGTCTTGCCGGTGTTCTACGGCATGCCTCCCGAGGATGTTCGAGATCAGACCGGGAGTTACGGTGTTGCTTTTGCCAAGCACCGTCAGTCGACGGCGTCGCCGGAGAAGTTGAAGATGTGGAGGGCTGCGTTGAAAGAGGTCGCCGGTATTCCTGGCTGCGAATCTCTCAAGATCAGGTAACAAAATATCGATTTGGTCACTGAATTATCATACATGAATCATATTGGTCATTGAACTAGTGAACTCTGTATGACCAAACAGCACAGAGGCTGAGCTCGTCAAAACAGTGGTTGAAACTGTCCTAGCAACATTGGAGCAGATTTCCCCAGCTCCACAGTTCCCCGGTTTGGTTGGAATCCACACCCGGATCGACGATATTGAATCCTTGTTGCATCTGGATTCGGATTCAGAGACCAGGGTCGTCGGAATGTGGGGGATGGGTGGCGTCGGAAAGACCACGTTGGCCAGAGCTATATTCGATCAGTTTTTGTCCAAATTTGAAGCCTTTCATTTCCTTGGTGACTTCAGGCAAGAATTGGAAAGACGCTCTGAGCTCGACCTGCAACACGAGCTCTTCTCGACCCTACTGGGGGACGAATACAACCATCACACTGCTGAAAGAACCACAAATCTAGCATTAACTTATGCCAAAATGCGTCTAGCTCGCACCAGGGTTCTTGTAGTTATCGATGATGTTGAGGACCCTGTAGCACTGCATAACTTGTTGGATAAGCAACCTCGTACTCTGTTTGGTCCCGGGAGTAGGATCTTGGTGACGAGTAGAGATCACCAGGTTCTTCAGAATGTATGTGATGAAGTCTATGAGGCGAAGGGGCTGAACGACTACGAATCTCTTCAGCTCTTTGCTTCGAATGCGTTCAAGAATGTTATCTCTGATGAATTTATGGAGCTCTCATGGCGAGCCATAAGGTACCCATCAGGCAATCCACTGGCTCTCATAGTCCTTGCGAAGGCTCTGTTTGGGAGAAGCAAGGACTACTGGGAAAGCATATTGCTGAGGCTTCACAGAGGGGCGCCAAATCAAAAGGTTCAGAACGTATTGAAGATCAGTTTTGATGGTTTGGATCGTGATGAGAAGAATGCCTTTCTAGACGTAGCATGCTTTTACAAAGGAGAGAGTCGAGGGCATGTGAAGTCCATGTTGGATGGTGCTTATGGTGATGGGTCTTCTGAGAATATTGTCACCTCGCTTACAGATAGAGCTCTCATTGGGATTGCGCATGATGGGTTGACAATTATGATACATGATTTGTTGCAGGAGATGGGTCGTGGGATTGTGAAAGCAGAGTCTGATGATCCGGGGAAACGGAGCAGGCTTTGGGATCAGAATGACGTCTACTCTGTGCTTACCAGAAAAGAGGTAACTGAATTTGAATGCTAATTGCATGTTAATGTTAATAATCAGGATCGAGTATTAATTGTTTTCACGGAACTTGCTTATGTATACATACACATTTGGTATTGAATTCATTAAGCGTCTTAGCTCCATCGGTTCTTGCTATTGTGCTGTTGATGTGGCAGCCTTGAACTAGGGTACAAGAGGCTGCCATATCAGCAACATACCAACCGATGCTGATGTGAGCAATGAAAATGCTAACAGTGATTTGTTAATGCGAGTTCGGCGACCTAATTGGTATTTAGCCCTTTGGTAATCACTTAAGGTGTTCATATCTTAAATAGTCTATATATTATGATCTTCAGGGGACGAAAAAAATCAAAGGCATATCGATGGAGTTAGGGAAAGGCCAGATGCAACTGGACTCGGATGCCTTTGCGAGGATGAGTCGTCTAAGGCTCCTTAGGTTCTACGTGCCACGCGATGGTTACGGCGATTACACTGAGGTGCAGTTGCCTTCAGAGGGGCTTCAGTTTCTTTCCAATCAGTTGACGAGCCTCCAGTGGCCCCATTTCCCTTCAAATTCTCTTCCCCCTACATTCCGAGCAGAGAATCTTATTGATCTTCGTATTCCCTATAGCAACGTCAAGCATCTTTGGACTGGCGTCCAGGTAATGTGCTTATCCAGATATGCATACCCATTGCTATTTTTCATTTTCTCAGACGAAAGGTCTCTTCTTTGTATTTGTGTACTTATATGTTGTTACAAACTTCATATTTCAGTAACCACCCTTAACCCCTGTGCTTATATACATGCCTTTCATGCATGCCTGCACGTTGATACAACTCTAACCAATTGGCCTAATTATCACTCCTCAACAGAATCTTGGGAACTTGAAATACATCCATCTCAGCTACTGCATAAACTTGGTGGAACTGCCGGACTTATCACTCGCCAAAAGAATCGGGGACATTTGTGTCCTGGGATGCGAAAGCTTGGTGAAGATCCCATCCCACGTCCAACAACTAGAGAGTCTAGCAAACTTGAACGTCTGGAACTGCAAAAGCCTCCCTGACCTCCCAACTCAGTTCACATCCAAATCAATAAACTCCCTCGCCATCTCTGCCGAGAACTGCCCCACAGTCGCAAACTACGACCAGCTCTACCTCGGCACCCAGGAAGAAGAAGAAGAAGAAAAAGAGGAAGAAGAAGAAAAAGAAGAAGAACAACAACAACTTGACAGGAATGCACCGATAGGGAACAGAGTTCTGGACGTTAGAAACAGCTTGCACATAACGGACCTCCGCTTGAATGGAACGATGATCCAAGAGATCCCAGCAACAATTGAGCTGCTCACCAACCTCGTTCTCCTCGACTTCTCCCAGTCAAAGCATCTATTTTACATTTCGGCCAACATCTGCAAGCTGAAGAAGCTGGAGAAGCTTGACCTTGCAGGTTGCGTAGGTCTGGAGACGTTTCCGGAGATTTTAGAGCCCATGGAAAAGCTAACTCAGTTGTTCCTGGGAGGGACGTCGATTAAAGAATTGCCATCTTCGGCCATTTACAATCTGGTGAACAATACAGCATTGTGCCTCAACAATTGCAGGAAGCTTGTCAGGATTCCTGAAGATATCCAGTTCTTTGATAGGTTGACGTTGATTGATATAAGGGATTGTGAGAGCCTTGTTTGTTTGCCGAAGCTGCCTCTGCGAGTGCAGATGCTCAATGCAGATGACTGTGTGTCGCTGAATGAGTTCCCGGATTGTAGTGATCTTCGGGAACTTGTGTCTTTGAGACTCGGGAACTGTTTCTTGCTGGATCAGGATGCAATCGTTCGATGGATGGTGAATGCCTTTGCCGATGTTCAGGTTTGTATACGGATCTCTGTAGGATTAGATTAGGGATGCTGCTTTCTCTTTCAAAGTAGAACTTTACATGGATAACAGTTAACATTCATTTCATCCCAGTAATGTAAGTTATTAGGTAAGATTAAAAGAAATTGATCTTAGATGACAGCCAACTTATAAACTTAGAATTTGTGCAGATCTGCTATATCATGTGTTTAATACTTTAATCAATAAAGCTTTTATACAAAACCGGTGCTTCCCAATAACTCTCATTGCGTCGTTGGGAGACTATAGCTTATACAAAGATAGATGCATAGGGCTGTTCTTATTGTTCGCCATGCATATTAATGAATGTTTCTTTCTACAGAGAACAGCCGTGGAAATGTACTTCCCCGGGAGTGAAATCCCACATTGCTTCGAGTTTCAAAGCAGTGGATCCGAGGTCACCATCCAGCTGCCGTGGAACATGGACGATTTCCTCTATGGGGTCAAAGGAATCGCGTATTGTTTAGTCGTGGAGGACGATGGCAGTTGCTCCGACATCGTAGAGAACACTGATGACATGCGTCTAGGCAAATATAGCGCCACTATACCCCCTCTCCAGTGCAATTGGGAGACTACATTTCCATTAACGTCATCTTCGGCCAGACTTCATAACTCACGCGGGACATGGTACCAAAATGCATTCAACCGAGGTTTTACGCAGTTCCAGTCTGATCATCTGTTCATCACTTACAGGAGCAGGGATCATGAGCGGGAGATATTCAATCCGCGTAATGTGGGATGTGATGTTTCCTTTAGATTTGAGTTTACTCATGTTTGGAAGGTGAAGAAGGTTGGAGTAATGATCGTGGAGTTTGATTATGGTTATGGCAACGACGACGATGATGTTGGCTTCGATGCTGAGTTGACGGATTGGACTGCTGGTGGTGATGATTATTATGATGATCAGCCACTGTATTCAGATTAGTTGATTCAATTAGGTCCTATCTAAATTAGGTTCATGTTTCTTTTTGTTTCTAAAGAGATATGTTCACTGTAGATTTCGAAATATAGAAAGAAGTTTAATAAAAATCCTTGGACCTCTATTCCCCTGCAAAATCTGAAGGAACCCTCAGCCTCAGGAATCGAATAACGGCAAACATATATAACGCGGGAAAATTGCATTTACGTGGCGCGGTTCTGAAAAATCAAACCGGACCAGTACATGGTCTAACCTGTCCGAGACTGGGTTTGATTCGTACACTATTTTCAGTAACTATTTGTAGCTGGAACTTGGAAGGAACCAGTACTAGAGAAGAGACGAGTAGAGAACGAAGAATACGGACTTCTGCGGGGAAATGGAGAAGCTGAAGTCTCTGCTTCCAGACGAGCTCAAGAGGATGGTTTGGAACAGCACGGTGGAAAATCTTCCGGCGGCGAGTTCTTCTCTTCTTGAGTTCCTCCTCAATTTGCCGCAATTTCACCAAGTAAGAATCTCGCAGCTCCGTCGTCTTCTTCTTCTTCTTCTCTCAAATTTATTCACTTTCCTGATTCTCTGTATCGATCGATGACGCCTCCTTCAGATGGTTAGAGATTTGGCTGCTCCAGAGGACTCGCTGTGTGCGAAGAATAAAGCCGCTGCTATGGAATTAAAGAAGAAGGGCAACCAATGCTATTCAAATGGAGACTACGCTGCAGCGCTGGATTGCTACTCTCAGGTGCTTGCCTTTCTTAGGTTTACTAACTTCCTCCTACTGGTCTCGGCAGAAAAGCTGAATCGGTGACACTTCTGGAAGAGCTCTTGTTTGCTTCCCTGACTTGCTCGAGTGCTTTTTCTCCCATGTACTATCGAAACAGGCGCTACGAGTTGCTCCGCAGGAAGCTGGTGACGGGGATAAAAGTCTAGTTGCAGCATTGTTTTTGAACAGAGCTTCAGTTTTCCATGTGAGTGATGGAAATATATTGACGATCAGATGAAGTTTAGAATTTTACCAAGCTATTTCAAATGAAAGGTTGCTTTTTCATTAGAGACAAGGCCTACTAAAGGAGTGTCTACGAGACTGTAATCGAGCACTTCAGATTTCGCCTAGCTATTCAAAGGTAATGTTGCATAGCAGTTGTGATATTCCTCCTAGATTCAACCCTTATGCAGTTTCATTTCTTGTCTCTAATTGTCACCTCCTAAATTTTTTCCCCTATCCTATTTCATGCCCTTATTATGCAGGCTTGGTATAGGAGGGGCAAAGCAAATGCTGCTTTGGGAAATCGTCAGGAAGCAATCCTAGACTTGGGGGTTGCGAAGGATATGGAGATTTCGTTAGCTGGAAAGAGACAGATAGAATGTGAATTAAACATGATTATTAGCCAACGACAATCTGCAAGCAGGATAGTGGATCAATGTAGCCAGATAAGTACGGGAGGAGCAGGTGCTGGTACTAGCAATACAACTCTCAAAACTTAATTCTGTTGTGTCTTAAGCTGCCATCTTTGTTGGTGGAAAATGAACTCTACTTTGGACATTGTGTACCCAATACACGGAGTTCGGTACTCTCTTGTTGCCTACCTCCATAATTAGTTCACAGCTCCAAGTATCCGTCCAAAGTTTTAACTAGTGAAAAGGGTAGCCAACTTGCAATTTTTGTATCCATCATGCATTTTGGAGGTGTAGAGTTGAAATAAAACAAGCTGCAAATTGTTTTTTACAGACGAGCCTTGCCAAAGTAGCCTTTCATGCGTAACAACACATGATAAAGGAAGAGGGATGGCTGCACAATGTGATATTCCTCAATCGTCCTTGATTCATAAGGAAGAACCATATGCCCTGGTATAAATATCACTATGATGTGTATTTCTTAGTTGACATTAATATGGAGAATGTATGCATACTTCTTTTCTAGATCCCAGCTTTGCATAATTTCTGGATTGGTGGTTTGAAATTTTAACTGCCAACTGGAATACTACTTAGCCTCAAGACAATTACTGGTTGCATTTGAGTTCAATTTTCTTCAACGAACTTTCAATTGCACAGGTTATACTGAAGAGTTCCCGGGAAAGTCATTGCCATTACTGCTTGGGTGAACTACCATTGGATACAGTCCCTTGCCTATCATGTTCAATCCCCTTGTACTGCTCCGAACGTTGTCGAGCACAAGCAGGAGGAGGAAGTCTTGTTAGGCATCAAGAGGAACAGAGAGATAAGTCTTATGGTGACAGTCTAGAAAAGCATGTTATGGAGGTAACTTCACTCCATAATTCTACTACAGCTGTTGAGTGCTTCCCTGAGCATAAACATGAATGTGGTGGTGTCCACTGGCCTGCAGTCCTTCCGCCGGATGTTGTCTTGGCTGGCCGCATACTAGCAAAGCATCTTTCTCAAACTGGCATTCTGATGAACCCCGAAACTCTAATTGTTTTGGTACTTATGAATTCCTCTAGAAAAATTGCTTGTTGTCTTTCATATGCTTCATGCAGCATCAAACTCACCAGCTGATGACCGTCTTGTAGGGGTTCTCTCACAACTATTCACTTATTGCTCAAGGTACCAAATTGGAGGTGCACATATATGCTAGTGTCTTGCTGTGCTGTCTACAGCATGCTCTTGGCTTTGAACTCCCAGTGAATGCTATCTATTTGTCCCAGGTTTTTCTCCCTTACTAAAGAACACATCAGCTGATATCATTGTAGAGGATATAAATATCATCTTTTTGTTTTTCCCTTCCTAAGGCACTTCTCGTTAATGCAGACTGTCATACTTCTATCACAAATCAGGGTGAATGCTATGGCAATTATTCATATGAAATCTGTTGATCCTCGTGGGCCTCATGCTTTCACTAGTACGGTGGAACAGGTTGAACATATGTTGCTAAAACTACTCCTATCTATGGGGTTGTACCCTACAATTTTATTTTAGTCAGATGCATCTTTAGTTTGTGACCAGATGTTTTTCAGTGACAGGAATTTTCTTTATACCTTGGTCGTTTATTTTCTAGGTTACTGTGGGTCAAGCGATTTACAAAACTGGCAGTATGTTCAACCATTCTTGCCAGCCCAATATCAATGCGTATTTCCTCTCACGAACTCTTTTTGTACGGACAACAGAGGTTGTTCAAACAGGGTTTCCTTTGGAGTTGTCTTATGGCCCACAGGTATTCCTATTTTTGAGTACTTCGAAGAACAAATATGAAAAATGCACACTTGTCTCAGCTCTGTCATTCCGATAATTTAAACTTGAAGTTCCTGTCTACCTTTTCTTTCCAGGTTGGGCAATGGGACTGTTGTGATCGTCTTCAGATTTTAGAAGACAAGTACTCATTTCGATGTCGGTGCAGTGGCTGCTCAGAATTGAATATAGCTGATCTAGTCCTGAATGCTTTCCATTGTGCCAATCCTGATTGCACCGGTGTCGTGTTAGATGCCCCTGTGATAAAATATGAAACGGGCAAGCTGACAAGCTCTCACAAGACATCACGCTTGAATGGTGGGTCAGAGGTACACATCATTTGTTTCTCTTTCTTTTTGGTTGAATTGGGAAATATTTTAGTCAAAATACTTATGATTTAGCATAAGTTACGCTTTTCTCAATTATAACAGGTCAAGAAGATCAATGTCAAGAGTTTAGTTTGTCTTAATCTCATGTCCAACAATAGCTCTTGTCATATCAAACCTGCATCCTGTTTGAACTGTGGTCATTACTGCAATCTTGATGCTGCACGTGAAGCCGTGGACAATGCTTTGAGTTGTATGCATAGGTAACTTGGTTTGTTGGCCTTGTTCTATGAGATAAGTTTTTCCCATTTCAAAGCTTGGTTTCCATTTCTTTGAAGATCAATTAACTTTTGACAGTCTAGAGGATGCAATAGCGTCAAAAGAAATCCCGAGTATGGTACTATCAGATGCTTCAAGGTCCCTTGGTCTTCTGAGATCAGTACTACATCCTTATAACAAACGCATTGCAGAGGTATGCTTCCTAACTTCTTATAACAAATAAGTCATTGCAGAACCGAAGCGTTATGGAGTTGCTCCCTTTGTGGTTGAGTGTAAAGTGGAAGAGTAACCTCATTAACTCTTAGGTACAAATAAAGGGTGGGCGAGGGAGACAAATATCTAATTAGGCATTAGTAATCGCCGAAACATGGTGAGGGGGAAAAGAGTCTTTTAGATGAAGGCAAGAATTTTGTGGTGACATTAGATGCATACCCCAGGACCATTGGACATGCCTACCTCTGTATTAACTATTATACATGTGAGGAACACTTGCAGGCTGAAGATAAGCTCGCACAAGGGTTTTGTTGGACTGGAGACCTGCGATCTTCTAAGGCTTTATGTTCATCATCAATCAAGGTAAAACACCTTTAACTGCCAACCTTTCTGTTGTTTGACGGTAACCTCCCGTATGTTTCTGCATTTGTTATCTTAATGGTTTATCCGAATTTACTATTTAGCTTCGTATGTGTTATGTTTTACTTAGACTAATGTAATTGGGATGGATGCCAGATACTGGAAGTGCTCTACGGCAATGATCATATAGTCATCGGATATGAACTCATCAAGCTCGCAACCATTCAGCTATCCTTGGACGACCCTGAAGTTGCCAAAACCATAACCAGGCTCGAAAAGATATTTCTCCGTTATTTCGGGGCTCATGCAAACTTGGTTTTACCCCATCTAGAAACCCTGAAGAAAGAATCGCTACCCCTCCATAGGCAGTTCAGTTCAGTTGAGATTTAGTTGACAAAATTTTCTCTCATGTTAAACTCAGAGTAGTGGTATTAGAAGCATGCACAATGTATCATCTTGTTTCTTATGTGCTAGCAGGCTATGTTTGTAAGTCTAGATATCAACAATGTCTTACTTATATTGGGAATTTTGGTTCTGAATGGCATTCATCTTTGTAGCTTCATGCCTATCTTTTTTATTCAACTATATAAACAAGAAGAGGGGGTAGTTCTGTCCAATTCGAAAGCAAATTATCCAATCTAATCAATTCAGATTTTTAGAACACCAAACTCATAATATCCAATCTGATCTGAACAGAACTGCAATATACACCTGCTCCAAACCACCATCAATGATTAAACGAATGGTTATAGGATCCAGAACTTGAACATGAAAGTATGCAGCAGAGATTCACATGACTGGCCTAACTGCAGGATTCAAAATACAAAGCATGAGCCAAATTCAAGTCCACAATGAGATTACAGATTTCCGGGAGGCATGTCATAACAATTCAACAGAGTCGCGTGCCAATGCCCTGGCTTCAGCAAATGATGGAAGTTCTGCAATACACAAAAAGATTTGATGACAGGAAAGTACGAATGGATTATTCATTCCCAGTCATTCCCACAAAAAGCCTCCACATTTCAGCTTCAATCGAGCTTAAGTCATAGTTCAGGTCACTTCCAAGAGCACAGCACGACCACCCTCTCAGACTAGCACTATTTACAACAGCTAGTTCCATATGCTCCTAAGATTCAGCAAGTGCCTTGTCGATCTCTTCTGCATGATCCTTGAGCATCTTCCACTGCAAGAAAAGAAAATAATTTTTACCGAGACCAGGTAAACCGACACCATAAATACTGATGAATTGGCAGTTAAGTTGAGATCCTACCTGATCCACACTCAATGATATGCCTGCAAAAGGGGGAATAAGTTAGACGAAGAACCAAAAGTTTTGAAGAATAGAAAGTCTAAGTAAAAGAGGCATTCAAGCGTTCGGATAGTAAATATCTTGCCCAGAAACTACAGCAAAACATAAGAGAACATACAATTTTTCATGTCATAGATTGCACTCATCCTTTCAGTTTCATGGTCGTTTATAGTTGCCTGGTAGTATCAAGCCTAGGGAAGTGAAAAGCTACATTTATACTCAACATGACAACTTTACACCCATCCATCCATAACAAAGTTAAAGAAGTAAACTACAGATGCACAAGGGACAGTGCAACCGTCGACGATTTGCAGCAACTCACAATTAGAATCACCAGCTAACATAAACTTGCTCTACCATTTCAAGCCAGCAAGCATATCAGCCGAATAATCTATTCACAAAGGTAAGGTCTTCCTCAACCTCTCAATAGTCAATACAGAGGAACACAATGGAATGCCCATGTTAAGAAATGAGTAACCGAAGAGTAAATCCAGTAGAGCATCTAATGAACAAACCAAACAACATACCGAGACAAACCAAAAGCAGAAAAAGAGAGAAATGGTAAAGACACCTTTTTTGCCAGGGAGCTGTTTCCCATCCTTCACATAGAACTCACGAATGTCAACCCAAACCTTTCCTTGCCAGTTCCTCACTTTCACTCTCCTATTGTGAGATATCTGCAGCAAAATCACCCCAAAGTAAGAGTCAAACATCTCGCAAATGATAGAATTGTCAGCAACAATCGCTGAATAGAAAGTTCTGTAATAAGACCCAGAATCCATATTCAATTCCACCTACATCGCAGACAACGATCTCGTCAGAATCATCGGAGGAATCAGTCCTCGGAGCTTTCTTCGGAGGAGCACCATGGCCGTCCTCAGACGGGCCCTCATCCTCCTCCTTCCGCTTAAATCTCCGCGACATGCTTCGAACTACGAAGAGCCTTCATAATACAACAAAAAAAGAAAGGGGGAAAAAAGTCCTCCGGTAAAAAGGCTTGAAGAAGCGCTCGCAGGGTTCAATATACAGATTCAGTCAATAGGAAATAGAGTAAGAGACTCAGTTGAAGACCTGCAACAGTGTTGTTCGCTAGACGGAGAGCGTCGCCGGCTTTCCCTCTGAGATGGACTAAGGGGGAAATTGAAGAGAGACAGTGGAGAATAGAGATCGATGGGTTCCGCCGGTTAGGGTTTATATATGAACCTATGAGCCCGTTTTATCTTCAGAGCTTTTGCCGGGCGGGCGGGAAATTAACTACTCGGTTCCCACCTTTTTTAACACTTAAAACTATTTATATTAGCTGAATAAAATATTTCTCCATAAACATGTTTATAACTAATTTTTTTAAATTCCATTAAACATGTTTATAATTGTGTGCTAATTATTTTCCATGAATTTATGCTCTTTGTGAAGGAAATTAAGCTAAATAGTATAAAAAAAGAATATAGTCTCATTTTTATAAAAATAAAATTATAGATACTTTCTACCTCCAAAATAAAGATAAGAGAATGATCTATTTGTTCAATTGCAGGCTGTTACAGATATCTTCCTTCATCTCCAAATTGGAGCCTTATTCATCGTTAATCTCGAACTGGGCACCGATAGGGAGGTGATCGCTCGGGTGGTAATCATTTGGCAGTCCACCAACAACATCAGCATCATCATCTGCTTCAGGAAGTTCGAGGAAGCTGACTGGTTTCATCTGATCGCCAGGTGAAAAGAATATGTAATCGAGTGTGTTAGTGAAGCTAGGAGTGCAGTTAGTGAATGGAGGTTCTCCGCCCCTGGTCTCCGAGTAGACACTGCGCAAGGGAATGGGTAGCTCATCCAGACATTCCACCGTAGGTGAGTTCAAAGCATCGCCAGAGACGAGGTACTGGTAAACCTGGCAGAAGGCAGGAAAGAAATGTCAAGGAAAGAGAGCGAATGATTACTGAACTTTGGATTGAAAACACATGGTGGGGTGATTGCTAGGTTAGTTATTTCATACTTCAGAGACAAGTTAAGAATCGAGGTTCAGTTCACAAACCTTGTCCCCGGGAATTGAGTTGAAGTCACCAGCAAGGATCACTTCAGGTGCACAATCAAACTTCTCAGAAACCAGTATCTTGAACTTTGCCAGCCGGGAGAGAAGATACTTTGCTTGTGCGAGCTTCACATCAGCCCATTCTGGATCCCTTAGCACCAAAATCACAACCACGTTTAGCTCAATCAATGTAGTCAATGTAACTATGATCATCATCTACCAACCAAATACATTGAGGTGATTTTTGCATATACCAGTAAAGATGTGTATTTGCAACTATAACAACATGATGGAAGGGACTCTTGAGTTTGAAAGCAGCCATTATCCCAACACAGTCTCGTTTCAATCTCACACGAGGGTCGTTAGGATCTCCATGGTCTTCACGATTGTTCTTTGATGGTGGAACTGGAAAAAGATAGTTGAACCAGTGGAAGTAAAACAATTAGCTTCGCAAAAAACAACCAATCAATAGATCAATCAATGGAAACGGTCGTCAACTGACTCACCATTACTACCATTGTTAGCATGTTGACTTTTCTGTATATCGCCATGTGAATTGGCTCCATCTGGAACTGAGTTTACAAGATCATTGTATTCCACCCTCTCCTCTAAGAGCAACTCTGCACTGCAATTGGTGGCGAAGAAAGTCTTATAGTCAGTTAATAATCTCATGGAAGCATTTATAAGAAGACAAGACACAGTTTATTGCACTTTATAAGCAAGATCATCCTATTTTTATTCAAAAAATTTGCAGTTACCAGTCAAGTTTGTAGAAGATTCCACAACCGTCACGCTTAATGCCAGTCCTTTGAATGTAAGTACTAGAATAACCGTGGTTCACCATGTTTAGCTTGTAAAAGCTATCATATTCATCCAGCTCCTGAGTACAGTCCACAAAAGAGAGAAAAATAGCACAGAACTAAGTTCATACTATTACATGAAAATGAAGTAACCAATTTGTTTCTAGGGGGGAAATGGAAAGACCTGCAAGCAGAGAAACTCTGCTCCTAAGCTTTTCAAAACAGTTAGGATTGCATGGCTACGAGCCTTCCACCTGAATGCAATGAAGTAGATGTTATGAGCACTGGAACAATAAACCATATGTGCTTTCCGATACATTCTGAACAGCTATCTTCCCACCAGAAGTGGAAATGAAACGTCGCAAAAATGCTACCACAAGTGACTTGAAAATATCAAATGCATAATAAGTGGCAAAGAGAAAGCTTGCATGAAGTGGAATGCAGAAGAAGGGTCATGCTTCATAGCATGATCCTGCATAGATCTCCCCAAGCTTATTTGGTACCAATAACAAAAATTACCGGTAGATAGAACACTTACTTCAAGCAAGCAGATGGAGAGTGTGGAAACAGAGAACTCTTCACATAGGCCTACATGACATGGAAGCACAACATGCAAGACTTTCCGTTCAATACAGTTGTTTCAATTAGATCATTATAAATGTAGTCAAAACTAACAATTTCCATGGCCATATTTCCTCCTCTGACAAAGTCTGTTAACTACTCTTGCAGGAAGGGGAATACTCAAGGAAAAGAACTGTGTGTGAAAGCTTTAGCATACCTGAGCCAAGATGTTGTAAGAGACAACACTGAACCTTAAGCCTGCAATATCACATTTCAGATATCATATCGGGTTATAAATGCGATATCATTTCACATGTACCTTTTTCAAATCAAATTAACATCAACAAAGTAGTGGCCACTGCAAAGTCATCTACTTTCTTTCCACTACTTTCTTAACCAAGCTTATCGGGTTTGTTTGGAAAATTAAGGAATGTTGAGAACAGAGTGATTATGGAGAATGACATGTTATGAGAATAGAGTGGAGTTACAGCAACAAGTGAAAGTGCTTTAGTTTACATATAACTTAGTCCAATTGAGCAAACAGGTCTGCTTATCATGCTTAGAATGTCTCCCTCGATCTATCTCCTCTGGCCAAGGTTAGCACAGATGATTTCTGATCACAAAGAACTCTAACCAATACGCAAATTAATCAATATACATACCATCAGCCTTGCTTCTAGAACAAACTTCACCCCCTTCAACTGGAACAAATTTAGGGCACATCGGCATTGGTATTGAGCTCATTTTAGCCAAGCAGATTCTCCTGCACCCAACGAATTGGAGCCAATCATTACCCACACATAACATTCCTGTTTTGAAAACTCTTTACCCAGCGCATCAAGCAAAGTTCAAAACTTGTTCTATAAACCCCAGAGCCTGTACCCATTACTCCATTGGAGTAGTACCTGGCGGAAGAAAAGGCAGTAGGAAGTTGATGAATCAAAGAGAGAGACCTCAGCATTTGCAGTCTGCAGAATAAAGAATCTCAATTGATGATATTTCAATGAAGGAACGAACTAATACACAGACAAAACCTAGTCCAAAGATTCAGCCTTTTACCGTAATGAAGTAATTAACAGTTCTCGGAATTAAGATTTCAATGGTTACCTTCCTTCTCTTTATCAGCAAACAGAGTTCCGACGACTAGTTACCGGTGAAGACTGAAGAGTAAGTTCCATAAGCCATCCGTCAGAAAGCCGCCGGATGATGTTCTTGCTTGTGCTCAGACTCTGCTAGTAGAAAGCCGCCGGGAAAAGGTCATTCTGAGGGTTTATCAATTTATCCGGGAAACTTGAAATTGGGACTTGGCGGCGGCGGCGGCAGATTGGGGGAATGCGGAAAGCTTGGTTAGTAAAGTAACATTTTGGTGCCTGAAACTATCAATTTATCCCTTTTGGTTCCCTAAAACTGTAAAGAGTTCCTATTCAATCCCATAAGAGTTTCTATAGGGACTAGGAAGCGGCGGAGGAGCGCGCAGGCAAAAGCTTCCGCTGCTCAACTTCTCCGTCCCGGCAGCAGAAGGCTTTTCTTCATCTTCTCTACCGCTACCATGGATTCTCTTTTATACCTGAAACCCAATAACATCATTCCTTTCACTCCCAGTTCAAGGGCTTCTTCCCCTTTCCTCCCTTCCTATTTCCCGCCTCGGCTTCGGCTTGAGTCTTTTCGCCTTCGACCCACTTCTCTTTCTGCTGTTGTCAAGAAGCGCAGCAATTCATCTTCCAACTCTACTACTACTACTACTACCATTCGTTGCGAGCTCAATGGCAAGATCAATGGCTCCTCCCAGTCCCCTGAATTCGACCCTCGATTCCTTGACCGGGTAAAATTCTTCCCTCCTCTTGCCGTGAATGAAAATTCTCATTGTCATGAATGGGACGTTGAGTAATGCTGCTAGCTGTAAAAGTTTCCAACTTGTTGTGTTCGTCACGACGAGGGACTAAAGTTTGATGATATTGGAGTTTTCCACAGATGTAACTGCTACATGTTCTTATGTGCTTCCTTTTAGTCATGTTATTGCCTTTTGTCTCTGGTGGAAACCTTCAGAGAGAGTGGGTGTTTCAAGTTCCGAATCCTTTACTCTGTTTCATTTCAGGGAATTTTTTCAAAGTGTGTTAACTGTTGATTTTGGTGATCATTGCTGTAAATTTGTTCCAGCAAAAGGCACTTGAAGCAGCAATGAATGACATAAATGGTTCATTTGGAAAAGGAAGTGTTACACGTTTGGGTAGTGCCGGTGGAGCATTGGTGTAAGTTCTCACTCCTTCCAAGCTTGAATGGGAGGTCGGACTCTGGTGTCTTAGTTGTGGAATGTTGAAGCATTAAGATATATCTACATGTTTCTATGCAGTGAGACATTTCCCAGTGGCTGTTTGACTTTGGATTTTGCTTTAGGTGGTGGGCTTCCAAAAGGGAGAATTGTAGAGGTAAATATTTTCTCCATCTGCATCCTTGTCTGTAAGCTTTATGATATTATGCTGAGGACAAATAATAGACTTCCGACTCTTTGTTGTTTGCAGATATATGGCCCAGAAAGTAGTGGAAAGACTACCCTTGCGCTCCATGCAATTGCAGAAATCCAGGTGTGTTCCTTAATTATGCTTCTGAGTTTCTGTAACGTTTAAGGATGATAGCTTTTATAGATTTCCTCTTGTGCTAAAAGGTTTTTCTTCTCCCTGCTAAAAACTGCAGAAGCTAGGTGGCAATGCAATGCTTGTGGATGCCGAACATGCTTTTGATCCAGCATATTCAAAAGCACTAGGGGTGGATGTAGAAAATTTGATTGTTTGCCAACCTGATCATGGGGAGATGGGACTCGAAAGTAATGCAACCTTCTAGTCATTCCACCCCCCCCCCCCCCCCCCCCCCCCGAGAAATAAAACCATGCATTAGTTGATTCAGTGCTTTTTGTACATGAAGATAAAATGTGGTTGTTGCAATGTTTCAGTTGCCGATCGTATGTGCAGATCTGGAGCAGTGGATCTTATCTGTGTTGATTCTGTGTCAGCTCTTACACCACGAGCGGAGATTGAAGTGTGAATCCTTCTTTAAGTTCTTTTGTAGGTTCCTATATTCTAGATGAGATTGAGAAAGTTCATTATTTTCTCTTCTTTAATGGATAGGGTGAGATTGGGATGCAGCAAATGGGTCTGCAGGCACGGCTCATGAGTCAGGCATTGCGTAAAATGTCCGGAAATGCTTCAAAAGCTGGGTGTACACTTATTTTCCTCAATCAAATTAGATACAAGGTATCTTACGTATTTAAAAAAATTGGGGTCGAAATATTGACTTACATTTGTCATGTACATGACTTTTAATATCTGTTTATGCAAGTTTCACTCATTGCACCTCAAACTCCATGCCAGTGTTTCTTAGCTTTGCTGTGCCAATTGTTGTTAGATTGGTGTATATTATGGGAATCCAGAAGTCACTAGTGGAGGAATTGCCTTGAAATTCTTTGCATCAGTTCGTCTCGAGATACGCTCTATTGGGAAGATAAAGTCTGTACGTGTTTGTTCCTCTTTCCTTCTATTTCCAACTTCATTTTGTTGCTTGGTAAAGAAATCATGATGCATAATCTGTTCGAACACAACTGTGTCTATTTCTGAAAAGTTTACATCTCTTAATATTTATCATGTGGGAGTTTCTGTTGCTTATAGGCTAAAGGAGATGAAGAGGTGGGACTCCGTGTTCGTGTAAGAGTACAGAAGAGTAAGGTACCGAAATTGGAGGTGTTTTGTTTCTCTTGTAGAAAAGCTGAAGCCTTTTCATGTCACTTCTACCTACTTTTCATTATTATCTGGATAATGATCATATTCCAGTTAATATTAGCCATAAAATTTGTTAAAATTGCGTTTTATCAGTAGCGAGGCATTTTCTAAGTCATTATTGTAACAGGTGTCAAGACCATACAAGCAAGCTGAGTTTGAAATCATGTTTGGAGAGGGAGTCGGTCAACAGGTTAGATTTCTGCTGCAGAATTTCGAGAGAACATTATCAATGTTATTTTCTCCATGCTGGTGTTTTTGTTTGACGGCTTATAATTTTTCCAGGGTTGCATATTGGATTGTGCTGAGATGATGGATGTCGTTCTAAAGAAGGGCTCTTGGTATAGCTATGAGGACCAAAGGTTTGCTCTTTCACTTTCACCTGCTGCTTACTAATTCCTAAGCATCAAATACCTTCAAAACACTGTGCTAAGATCCGTCAAATTTGTTCCCTTCAGCTCGACAAAGTTCTGTGCACTATTATCGGTTGTCCCCGTTGTCAATACTTCCATCATTCACAAATCTAACTAGCCCGCTTTTAATTCCTATTTTATCTCTGTCAAAGGTTGGGGCAAGGAAGAGAAAAAGCGTTGCAGTACCTGAATGAAAATCCTCATCTGCTTGAAGAGATAGAGAAGGTTCTAGTTTAGTCCATATTGGGGTCCTTATTAAAATTACATGGGACAAATGATGATGGTGAATGATTTTCATCCATGTTGCAGAAAGTTCGATTGATGATGGCAGACTCGACTTTGCAATCTGGCCCTCTGTACGCAAGGCAACTGGCAGCATTGTCCCAGGACGAGAGCACGAATGATGATATCTAGTAGATGATGCAACCATCGAGTTAACTGAAGTCCTTTGCAAGCAAATCACTGAAGATTCACTGAAGCTTCTGAAGTAAGATTGAGCTGAGGTACTCTTCTCACTGTTCTACCATGCCAGCTGAGATCTGTTATCACGACATGCTGTCAGCTTCTGGCGCTAGTAACTACTGGAGATTGCTGAACTAGAAGGCTGGATTTTGACAAGAGAAAGAGGTTAAGAAAGAACAGTTGGTTGCTAAATGCTGACTTCTTTCTGCCTCTAAAAAGAAAGGATATGATTCGATGCAGAATAGATGCAGAAGTTGGGGGTATCTCGTAGCTCAATGTTTCTGTATTGCCAACGCCATTATGTGATGCTGAGCAAATAGTGTCCATTATTTCAATCAATTCGGCAAGCATGCAGGTTTACGCATTGAGATTATGATTAATTTACTAGGGTAAATGTGATTCATTCCACAATGCCCCTGTAAGAAGCAAGCTCAAAGTAGCTCTTGCTGCTCTTCATCATTTCCAGGTATTTCCCTGGTAACATATTTGCACCGGTAAGCTTGCTTCAAAAACAAGTTTACTGCCACAACAGCCAAGAAGCACAAAATTATACAACACAAAGTAGTATCCATAGATTTTCATGAGAAGACTGCAGTCACATTTAATACACAAACATAGTAGTGTTGTCTTTTGTTCCCATGCATCTACGTAGTTTCTGCTTTGGGGGAAACAGGGGCGACACAAGCTTATGTATACGACTAGAAAGATCGATGATAACCATTACACAGTTGTCTCTTCCCTTTTCCGATCCCTCTAACAGAACCGTTTAATTACTGAGACAAAGCACTGGTGTTGTAGACAAGGAGAGCCCCTCCTGCTAGAATCCCCAACAATGTCACTGCCCAGATCGCCAATCCAGTCAATCCTGCAACCACCAGGAACTTAAGCAATTAGATTACAAATTCAAACAGAACCAATATTCGATTTCCTTATCGGGTTATGAATCGCAGCAGAACAGCAATCAGAAGAGCACGACTCACCTCCGGCATAGACATCGCCAGTGGGTGCCCACTCATCTTTGTTGTAGATGGGGCTGCAACACAACACAAGTGCCATAACATAACATAACATAAGCAGAGGACAGAGCTTTGATTATCAGCTAATTAAGCACTCTTTGTCAAATTGTTTACCTGTAGCCATCGACGTTGGCACCATACTTGTCCACGAATTGGTACACTCCCTTTCCCTGCATCGATCAAACTAGTTAGATTAGATACGATTGTTGAACACCAAGAGAGGGTGAGAGAGAACAAGTGTACCGTGGGCTTCCTGCCAGAGGCATCAACTCCTCCCCTCAGGTCCATGCCACCACCGGTTCCTACCCAAATTAAGCAAACGAACAGTCATATTCAATGCCAGTATGCTACCATGATCAAGGTCTGAAATTAACTTGAGAACCAACTCATCTCAATCATTCAAAGATGTTGAAAGAGGTATAGTATACCATTTACTTCCACCAACATCTAGTGTTTACATCCTAGGATAAAGAATACAGATTTTGTAACAATTTCACATCTTGTTTGGAATTTCAGCTCTTATATATACATGCATGGTTTATCTTAGAGAGAGAGAGGGAGTGAAGGGTCACAGTACCATAGGGAGTGTCAGTCTTGATCTTCTTGATACCGCTGGCCACGATCTTGAAGGTCTTTCTGGTGAGGCTTGGAAGGCCAGCCACTGAAGCTGAAGCCTTCTCAATGAAAGGGGAAGTGGGTTTCAAGGTCAATGATGAAGCCACCATTGAAGCTGAGGCTGCCATTTCTTCTTGTCTCTCTTTCTCTCACGCAAACACAGAACAATGAACAATCTGTTCTCTTCCTTCCGTCTGCTCCTTAATTATTTCCCCACGCCAGAAGAAGGAAAAAAAATTCAGTCAAGTTTAGTGATTGTACTGACGCCACGTGGCAGTGGATGTGTGGCAGAGGTCTGGATATGAAATTTCCTCTAATCCACTTCTTTCTCAGCATCGCGTGTAGCATTATCTGCTATATTGAGGAGACCGGGCCCGCCAGATTTGTTAGTACATTGTTTTTGGACGGGCCTGAAGGCCCTTTTAAAGAAAAAATAAGCCCAAATGAGATGGGAAAAGTGGCCCTTGGTAGAGATGGGTTCAAAAAGCCCAACAAACCGGACAGTCGACACCAACCAAACCAACCCGGGAAAACCCCGGCGCGAAATTATTAACTCTCCTATAACTACCAACTGCCAATTTGCCTTGTGCTTCCATTTCTCACGCAGCGAATCAAAACACAAAGGGAAAGTAAAGAAGGAAATCGGCTTGCCGCCATGAACAGCATTGCTTCCAAGGTTGCTGTGGTGGGAAGTGGAAGTCAGTACATAAACAATAATAAAGTTTGCGTCTTTTTAAGATTTAACTGTTTTGTTCTTTCTCCGTCGCTATTTCATTTGGGAATTTGTAAATCTGATTCGACGATACTGACAAAAAAAGGGGGTTTGAATTTTTCTGGGATGGGTTTCAGTATCAGGAGCAGTTTGTGCGTCCACTCTCGCAAAAAATGGTGTCTCAGTTACCCTCTTCGACTCTGCTCGAGGCCCCGGTGGCCGGATGTCTCGGAGAAGGTGAATTCCTCATTTCGATCCCCATTTTAGTTTTGGCAGAAATGTGAGATTTGGGTTTTGTTTGGATCTTCCTGGATTTAGAGGAAAATTGTGTCTTTTGTAATGATTGTGAAGCTTGGATGCTGTGCAGGGAGATTTCTGAAGATGGGAAGGCGCTGTTGTTTGACCATGGCGCTCCATTTTTCTCTGCAAGTGACGATGATGTGTTGAAGATTGTTGGCGAATGGGAAGCCAAAGGCATTGTTGCTGAGTGGAAACAAAGCTTTGGGGCTTTTGATTTCGCCTCCAAAGGGTTTCTGAACATAGAACAGGTTGGTTGATGTCTTATTCCTTGTCTACTTGCCATTGCTAGCTGCTATATCAAAATAAGAGTATTTGAGCTATGGAAGGGATAGCTTTGTTGCTTCATTCCTCAAGGATACATAGCTTTGTAATGCGCTAAATAAATGTGCATGGTTTTGTTTATCTTTGTTCCTGATTTCTGCTTCAAGCACCTTGGGCCCTGCTAGAAGTTAGATATAGTGTATTAGAGTGTGAGGTCTGTCAAGAACCAGTTCATCCCAATATAGTATGAGAGCCTTTGATGGCCGCAATGTCATGTGTTCGGAAGGTTATTTGTTCGCGTAATCCTCTATGGACACCCATTTCCGACTAATCATGAAATCAATGTAGGAGGCATACAAAAGAAACTACTTGATCTACGCTCATTACTTGTTTTCACAAGATAAGATTATCTTCTGTACTATTCTCTGTAGGAACAAGCTTCCAAGAGATATGTTGGGGTGCCAGGCATGAACTCTATATGTAGAGCTTTAAGCAATGAAACGGGTATGTTTCAATATCTGACTGCTGAACTTACCAGGCTGCTGTTGGTGCTGTTACTGAACCTATGACATAATGTACAGGAGTGGAGAGTAAGTTTGGTGTTGGAGTTGGAAAGATAGAATGGGTGGATGATGTAAAATCATGGTCACTGACCAGTTCTGATGGCCAAAAACTTGGTCATTTTAAGGGAGTGGTTGCTTCAGACAAAAACATTGTTTCAAGAAGATATACTGAGGTGACTGGATCTCCACCACCGCTGGGTAGGATCATTGATAAATTGTAATTGAACTAATTTAGATGAACAAATGCTTAATACTGCTGCACATTCATGGATGTTGTGCAGTTCATATCTTTTCTTGTGTCGTCCTGAATTACTTTGTTAGTGTCATTAAGCTTTAGAATATCTCAGCATCTTGATTTGTGAACTCCTCTGATGCTTTTCAGACCTGAGTTTTGCTCCTCAGTTGGCAGCCAAGTTACAGGACATTCCTGTTATTCCTTCTTTCGCCGTGATGTTAGCATTTGCAGAGCCTTTGTCATCAGTAAGTTGTTATTACTTTGGCGCAGTCCTTGTTCCATGCAGTTAATGACAAACATTTTATGCTTCATTAATGATGCGCTTACTAAGCATGATTCAATATAATATTAATTTATTTGGATGGAACTCGAAAAGAGAAAAATGATACTAAAACATGGTAGAGACTAAAACTCAGTTACAAGAACATGGTAGAGACTAAAACTCTCATCACCCTATTTGTATTTATGCCAGATATATAACTTATCTTTCCAATCTAATTCCTTTCACTAATGGAAGTCTGCTGGTATGTTTAGATACCAGTAAAAGGCATATCATTCAGAAACTCAGAGATCTTGAGCTGGGCTTACTGTGACAGCGACAAGCCATCCCGTTCAAGCACAAGGTAAACCTATGGCAATCATCTTAACCATTGCTTTAAAGAAGAGAGAGACGCGGGCACTCAAAACTATTGTTTCCGTCTTTTCGGCAGTGAAAGGTGGGTGCTGCATTCAACAGCGAAATATGCAGCAACTGTAATTGCTGAGACTGGACTCAAGAAGCTGTCAAGTGAGACATTGACAAAAGTTGCGGAACAAGTGTTGTCGGAATTTCAAAGCACTGGACTCGAAATCCCTCGGCCATTCTTCATGAAAGCTCATCGATGGTGGGTGGATTCAGCATACATAATCTCATTCTTTATGAAAGCCTTGACATTTTGAATTGATCATCTGTAAACAAATGCAATTTACTTACAGCTATTGCTAATTTTCCAGGGGAAGTGCTTTTCCGGGGGCGAGCATAGCGGCTGAAGAGAGATGCCTGTGGTTTGGGGAGAAAAAAGTAGCCATTTGTGGGGACTTCTGTGTGAGCCCAAATGTTGAAGGTGCAATACTAAGTGGACTGGCTGCTGCTGCAAAGCTTTCAGCTTCACTCTCACTTGTCCATAGTTTGTAGCTTAAACAAACTCGACTGAAATTTATGTAAGAGGTGTGCTACCCTTGTTATGTTTTTTTCAATTGTGTTGAGCCAATAATTATTAACCAAAAGTACCAATGTGATAACACCTCTTAAATCAAATGTTCGTGACAATACCATATAGATTCTCTGGATTAAAGGCTTACAAATGACACCTATCAAATTTGGCATTTGTTGTGACAATATAACACCAATCTCATTAATGATCAGAACTCCACTTAACTTTCTTCCACACATAAAAACTATTTTACTAAAACTCATTTACAAGACAAAAAGAATACCGTCTGCCAAACATTTATCAACTCAAAACTATGTTGCTGAAGAAACAAAGAAAAGAAAGAGCTTGCCTATAATGTACACACAAGAAAAAGATGAGAAGGCAAGCTCCAAAGAGAGGTCAAGTTTCCTCCTTTTTCACTAATCTCATATTTCCTTATATACACACATCCCAAACATGACCACATAGCAAGAAAGCTAATTGAACTTGATCAATTAATGGTAGTGGCCATCACAACGTAGAGATGTATGCTCCATCAATAAGAAGTGGTAAAGGTGGTAGTTGCATTTGTTGACGTCAGGAATGTCGAGGTTGCATTTGATGAAGTGGAAAATGTGGTGTTTGCATTCGTTGACGTTCCGGAGGATGAATGGTCATTGTGATTTTCAGAGTCGTACGGAGAAATGTTGTAGGGAGATGATGATGATGGTGATGTTTTTGCTTCAGAAGGCTTCCCCGTTGCAGTTGATTGACGTTGCCTCGCCTTAGTAGGAGGTTGAGCACGTACCTTGAGGTCCATGAAGTCAGATATGAGACCAGGCTTTGATATCATACTGTCATCGACCTCCTTCTCCCCAGTCAGCATCTTTACTACCGTTGACATGGAAGGCCGAAGCTTGGGAGCATCTTGAGTGCAGAGTAGGCCAATCTTCATATACTTACAAGCCTCCTCAGCATCAAAATCGCCATTAAGGGCTGTGTCTACCAGTGCTATGAGCTCCTTGCGCTCGTACAACTGCCATGTCTGCATGATTAGGAGAAGAGTTAGGCCTAGAACATAGAACCTCTTAATCATCAGAACCCTAATAGCACGTTAAAACCAGCTCATCCTAATTTATTGAGTTGCTAAGGAAGTATAAAACCCAACCAATCAAAACTAAAAGATAAGCACTCTTTCATATTTTGACTCCTCTCTCCATTTCCCCAACTTAGAAACCATTCCCATGTCCATATGCACTTCTAAATATCCTATCTTTCCATCTCTCTCTAGGCTGTACTCAAACTATTCATAATATGATATCATGAATTTCTTGTAATCCAAGGAAGACAACCACAAAAACATGGAGGACAAAAGAAGGATGGATTTATATGGACTTCAGCAACTTCAATCCACATATGCAACTAGTGAGTAGCATGAGCGAAAGTTTCCTGATGTATGTGGCTAGATGGTAAATTTTTCATACCCGTTCTAAGAGGTATTGCTCTTCAATTGGCAATCGTGTGTTGGTATTGCATCTCCCACTGACTATTTCCACGAGCAGGACACCAAAACTGTATATGTCTGCTTTCCGTGTCAACTGTCCCCGTATTGCGTACTCTGGTGCCAGATACCCTCTGCAACAACAAAAATAGATATAATGCCCCATAAACATCTATTCTAGAACCGAAGATGTAAACACAGCAGCTCAGAATTAGACATCAGCAGAGGTAAATTTGAAATCCAATGTAGGTTGGTTAAAGGACTTTCCATCTAGTTTTGACCTTGTGTCGACAAAGTATAATATTGAAAGACGTGGGGAACAAGTTCAAATGCATCAGAGAAATGGAACTCACATTGTCCCAGCGACGCGAGTGCTAACGTGGGTCATGTGTGATGGGATCAACTTGGCCAGACCAAAATCTGCAATTTTGGGTGTTAGATCTTTATCCAGGAGAATGTTGCTCGCTTTGATGTCTCGATGCACTATATATGGTCGTACTTCCTCATGTAGGAAAGCTAGTCCCCTTGCTACTCCAATGCAGATTTTAGTCCGTGTTCTCCAATCAAACTGAATATTGCTGTAAGATCCACCTGTAAAACAAAATGGTATTTGAGCACTCAAAATCACAACTTCAGAGGCCAAACTGCAATTTAGTAATGAAATTGGCTTAAGTAGAAAGAAACCACTGTAAGCATACCAATAAGTGTTTGAGCCAAGCTATTATTCTCGAGATAGTTGTAGACCAAAATTCTGTGTTGTCCTTCAACGCAGCAGCCATAGAGCTTAACCAGATTCTCATGCTCCACCACTGAGATGGCTTTTATCTCTGCTAAGAACTCGCCTACCCCTTGTCTTGATTCAGCCGAAAGAAGTTTTACTGCCACAAGTTTCCCATCTTTAAGACGTCCCTGAACATTAAGTAGCATTGGTGTAAGGTTGTAGATTACAAGGAAATGAGACAAACAAGGAATAACATGTAATCTGAGTTTTACCTTGTACACAGAACCAAAACCACCCTCCCCTATTTTATTAGCAGGGCTGAAATCGTCAGTCGCGTGTCTCAATTCCTTGTAGGAGTAGGTTTTAACATTGTGAACACCAGCAAGTTCTGCTTTTCAGAAGGGCAACATAGTAAGATGTACTAGTTCACTAGCATACACAGAGCAGTCATACATGAAACACACTTCATGTGCAGCCTTACCGTTCTCTTCTTCAGCATCATGTCGTTGTGAAGAATCGAGCCTTCGACTTCGACCAAAGAAGGAAAAGCAAGTCATAACTGTTGAGACACCAAGGGAACACCCTAGGTTGGTAAACCTTCTGGCTTCTACAAGTGTGCTGAATCAATGACTTTGAAAACCCAACCTGGATAATGAAAGAAACATAATGCAATCTTAGTGTATGTTGCAGCAGTATCAAAACAATCAAACAGGTAAAATATTCAGCGATTAAAAAACCCACTGAACGGTGCCAATTATGCCATTAGGCCATCCTATGCTAACATCATTTCCATGGATGAACTAATAAAGCTTAAGAACAAGATGTTGCTGTGCTTCTGATCCTATCATTTCAGAAGTTCAAAGCAAGCATTAGAATTACATCATCAACTGGCTCTAACCCAACAATGCACTTCTTCTCCTATAAATATATTTTTGTTCAGTTCCCAATTGCCGAAGAACCCAGGAGATCCTAGAACGCTACAATTAAGATTACCAGCACAAGAACAGAAAATGAAAGTCGTAAAGTTGACTACTTTGCACATACAACAAGATCTCAGGAAATAGAGGATACGACATAACCCAACATCTAGGAATCTCCAAACTATAGGGAAAGGCCAAAATCACTTCAACCCAGCAAAGAAAAGCAGGCAAATATAGCAGCAAACAAGAGACAGATGGAAATGAAGCAATACCCAGAAGCCAAAACTAGGCAGAGAGATAGAGAGAACGAGAAAGGGAATCAGAATGGAAATGAAATGGATGGATAGAAGAACGAACCCCTTTTGTATATCAGTCAATCGGGTTGAAATTCCAGAAGCAGATGTGTGAAAGACAGCAGTCTTCGGATTTGAATATTAGAAAGAAAGGGGAAGCGATGCCGGAATAAAACAGAGCCGCGGCTGGCGAGGGGAGGCGAAGGGAAGAGGGTATTTGACAAATGATAAGGTTATGGTGTTTGGTGGGTTGATTTGCCGAGGAGAGAAGATCAGGGGAAGACTTTATTTAACAGCAGCAGCTGCTGCAGAATTGTCAACCCACAGTGGCCTTTCGTGGAATAGAAAAAAAATACGAGCTGCTTGACCACAACAGCGAGGGAGCTGCTTTTGCTTACGTGCTGTGTTGCGGTTGCAGAAATTCCCACCGCTTTCCAAGTTGCTGCTGCCAGCATCGTTTGTTTGACCCGAACCATAAAGGCGTTTGCTTTCGTTTCAAGTTCGTTCGGGAGAAAGAAAGAAAGAAATTCTCCCCAGGTGAGCAAAGACAACACTATTTACCGTTGATCGCTATTAGAAGAGTAACTAACTGAAAATAAATATCATTGGTCAACGATCTTGATAATTGTTTAATAACAGGGACTGTTTTGTACCAACCCTCATAATTGGGTGACCAATCAAGTCATTGTACTCACCACTAACCCATGGCGGGAGTTGGCTGCCTTTTTCAGTTCCTTCCCTCACACACCTCCCAAATCCTAAACCCTTCCCATTCCCACTCTCCCATAATAAGCGGGAAACTGAAATAAATTTTCAGCCAGAAAAGCTTTTACCCGCCGCCTACCTCCAAACCCTCAAAATTGAAAATAAAAAGACCCAACCCTTTTTTGGCAAATCTAGTGTCTTTTGATTCGTTTCTCACCTCCCCAGAATTTTGAATCCGCGCGCGCGAGAGAGTGAGCAAGTATGAGAACTGTGAAGCGGGAACGCAGTACTGGCAGCGCCGCCGCCGGAATTAGAGGGAGCGGCGGTGGCGGTGGAGGAGGAGGTGGAGGGAAGGACCGAGTTCTCAGGGAGATAAAGCGGGAGCGAATCCGAGTTAACTCGGAGACGGCGACGGCTGCTGAGGAGGAGCCGCACGTCGAACAAGGCGTCGAGGAACGGAGAATCCTCCGCTCCAAGTATCGCGCCTTGCGCCATAGAATCGACGGTACGCTGTTTAATCTTTGGTTTCCAGCTTTCGTTTCCATTCTTTTCTGTCTCTGTCTTCAATTTGTTGATCTCCTTTTGTAGAGGAGAGGGACGATTTGACTAATGTGGATTCGAAGACGTTCGGTTCGTTCATCAAGGAGTTTGACACTCTGCACAAAGACGGTACTTGCTCAACTCCATATTCCGCTTTTCAGTTTTTAATTTATTTCTCGTCAGTCGAGTGCTCTTGGTTCTCGAGAAAATGGATTGAAATTGAATACCCATTCGTTTGAAAATTCCCAGTTCGGAAGCCGAGGGAGCAGGTTGCTGATGCGGAAGCATTGCTGGGATTAACTACAACATTGGTTACCTCTGTGAAGTCGCGTTCGAGTGACGGTATTACAGTTGGAGGGTTTGTCACTAAATTGATGAACTCTTTTGGGCAATCCACACCGACATTAGGCGATGAAGAGAACTCCCCAGTTTCAATCGCTTGGAAGGAGATTGGGCTATTTGTTTCTCCTGCATTTAGGAGATGCAGCGGGTTCAGCACCATGTGAGAGCGAAGCTTTTATTGTCTTAAAACCATTTCCATATTCCATAGACTGTTTTGGTTCTCTTCGTGCTGTATGGAACATTTAAATCATTTCTGTTTTCTGTTTGCAAAAGGTTGGGGCCAATGAACACTGAGATGAAGCTAAGGAAGCATAATGTAACGCAGAGGCCTCGAACGAGGCCAGGGCAAAGTACACGTCCTGAAGAAGTAATGTTCTGTTTGATTCTTGTCCTCTTTACTTTTGATTAATGTTCATATTGGTCAGTGAGAGTTTAATTTGGCCAAGTAAAGGAATGTAAGTAGTTGCCAATTTTAAGTGTCACGGGCAAATGGAGAATGAGCTAAGTCTTATTTATCATCTGTTTTGTCTGCATGGATATGCATGCTCTCTGTTTGCTCCTCATTATTATCAAGTTAAACTCCTGAGAAAGGGAACTGTGGGCAGCCATGCTCTAAATGTTATGAGATCGCTTCATTGAGTAGATTCTTAGATGGAATTGGTCTTTGCATATTCATTCGAGTGATAGTCTTTTCTAACACCATTTTTGGTCTGCTAGGTTGATGATACTGGAGCAGAAGAGAGAACAGATACTGATAAAAATATGGCTGCTATGTTTGGGATCTTGAAGAGCAAGAAACGTGTAAGGCTTGATTGTTTGATCCTCAATAGAAGATCATTTGCCCAGACTGTGGAGAACCTGTTTGCACTTTCTTTCTTGGTGAAAGATGGCAGAGTTGAGATAGTTGTGGACGAAGATGGCAATCATTTTGTCTGTAAGTTATATATGAATCTTCATTCTTCTGCATAATTATTCATGCATCTCTTGTTTCTTCTTCAATACCCCATTTTTCATGTTTTACTCCTCCTGTTCAGTACCAAGAAATGCACCAGCTTCTGAGTCTGTAATGTCAAAGGAGGTAGCATACAGGCATTTTGTCTTCAGATTTGACTTCAGAGATTGGCAGGTAAGACTCTTGAGATGGATTTTGAAGATGCTTTTTCTTAAGTTTCTTTTTTTTCGTTAAGGTTACTAACATGGTTCTCTCCTGCTACTAAATTTCCAGATGATGATTGCTGGGGTACCTGATGGTGAAGAACTCATGCCCAATAGGGATACTGAATCTTCTGCTGCTGACATGAGCCAAGGTACTGCTGCAGGCAATATGCCCCCAGGTACTACAGCCCACACTGAAGATGCACAGCCTCGAACACCAATACGTAAACTGACAAGGAATCGTGGGCTGGTTGTCCAGAATGACACGGTAGAGGAGACCCCACAAGGGGAAGAAGAAGAAGAAGAAGAAGAAGAGGAAGATGGAAATGGTGCTCGAAATGGTCTCCATCGATGTAAGCGCAGACTTGTGTAAGGGAGGCAATCTGGGTGTTATGTATATGACATTTATGTTAGATCTTATGCAGTTGACTATTTGGGTGTCTTAGGTTAGAACTTTCGATTTGGTGCTCGTCTTGATTTGGTGTCTAACCTAAAATAGCTTAATGAAATGTGCACTGTTTAGTTCATGCTAGAACGGACTCAGGTTTTGCGCCGTAGAAACTCAGTCTTGTTGTTTGATTGTAAACAAGATGGTAGCATTCTACGAGTGGTTTTGTAATGTGCAATTAGTTGGCTATGATCTGGGCGGTGTTTTAGCATCAGCTGGTTGTGGATTTGCAGTATCTTTATCATTTCTACTTTGTAATGTACTTGAATTTTATGTAAATCTATCTCTGATGAACTAGTTTATGATGTGTAAATCCTGTTTGTTAGTATTTGGTGCATGCAGTAGTAATTTGAAGAACTTTCACTATACACTTGGGAAGTTGTTTCATTGAGATACGCTGGACCAAAAACAACTATCAACAACGTTGCTACTGTCATGTACATAAACCAATTTCCAAGTCGAAGTAGGAACCAGAATCTGGACCGTCTCCTCCTAACCCACTACCGGATTCATAGCAAAGCCCTGTGTTGCTGTAAAGCTTGAGCTTCCTTCTCATCTTCCAAACCATCTCTCTTCCAAATGGCACAGAGCCACTCAGTTCATTGTCATTTAAACTCAACTCCGACAGGTTCCTCAGTTCCCCGATTGCCTTTGGGATCGAACCGTTGAGTTTGTTGCCATCTAGGTGAACCACTCTCAGGCTCGTCAACCTGGCCAGTGACTCTGGGATCGGACCTGACAGGTTCATGTTGGACATCACTAGAACTTGCAGTGCCTTCATACCTGTTTGAGGAATTTAGGATAGAAGAACATATTAGATTTGAAGATTATGAGTAACGGAAATGCAATTTTGCCAAGAGAGGAGATTTTCAATCATTTGAAATGGGGAAAACGAGAAAGAGACACACAACTCCTTTTCAGTTTTGATGTCTCTTTCTTGCAAACCATATTAAAAGCGCCATAATCGTCACAATTTTGCAACATGAAAGGAGTAAATTGTTAACTCGGAGGCTTCATTTCAACCACTACCTTCAAACTCAGTGCCAGGCAGAGCGGTGGACCACAACGGGTTGCCCTTGAGAATCAATGCTTGCAGAGAAGTTAAGCCTCTGATGGTCGCCGGGAGTGGGCCGGACAGCCGGTTGTAGCTCAAATCCATGAGGATGAGCTCCTTCAAGCCACCGATGGCATCTGGAATCGAACCGGTGAGACGATTGCGGCTAGCATCGAGCTTGATAAGTCGATGGCTCGAGCCAATGGTGGGTGGGATCGAACCCTTGAGGAGGTTTTGGCTCAAGTCCAGCACATTCAAGGACGAAAACGTGACCCAGGGTATCGAACCCGTTAACTTGTTTCCGCTCAAATCCAACGACTTCAACCCGTCCAACCGGCCCAACTCAACCGGTATCGAACCGTTAAGGTTGTTCCTATGGAGATCAAGAACCCTGAGTCGGCTGAGGTTCCCCAGCTGGCTCGGGACGGGACCCACATGACCGTTCTCTCGAAGAACCAGGGTCTGCAGAGTGGGTCCAAATTGAGCCAGAAAGGAAGGAATTGGTTGCGGGTTGTGAGTTAGGCAGCGGTAGAAGAAGAGGGTTCTCAAATGGGGGAGCCTGGTCACCGAGCGAGAAATGAACGACCTGAAGGGATCACACGTCGGGAAGGCGGTCTCGTCCGACAGCGCTCCGAACGACAGCGACACCACGTGGAAGACGTTGTCCTTGCCGAGGACGCACTCGATCCCGTGCCACCGTCCCCTGCAGACGTCGGGAATGTCGGTTGCCCAATCGTTGCCCGTCGCCCTCATCACGTCGTAAACCGCTTCCTGCTCGTTGGGCTCGGTCCGAGCATGGTTCGTGTCCGGGGAGAATTGACCCGGTTCGACACGGTCAGCCAGACCGGTTTGGTTGTTGGAGTCGGACACGATGATGGTGAAAGAGGCAATGTGAGTGAAATGAAGGAGTGTTATGAATAGTAGGAGAGGCAAAGAGGAAAGTTGTGCCATTTTTGGGAGGATTTTGGGAGCTCTGAAGAAAAGTGCAGGGTTTTGGAGGTTTCTTTCTGTGGTTTATATATATATATGTGGGAGAGGATGGCAGAATTTACTGCAAAATGGGGCATAGAGCATTGGTGGCTTGGTGGGCGGGGGAAGGAAATGTGGTGGTGGATTTAGCCGCAAGTAATAATGGGTTCACGAGAAGTATGAGACAGAGGGATTGTTGAGAAGTGAAATAAATAGGGTTTGGGACCAAACTGCAAGAAAAAGAAAAATTGGAATGTTAAATGTTCTTCTTTCTGGCCCTCTGCATTTATGTGCTTCACGGGAATTCTCTGCCCCTTTTTCAATGTTTTGATGCTTTTGAGTTCTATGGAACCAGTCTTGACAACAATCCCTTCACTTTCATCCCTATGGAAGGTAACCACAGTGGTTGATTCGAATACAAAGAGGATTTGGAATTTGGATTCAATCAGTACAATGGGTACTTGCTCTGAATTCTGAAACCAAACCTCAACTCTATGACGAACCCTGGTTGTAGTCGTGATTCGAGGCAAGTGGCATCATTGTCGTCGTTGGTTATGCCAACTAGAGTCACAACAATCTCGTAGCAGATTCTTGTAACCAATCAAAACCACCCATCATCATGTCGATTAGTAATTCACAACGATTTAGCAAAATAAAGTAAAGTGTCGTCTCGAGCTAAGAAAATTCACATAATATCAAGGTGACATTATGTATTGGAAAAAAAAAATTGATCTCCTTACAATCCTATGTTCTTCCTCTCGGTGCACAAAACTAATCATTGGGCCCTGGCTCGTCGAGCTAGGCCCACTACAGACCATTGCGAATCTTGGGACTCTTTAAGCGTATACAAAAATGATAACAACATATAGACCCCCCTCAAGTTTTGTACAATATCCAAAACAGTCCAAAAACTTTATATCCTTCTCTTCTCTGTTTCCATTTTTCCACTCTTCCCTTGGTGTCACCACTAACCACCCAAGTACCCATATATCTGATTTCTCAAAGGAAACAACAAAAACACCATCCATTAGTAGTTGAACTCAATGGTCTCGCAAAATCTTCCTACCGGTAAAACGAGCACACAAGCAATCTGCTAGCTAAGCACGATAATCGAGGAAAAGCTGGAGCTTTTGCACCAGCAACTCCCTCGATCCGTGAAGGGGCTTCCCGTCTTTGATCCAATCCTTCTCAAGCAGCCCTGCTTTGGCGCTAGCCACCATCTCCGTGTAGAAAGTGGACACAATGCAGTAGATGGAGGTCCTGAGCACGTCAGCAATGGCATATGCATTCGAGTGTAAGGGGCCGGCTGTCCTTTTGGAAATCATCGGAGGAACATCTCGTTTCCCTGTGTTCAGAGCAGCCCATCGAATGCCAGCTGGACCAAGCAGTTGGTGTGGAGATTGCAGATGTGTCTTCTTTCCCATGAATGCTTCAACAGCCAGCAGGGAAGATAAGAGAGTTGAGAGGGTTGCTGCAGTGCTGCCAGAGAGCTGAGCCACGCCATATCGGTCTTCCTTGTGTGAATGCGCAGTCAGGGAAGAAATGGCCCTTGCACACCATGAAATTTTCTGCAAGAAAGATAAATTATCCCTGTTAAAAAGAGCGAAAAGAACATATTCTGGGTTTGTTTCGACTTAGAAGGTGAGTAACTTAAAGAAGCGTTAACCTATAAGCTGAAACAGGCACCCTTCTTCATCTAAATCCTTTGAACAACTATCCATGGTGGAAAGTATAGATCCTAACAATCAAAACTACTACTTAAATTTTTTCCACCCCTCACTTTTTTTTGTCTTCGTTTCGTCAGTCCATATCTTCATATGTTCACATAGAGAAACTGCTACAGTGAATAACCTTGTTTAGTAACCTCGTTATGCACAATTGACCAGCCAACAAACCCTGATCTCAATATCTGTTTGCATGTTGTCAAGAGATGATGCACAAATGAATGATTTACCAAGTCAACATTGTTGCATCAGATAACCAGCTTGGATAATTTCAAAGACACTTGAATCCTACTGGACTGAAATGTGAAATCGATGAGATAAAATCATCTGCATAATCATCTACCTGAAAGTTGTTAAGTGGTTCGTAAATCCTTGAAGGTAGTTGTGGATCGGAAGCTGACAGCAACTGTTTTGATAACTGGTCTTCAGGTGAACCTTCCAAACCTTCACTTAACTTGGAAGCAAGCTCTTCCAATGGCCTCAAGCTCACAGCTGTGACTTTCCTGTAAGTCTCACCAGTTTCTTCAAAAAATGCAGCTCTCCTCCACATATCGACATTGTTTTCACACACCATGCAGAGATCGAGATATGCAAGATACCGTGGTAGAGAATCAGAGGCAGTTTCCTCCAGTGCTGAAATAAGAGTTTCAGTTGGATTTGTTTCTGCAGCAGCTGATCCTTTCGGTGGGGCATATACGAACCTCTTTGTATGTAGCACCTACAAAAAGTAATGGTGAAATCAAAAGGAGATAGTGGTTTCCCCTATCTTCATCTTATCATTTATAGTACTTCTAATTCTAAACAGAGATGAAAGGTTATGGGACTTTCAAAGGGTGAAGCTATCTAAGAGATATAACACAAATACATACGAACAATCTTATAGATTATATCAAGTTGAAGTCAGAAGGACATGGGATATTTGACATACAAGTAGAAGACCAAATGATGACGTTACTAAGCATAAAGGATAGTTCTTCAATGATTCTACCCCATTGAATTGCATACTGCTACACTACATCACTGATGATAAGCCATGGAAATACTACTACTTGTCATGCTTAAATGTCGAACTAGAAATGTCAACTTCCTCTCGCGGCATGAGTTTGTTTCCTTTCATCAGCTGTTTAAATTCAGAGAAGATGCAGGATACTAATTGAAGAATAAAGTCCGTCAAACAGAAACGTGTTCCCCTTTCACTAACCTGGGGTTCTATAAATATTAAAGTTTCATACAGCAAAGCAAGGAGTAAAAGCTACCAACAAACAACTAGCTGCGAACAATACACATCTACTACTATGGCAGATTACTTATGAGAGCGGAAGATGTGGAGGATAAATTCCTAAAAGTAAGGAGATGCCAACCTGGTGTAGAAGATGACTTAGCTCCCAACAAAGAAGCATACAGAAAATCCCCAGGTATAGAGTACACCGGTTGAGAAGGAACTGCGTTGTTGTCAATGCACTGAGACTCGCCTCACCAAAAGACAGCATCAACATCAGTACAGATGCAAGAGTGTACCCAGTAGTCGAAAGCCTAAAAGCACGGCCAATAGCTGCAGGAATCCCCATTTTGAAGCTGAAGAAAGGAGGACGCTGTTTGACAACAACAACAACAACTCAAAGTCATTCAACCCCAATCAGACCTCAGCTGCTCAGCACAGCAGTAGTATTACAATTTACACAGCAAAAGACAACCAGAGATTGAAGGCAGAGTAACTTCGGACCTGAATAATGGGGAAATGAAGAAGCCATCTCCGATTCTTGGCAAAATGTAACGCATAAAGCAGCCCAATCACAGAACCCCTAAACCCAACTACCGCAATCGCTTCAATCTCGCCACCACCAACAACCCTCCCACACATGGCCACCGCCGACACGAACCCGGAAAAGCAAGCTGCCGCCACGTATGCGGCGATGTTGAGAGAAACCTTGGCGCGGCGGCGAAGGTCAGGAGAAGAGGAGTTCCCGGAGACGAAGAGCAGACGGAGGAGGGAAGTGGCGAGCTGGAGGAAGGAAGCTGGGGGAACGGGCTGCGGAGAGGATATGGCGGCGAGTGAAGCGGAGAGGATGAGCTGGGAGAAATGGAAGGCTGTGAAGGAGAGAATCGAAAGGACGAGCGACTGAACGGAGAAAGAAGAAGAAGGGAGAATGGAGAGTTCGATGAGTTTGTATGAAAAGAAAATGGCGGTGGAGGATATGGATTGCCATATCAAGAACCCTAGGAATCGGTTCTTCGCCACCACTTCCGGTAGTGGCCGAGGAGGAGACATTTTGTCGGAGGGTTTTGAATTGGGGAAGAACTGAAGAAGAAAAAGAAGAAGAGAAGAACAATGAAAAAAAAAAGGGTTTTGGTACCTGTAGTAGTGGCTTCTTGAGCAAGCGGGAAGAAAATTTCGGGCAAAATAGCTTGAAGGCCACTGGAGTTTCCACGTATTCACCAATTTGTCATAAATTAAAATATGTTGGCGTTTTCATACTTTTTCCAATTTACAGAGTAACTAATGAGAGGCTGTTTGAAATTTTTCAAGTTCACTATGATTTTTTTACCATTTTACCATAACTTCTAAACATACATCATACCAAAATATTATAGACCCGCACGATTTTGACTTGGGGTGCATAATAAACTGACTTTCCGAGAGGTCATCCATTCGTGTATGGCTCCACATTCCACAATAAGTACATTTAACTTCGGAGTTAGTTCTACAATAACTCTTTCATTTCACCCAAATACGTGTTTTGTTGGTTAAGGTGGATTTTTTTTACTTATGAATTATGGATCTCTCTCGTACTATATCGATGTATAACTTTTGTAAGAATTCTGAAGTTAAACGCGTGCTCATTGTGGAACAATGCAATGATGGGTGAGCTCCTGAAAAGTCACCTTGATATGCACCCCAAAGACAAAAAAACCATGCGAGTCTAGAATCAAAGAGGACAATATATTAATCGGAAACAAAATATTCGTGTAGCCTCGTTATTTACCCAAAAAAATAAAAAAAAAGTTGACAGAAATTTCATACTCTACCAACCACCACTTGTTGGTGATCAACATCATCAGTTGCTACTGCTCGATCATCATCATCTTCTCGCACAATCTCCACCTCTTTCTGGCAATAGTCAAGAGAGATTGGTTTGTAGGTCATGGCAAAAAACAAATAAATCCCGAAGTCCACAACCGTGACCGCAGCAACAGAGAGGAACCATAGATCCATGTGACCCGCATTCAGATCCTCTGCAGGTATCCACCCAGGATTTTGCCCTCTCGCAGTCAAGAGCATCACCATCTTCACCATCAAGCTGCTGACGTAGTTCCCGAACGAAATGGAAGCCATGCAGAGCGAGCTCCCGAAGCTCTTGATCCCATCGGGGGCTTGCCCATTGAAAAACTCCAATTGGCCGACGTACATGAAAACCTCTGACGCGCCCACCAGAGCATACTGCGGGATCTGCCAGAACACGCTCAGACCGCTCACTTTCTCTCCTGGGGTGACGTACCTCTTCCTCCATATCTCAGTGAGCGCGGCAGCAACCATGGCTAACGTTCCGATGACGAGCCCGATGCCCATGCGCTGGAGCTCGGTTAGGCCCTTTGGGTTGCCACTAAGCTTCATGGCTACAGGGACGAGGACCTGACGGTAGATTCCGGTGCAGACTAAGACGGAGCATATGTCGAATGCCGACATGCTTGCCGCTGGAAGGCGGAAGTTGCCAATCTTGGTGTTCATCACGTCGCCTTGTTCGACAAAGAGGGAGGCCATTTGGGTGAAGACGACGGAGTAGGCGATGGTGCAAAGCCAAATGGGTAGCATTTTCAACACACATTTCGCTTCCTCTACTTGTGTCACGGTGCACAGACGCCATGGGTGTGGATCTGATTTTTGGTCGGCGTCTGTGATCGTGGCCGCCTTGTCCAAGAACCTGTGTACGTAAGAGATAAAATTTCATTACAAATTATTTCTTGGAACTCGAAAGAAAGTGGTTTGTTCATTACATTACATGGTATCACAGCCTTTATCGAGAGGTATGATGGTTTTGAATCCTTATGACGACCCTCAATATAAATAATGGTTTAGTACGTACAATGGATGATATGCTCAACCTCTACAAACTAAAAGCTTAATGGTTTACCAGCACAAGGGATGGTGTGTTCAACATCTCCAAACTGAAACTCATAAGTAAACTTTCATTCGAGAGACGTGTAAGAGGTAAAAAAAATTATATCAATCATTTCCAAAAAAAAAAAAAAAAAACTCGAGTTATTGGGCCTAAATGATTTGTTCGCTATGACGATTTCGTTTATCATACTTAGATTAGATAGATAATATCATGATTAATTAGTTGAAAACAAAATCATCAAAGAGAGAGACTGAGAGAGGATTCAAAATTACGAGATTTGATTGCTGTGAAGGATCTTGCGGCTGCCTTTGATAGCCGACTCTGCACCTTCAACCTCGTACAGATCATCGGGATTCTCCGGCGGCACGACCTTCCGCTTTCTGAACGACGCGATGAACACCTGCGCGACACGTGGTAGCGGGTTCCCGCAGGGCTTGATGTAGCGGTAATACGGTGTGCCACCGAGGTATAGCGCGAGGGCCAAGACGGCGGAGGCAAGCGATGCAATGAATCCGATGGTCCATTTCCCGGTGTCCTCATAGTAAACGAGGACGGTGTTGGAAATTAGGGAGCCAGAGTTGAGCGCGAAGTAGAAGTAGCAGAAGAATGCGGCCTTGGCATCCAGCTGTTTGGGAGATGTCTCGTCGAATTGGTCGGCCCCAAATGTGGCCAGTGTAGGCTGGTGCCCGCCGTAGCCTAAGGCTACAAGGTAAATGGCCAGATAGAAGATTAGGGCGCCGGCGTTGGTTGCCGGTTGGCATTCTAGGAACCCATCGCCGCAGTTCTTTGGCTTTATCAGGTACACTCCTGATGCCACTGAGATAAGCACCAACCCCTGCATTCAACCAGTTTAATTTGGTATTACTAGGTCAAGAACTTGAATATCATCAAATCATATTTTATGGAGGTTCATCAAATTGGTATATCCATTAAGGCTTGGAAATCATGCAATCCAATTCAAATCTAACCATATATATGGTCTGTGTTCAAATCAAGGAGTTGGAATATAGATTAGGGACCAGACTGTTCAATTTATATCATGTTCGAGCGGGTATGATCCGATAGAGTCCAAATAAGGCATGTCATATTTTGTAAATATAAATAGTTCATTTTGTTCGGAAAACTAATAAACAAACTAATGCTGAAGAAGAAGAAAAAATTGTTCTTTGACTTTAAACCTATATTGTATCATGCATTCGGAAATTTTAAAAATTCAAGCAGATAATAAAGACTCAAAGTCAAAGCAACCCATCTTTCAACATAATGGCATAAAGGTTGAGACTTTGATCTCGTTGGAGATTTGGAGAGAGTGATCATTAAGTGAGCTAACATATTGAAAAGTGGATAGGTCCACGAACTTAGTGCGATAAGCAATGATATGGACCCGACCAAACCAAACCAATAAATTAAAACAGCTTATAATGCAGATCGAGCACGAACCAAACTGATTAATTGATAACAGTCTACAATCAGGTTTCATCCATAATGATCAAACATAGTTGGTTTATTTTTCTAGCTCTAATACCTATAACTCATGTTAGGATATACAATAGTTGTATAAATAAATTAGGTACGTACCACTACAAAGACGCATTGGAAGATGCCACAGGTGAGAAACCGGCCCCAGTAAGAGTCGCTGAGAAAGGCACCAACGAGTGAGAATAGGTAGACAGTTCCAGTCCAAATGCTTACATCGTTAGCCGCATCTGCATTGCTTCTCCCCAACACTCTAGCTAAGAATAAAACCAGATTCACCCCTACCCCAAAGAATGCTAGTGTCGCTAGCCCTTGATTTGCTACATCACATTCACACGTATAATGCAATATTCAGTCACTATAATGTCATTTTGTAATGTATCGTATGTTAACATAGGCAGTGAAAGGTTTATAAAAAATGGTACGTACCTAGCAATAACATTGCCGCTACCCAACCACCTTTTCCCTTGGCAACGTTTGGAGCGATATGCTCATCATCATCATCGTTATGAATATTGGTAGTTGTTGTGTTAGTTGTAGTAACAACATGCCCGACTGTTTCTTCATGGATACTCTCCTGAGAATGGGCTTCGATGATTCCATGGTTGTCGTTGGAGGGTTCCATGATGGGAACAACTCACAATTGATCTGTTAATTAATTAATTAGTTATCATGGTTCAATAAGTATATGTACCGAGGAATATTATAAAAAAAAGAAATTAAACTAGGTAATTTTTTTTTTGAGTTATTGTTTATTTCGTTGTACAAAATCGACATACAAAAAAATTCGACATTTGGTTAGTATGGTGATTCGAGGTGTATTTTTTTCAATTCACAGTTCTATATCACTATATTGTTAAGATGATAGTGTGATTGTGGGATCTGATCTGTGCTTAGTACGTGTTTCGTTTGAGTATTGAGATATCCATCCAATCTCAAATACCTATCCACTCTCGTACCGTTTTTATTTTCAATTTTAAGAGTAGAGTAACTTAAACAAGGTATAGAAAACATAAACTCGTAATTCGATCTATTGCTATAAATACCCTTAAAAACAATGTCACGCAAAATAACACCACAAGGATCACGAAGTATAAATTACCAACCTCGGTATCGACGTCTTTGTGTGGAAGATGAAACGAAGAACGATTGGCGATTGTTATTGTGAGATGAGTATATTTATAAACAACTACTCTGGCGATGGCGGTGATCCGATCATCAATAGAACAAACTCTGGCGAAGGTGATGAAGACCGAGTAGTATAAATCAAGCTACAACCAATTGTAGGCCAGGAAAGAACCAAAAATCTCACAAAATTGGACAATTCCGACGATGATAATAGATCTTTTCTCATTTATAAGCTGACCCCACAAAACCAAATAAAGAAGAGGTGACAACACGAGTTTTGAATTCCTTTAATTTTGCATATAACCAACCTGGGCAGCCAAGTGAAAAAAAATAGAGGGCAAAGATCAAAAAAGTGTAAGGAAGTAGAAAATCTTAAGATTGTTTCTTCAGAAACATAGAATTTTTATAATTTATTGTTGTTGATCAAAGCTTGTGTGGATTTATAGAAGGTGAAACGTAGAGAAAGAATTGGTCTAATTTCTGTTGCTTGAAAATCTGCTTTATTGAAGCTTCTCCTGGTTTTACTGACGTAGATCTTATCTCGCATTTTTTTTACTGATCTTTCATATAATAGATCACTTCTTTCTTCCATGTAAATTTCAAGTAGACATTCCATTATGAAAACAATTCCCACCATAATTAGCCCATATTTAGCTAAACATGTGGGTAACGTGCTTCACTAACTTAATTACAACAATTTTCTTCTATGATTAACTATTTATAGTGACTCAAATAATTGCTTCTTTTAATTAATTTAATCTCTATCCATCAATTTGCAAACTCGTAGCAAATGCTTATCATAGTTGTACATGTATGATTCTGATATGATACGTTGACAAATGAATACTGATACGATAATTGTTCATTTATGTTTTTTTTAGCTTTGTTAGTCAAGTACTCACACCCAAAAACATATGCATAAATTTAGGTGTCCAAAACTAGGATGCACCAAATCAGAACCAAAACCAAAGGGCTAACATATGTAGGGATTGTTTGGAATCTTTGTTTGATCGTTACCTTTCACTCTAAAGGTTAAGTATACGTGTGTTGTAGGGCACAATGTCAATCTCTCTCAATGGAGTTAGCTGGTATACCCAATTAATTAAAGATGAAATTGTTTCATATAAGTGCATTCTCCATTTTGTTTCAATTAATCAAACTAATATTTTGTCAAGTTCTATCGCAATGGAGTTAGCTGGTACACCCAATTAAAGATAAAAATGTTTCATACTAGTGGATTCTCCATTTTTTGGTTGTAACCAATCTAATAATTTTGACTACAATAAAAAAAAAAAACACGGTTGCCTTACTATTTTGCGTTTGTATGTGCCAATTGCATAGAACTGAATGATAATAACAAATTAACTTTTTTCGTAACTATCGGTGCCAACTCCATCAAATTTTATACATGATGTGATTCACCAAAAAAAACCTAATTTGTTGAGTGATGTTTGATTTTGTTTGTGAAAGATGAACTGGTTGCCTGAATTGAAACCCACCTATGTTATAGCAACAAAAAGTCGTATTGCTTTGTTAATTAATTATTATCATGTTCCTACTCTTGAAATATACATGACTTCATCGCCCAATTTATCTCAAGTTTTCGACTTATCTTGTATTTTATTCTCTCTCTATTCGGAGATTGCTTTGATTTCTCAAACAAATACAATTTCCTTCATTCATAAATATAATTTTTCTTCACGAATATAGCCTTTTTGATTTTCTTATCCACACAACAAAAAAACATGGCAGAAGATGCATCTTCTTGCTTGATGACAATTGAGCCAAATGAGGGTGTTACTTATGATAATTTATATGCTCGTCAACCCGAGCTTCATATGGCACAATCAAAAAGAGAAGTAATTATCAACCATGAAATGGACACAAGGGAAGTGCACGAAGATATGCATGGGAAATTGGCTTATGTTCATCTTATCCAAAAAGAGCTGACGCCAAGCGACGTTGGTAAACTCAATAGACTCGTCATCCCAAAGAAATTTGCGCTCAAGTATTTCTCTTACATCCTCGAGACCCTCGAAGGAGTCACTCTCAAGCAGATGCTTAATGATGATGTGGAGATCGTGTTCTATGATAAGGCGATGAAGTGTTGGAAATTCCGATATTGTTATTGGAGGAGCAGTCAAAGCTTTGTGTTCACAAGAGGGTGGAACAGGTTTGTGAAGGAGAAGAAGTTGAAGGAAAAGGATATCATCACATTTTACAGGTGTACAACGGTTCATGATGATCATGCACAATCATTTTTCTTCATAGATGTTACTACTCATGGCAATGGGGTCAATCAAAGTTTCATGGCGGAAAAGCGGACTACTAATGTGTTGTTGCATAATGACTGGGGATTCAATTTGAGCTTGAATGTGGCTCAAAATGAGGTGAATGAAAAGGAAGCGAGAGATTACGATGATAGTTTGGAATCAATAAACAACCATGTAAATAAGGAAAAAGGAGTTAGGCTTTTTGGTGTCCAAATATGCTAATCCAATACATGGATAAAACATGCTTTCTATTCACTCTTACAAACAAAATATTTTTGTTTACCATAAATGTTAAATTTATGTCTTATTGTAAAAGTCACCTTTCAAAAGAAAAAGAAAAATCGTGATAAACCACATTTGACATTTTAATTATTTGACAATTTTATTTAGTTTTACATGTACGTGAATAGATATATCTCTCATGACCTAATTAGAATTTACACTTACAGATTAGTGATACAAATACCATTAGTGGCGGAGCCACGTTGTTGGCAAGAGAGGCTATAGCCCCCTCTCAGATTCTCAAAATTGTGTAAATTTACATGTAAATTTCATAGTAGATTTGGAGAATAGAGTAGGTGGTAAGACTTTAGCCCCCTCCCCGGTTCAAACCTTTGAACGTGAATTTTTTTAACTCCCCTCATTTAGATTCCTGGCTCCGCCACTAAATACCACACACTAAAACATATATTTTGATGTGTGTTTAATTGATGCTAACTACAACACTTAACAAATGTTAAAATCCAAAAATTCATGAGATACTAGACGAATAAGTGCAAACCTGCCACCTCATTGATACTCAAAATGTTTAAAACTAAATAAAACTAATTTGATTAATCAATACTATAATTTTATTGTTTAACCTAAAAGTACTGAATTCGAATCCTAAGAAAGAACTCTCCTTCACCTATTAACCATTTCACTAAAATCTACAATCTACAAGATACATAAAGGCAAGGCAACGCATGGGTTGGAATTCTCCCATTTCAAATTTCATGGCTTGAGAATGATTATAGGAATGTCATTTTATTGTTTAACCTAAAAGTACTGAATTCGAATCCTAAGAAAGAACTCTCCTTCACCTCGCATGGGTTCGAATTCTCCAATTTCAAATTTCATGGCTTGAGAATGATTATAGGAAGGTCATTTTTTGTCATTGCACCCAGTTCATGTTTATATATTAAAATTGTTATCATTGGAGTTCGAACCTTGATCACTTAAATGATGAAACAACATTATAACCAACTAGGCTACATTTTATTTATTGTTGTTTCTTTGATTAAACTCTAGAAATATGGTTGGTGATGATGCTTCTATATTTATATTTTATCTTAACTTTTTTTATATTTCTACATAATATATAAAGGCAAAACATTGGTTGGATTTCCAGGGATTTGAATTCCCAGGCCTGTGAGGGTTTCACGGAAGAGTAATTTGGACAATTTACCTATCATTTTAAGGTCATTCGTCTTTGGCTATCAATCCGCAATGTGCCCTTTCAAATAATTCAATTTCATATCTATAACCTGTGTCGTCATCAACAAATATGATAAATATTGGAAAACATTTTCATTGATATGTTGGACTGTATCACATATCAATTATAATGCTTTATTTGTAAACATGTTTATCGCTATTAGTTCCATATCTTTGATACTTACACGCATTGTAAGTAGTAACAACATATACAAAAATGCATAATAATCTTCACTATTTACACACATTATAAGTGGTTACAACACATACAACATACATAATAATCAAACTCCCCAGCCAACAGGCGGGGCATGGTGCTAGGGATTCTCAGATTGGTTAGGATGAAGATATATAACCAGAAGGAATCGCTGGAAAACCCGGGGAAGATGAAGTGGAACTTTTGAGAATCTGAGATAGGATTAGAAATCAGAAGGAAGTCGATCGATTGTTGGTGAAGGATGGATACAGGCTTCTTCTTTGGTTCAACTTCCCTGCCATTCAATCTGGTGGCCTAGTATTCGCCCATTCTTTTGTGGACTGGAAATCAATCAGACTGTTGGATTGATGGCCAAGTATTTATTTCCTATTACTTTTTTTTACGTTCATCTCATATAATATTTTTTCAACACATTTTTTACGTTCATCTTATATATTATTATTATTATTGTTTGTAAAATTACAAATTGATACTTTTAATTAATCTTCATAATAAACATTAAGTTGCTCTATCTATCCGCATGGATAATTTAATTTTAGCTTGTCCCATAAACACTTCCATACAACAATTTTTAGATAAAACTTTCACAGGTATTAATAACACATTTTTTGGGCTAAACTTTTGTACAAACACGATTTTATTACAAAAGTTACCAAAACAATGAACTATTGTCAATTGGGTTTATATTTCAATTTTTATCAAATAATACGATTGTGCATAAATTACCCGCCCAACGGGCGGGTCCGGTGCTAGTGGTAATTTTTTTTTTCAAAACTAAACTACTCCACCTTGTATAGAAATTAATTAAGCAGTATTTCATAAGGAAAATATATAAACAATTAATTAAACAGCTAAGCAGAAGAAAATAAATAAAAATTACTGCGTTCTCTGCCTTCCCCGCCGAACAAATGTACAAGAATTTTGGTTGGATTTTGGTGGGCCCGCTCAACAATATTCCACCCACTTAATTCAAGAATCCCTCGATTTTTTCATCAGAAAATAGAACCCCTCGATTTCTCCTCCCCAAACAGAGGCTTAAATAAAGCTCTAAAACCCTTCTGGCCTTCTCCAGTTACTCCGTCCGGCCGGTGAAATCCATTTTCCTCTCACATCTTCACTCCCTCGATCTACAAGTTGGCTCTCATTCTTCAGCTGAGGTAACCCGATACCACTCTCTTTCTCTCACTTTCCTTCTCTCGATTGAAGAACTAGGCGGAATGTAGGTTGTGTAGATTCAAGCGGAGTCTAACCCAGATCCTTAAGATATGAGTACAGCCTAAGATGGGCTACTCTTTTCCGAGTTCTTTTTTATTACTGTTCTGGGTTGTTGAGGGTTTTCATAGTCCCTCGCTTTCTCAGGCTGAAATTTACATTTCGAGTAGACTCTTGGGTTATAGTGCGAGTTGTAGGTGGTCAAAACTACTCAGTTTACTTTCCGCTAATTGCATGCATGCTCTTCGGTCTTTTTCCCTTGCTTTAACATTCGATTGGGTTGTCATTTCTGGGTTCGGAGTCCATTTCTTGCTTTATCTTTTCTCATTACCCAAAGAAATGAAGCTGGAGATGTGGAGGGGAACTGAGAATGATGGGTTCAAATTCTGGGTATGAACTCGTTTATGTGTATTACATTGCGCAGTAGGCTTTGTTTTCTAGACAACTATAACACCGGGTTCTCTTTAACTAGTCGCCATTACCATTTCCGTTTACGTTGCTGATGCGGGAGCTCCTCGTATGGTAATTGGATAGCTAATATACGGTGCAATGATCTTAAAATCTGATCTTTTTTCATCCCATCTCAGCAGGTTCAGTTCATTGAGAATGGCTGCAACTGCCACCTCTACTCTGCAAATTGCAACAGCAAGGTCATGCATGCCTTCTCCTCGAAAGCTGGTGAAGGCAGGTGCCGCTGTCCTTGGAACCAGTTCTAAACAGTTGTCGTGGTCTAAGCTTGCAAGTTCTTCAAGTGTTTCGTCAGTACAACCATTGCAGAGATCGTTCATGAATTCATCTGTTAGGCTCTGTAAAGTTGCTACAAAGGCTATGGCTGAATCTGGTGATACTAAGCCAGCTCCTGGACTGCCGATAGATTTGCGAGGTATTCATGCCTCTTCCTTGATGAAAACCCTGATGGAGATTGGATTTAATGACTATTATTTACCTATTCCAAACCTCTGGGACAAGTCTGTTCAAAATCAAAATTCAATGCCCCCCTTTGTGTATTTAAACCTTTGAAATGGTTGCCTCTGTTAAAATAGAAGCCCTATAATAACCACGTAACATGCTTCAAAGAATTGCTAAGTGCTTCTACTCTGTAGGCAAACGGGCATTCATTGCGGGCGTGGCTGATGATAATGGGTATGGTTGGGCTATCGCAAAATCTTTGGCTGCTGCTGGTGCTGAAATACTAGTTGGAACCTGGGTGCCTGTGAGTAAATTTTGACTGCTGTCTTGCTGACTACCTTTTTTCCATCGGCAGGGCAGAAGTATCTTAATCATATCAAAACTACTTTTTGCAGGCTTTGAACATCTTTGAGAGCAGCCTGCGACGAGGAAAGTTTGATGAATCACGCGTGTAAGATCTTCTTGCGCCTGTTTAATGCGAGCTTGATATAGAAATCTGCTTCTGCAATGTATCATAACACATTTAATTTATAGGCTACCTGATGGCTCATTGATGGAGATTACCAAAGTATATCCGTTGGATGCTGTGTATGACAAGATGGAGGATGTCCCTGAAGATGTAATACATGAAACAATAATATTTCTGTGTTAGAGGCCATTTTTACCTGCTGTATGTTCAACTCATTAGTTTTCTGTTTTTCTCCCATTTCTCTCTGTTGCTTTACACAGGTTAAAACAAATAAGCGTTATTCAGGATCTACTAAGTGGACAGTTCAGGTAGGTCTTCCCCTTCCCCTCATGCGTAATTTTTCTTCATGACCTTCAAGATGCTCATAATTATCTTTCATAACCGGGAAAAAGTTCTTAAACTATTTCTTAAAAGTTCTTAAACTATTTCTTCAGTATAAACATTTTGACGTGTTGTGTTTCACATAAGAATTTATTGGTCCTGATCTTCCCGATCGTTGACTCTCAAACTTGGCCTTGTGGTAATCAGGGATAACAAACATTTAACCCATCCTGGATGTAATTACATTGGTTTACAGATCAACTTGATAGTGACAATTTACTGGCATGTATCCTGCAGGAAGTGGCTGAGTCTGTGAAACAGGACTTCGGCAGCATCGACATCCTTGTTCACTCACTTGCGAATGGCCCCGAGGTAATAACTTTCTGATCACGAAAAATCTATTCTCATCATTATCAAATGGAGCATACTAACAATTCCTTAAACTAGTAGGTAACCAAACCTCTTCTGGAGACATCAAGGAACGGTTACCTTGCAGCACTATCAGCCTCAAGTTACTCCTATATTTCACTATTGAAGCACTTCCTTCCAATAATGAACCAAGGTATCTTATCCTGCATACTGCAATTCTCAGACTCAAAAGTGCTCTCATCTTTTCTGCAAGTAATTCCTATTTTCCTTGCAGGTGGCTCTTCAATTTCTCTAACGTACATTGCATCTGAAAGGATTATACCAGGGTATGTATTGTCCCTTAGAAAATTCGAATCGCCTAGCTGCCCGTTAATGTACTATTGTTTCGTTGTGTCTTTAGGTATGGTGGAGGTATGAGTTCTGCCAAAGCTGCACTTGAGAGTGACACGCGAGTGAGTACATAGCTCATTTATGATCGCATTTGTTGCATACATATCCAATGGACTTATTAGTTTTTATCTGTATTTTTTCCTGGTTCTTTCCAGGTGCTTGCTTTTGAGGCAGGGAGGAAGCGAAAAATTAGAGTGAACACCATTTCTGCTGGTATCTTTCAGCTCCCCACTTTCTTCTTATTTTACTTCTTCTGCTGGTGATGCCTCAGTAAATTACGTGCATTGCTGGTCTTCAAAGAAATAATGCTCATTTACACAAGAAAAAGAGAAGTGCTGTTCCGTTTCATCTTTCTTGAAAATATTCATTTAGTCAGTCGACGACCCCATGAAAAATATTGAATGTTCAGTCATTCCGTCACTTTTAGTTAGGCTTGCTTGTTCTCTGAATGAATATTTATCAAATAACTTGTTAACGACTCAAAACTCCTTGTGCTAACCCTGCAGGTCCTCTCAGGAGTCGAGCTGCAAAAGCAATTGGGTTCATTGACACGATGATCGATTACTCATCTGCCAATGCACCTCTACAGAAGGAACTCTCTGCAGGTGACTAATTAATGACTTCGTCCATTCTTTTCATTTGATTAAGTTCTTCTTCCTTCACCCAATCACGATTAACTTGGTGCTGGTGAAAACAGACGAGGTGGGCAATGCTGCTGCATTCCTGGTATCGCCTCTAGCCTCGGCCATAACTGGTGCTGTGATATATGTCGATAATGGCCTGAACGCGATGGGGGTGGGAGTAGACAGTCCCATTTTCAAGGACCTTGACATTCCAAAAGCCGAGCACTAGTACCTAACCATTCCTCCAAGACAGCCCGGGTTCTTTCATGCATTCTGTTTGGTGAATCTTAACAATTAGTATTTGCATCGGATCGATTGATTGATGATGCCGGCAGCCTGGTTTAGTATGAGAATTGTAGTTGTAGTTGTGGCCTGTGGGATTCTACCATCTAGCTATATGCTGAAGGTTTGGTCCTGGTTGCAGAGACTTCTGTGTTTTTCCTTCTTTTTTTGTATGGTGTGACAACTTTGGCACTCCTTGTTTCTGTATCTCTTGACATTTAGATGGTTCTTAGTGGAAGTGCAGGGCAAGTAAATGAAGAGGGGCAAAAAAACTAATAAGCTGCCCCTTAAATTTCATATTTGCCTAGTATGGGTTGGATTGAGTTACAGTAATGAGTTGGGTTTGACTAGAGTATGTATGAATCAAACCGAGTTGTTCTAGTCTAAGTTTATATGGTCTCTTTCAAGTGTTAATTATTGTGTTGGCATGCTAGTGTAAAGACTATTGAAAGATAAATTTAACAAAGATAGTCGAAATGACTGTCATTAGTTATCATTTCAAGTCTATTGATACATTTTAAAAAAAGCAAATCAATGACCAAATATAGTAGTATTCAAACAAAAGATAAGTAAACATATGTGATTGGCCTTCATGGTTAGCCAAGGAATAAAGGTTGGGGGAAATTGCCAAAAGCTCAATAAAGCAAAATCAGAAACTTGGAACCAAAGTTAAACAAAAACACACTTGTTCCACAAATCTTTCTAAAGCCTATAGATAGATACTGACAGAGGTTTTCGTTGCAGGAAACTTAGTACCCACAAACTTAGGCTTAATGCCTGGGAACATTCGTTGTCTGAGGCTCCATCCATGTAGCCAACTTAATTTAATATCGAAAACAACACATGCCATTCCTCTTTGCGCATCTATGATGCACATTTGGACTTCGTAATGTATACAATACATCATTGTCGCTCGTAAGTGGTAAGCGTGAAGTGGGTACACCCACTTTCATGAGTTTCCATGAACATTCATGCAGGTCAGTATAGTCTCAAACATATTCGTTGTCGTGTTAGTGTTACGAATTCTAACAGACATCGTAAACTATTAACAAAAAAGTGAAGAGCAATCCAACAAGAGTGATGATGCCTTATAAAATGGAATAAGTCTTCGCACAAAAGCATAGTCATTCTTCATGTCCATGAGAATGAAGAAACCAAAATATTCTCTCCCTCCCTCCCTCTGTCTTTCCTGCCCCACATTGCTCTCCATTATATTCATAATGTTCGACAGGTCTTGTCATCCACCTCTAGGTGAAGTTTTCTCTGCACACTCTGTAGCCCCCTGGCCATGGTGGCTGCATTGCAGCTTTCTTCCCCTTCTCTTCCACCCTCAAATCTGAATCCAAAGTTCAATCCTATTGGAACTCTGGCAACTCATCAGCAATCAAAAATTGCTTCATCATCACGTTGCAGATTGTTCATAACCAACTCTCAGCAGAAGCCACATCACCTTCATGACCACATCCCAACCTTACTCCCACCACCTAATGAGAACGTTGCGGCGGTCATATTCGGCGACGGCGGATCCTCGGACTCCTCGAGGCTGTACCCTCTTACCAAGAGAAGATCACAGGCAGCAATCCCCATTGCAGCAAACTACAGGCTGATCGATGTTGTAGTCAGCAACTGCATCAACAGCAGCATCACCAAAATCTATGTTCTCACACAGTTCAACTCCACTTCGCTCAATTCCCACCTCGCCAAGGCCTACTCCCGTCTAGGCCTTGGCCAAGGTGGGTTCGTCGAAGTCGTCGCCGCGTACCAGAGCCTTGAACATCAGGCTTGGTTTCAGGGGACTGCTGATGCAATCAGAAGGTGCTCGTGGGTTCTTGAGGAGCACCCTGTTTCTGAATTCCTCGTGCTTCCCGGTCACCATTTGTACAGAATGGACTACAGGAATCTGCTGGAGGCTCATCGGAGGGGGAATGCTGATATAACGATTGCTGCATTGGGGTGTTCTTCTGGTCGAAGGGAAGAGCAGGAGGGTTTGGGCAGGTTGGAAGTGAATTCGAGGAATCAAGTTGTTGGTTTTCATGATGGGAGGCAGGGGAATTCGGAAGTAAGTTGCAGAGGTGGTGTGTTTGAGAACATGGGGATATATGTGATCAACAGGGATGTCTTGAGAAAGCTTGTACATGAGAGTTTCCCAGAGGCAATCGACTTGGGAAGTGAAGTAATCCATGGATCGATCATATCCCTTGGACTTAAGGTGGGTGCTCCTTCTTTCTTTTGTCTTTCATAGCGAGAATTAGTTAATGTCAATCACTCGAGATGTTTTTTTGGGCAGGTTCAAGCTTGTCCATTCAATGGGTACTGGGAAGACATGAGGAGCATATCAGCATTTTACCAGGCCAATATGGAATTCGTCAAGAGATCAAACAACTGTCAGAGGTATTTAATATGAATTCACATAAAAAGCTCGTAATACACACAACTATGCAAAAGATACGAGAAACTAACGTCAATTATTGATTGCAGCTTCTACGATATGGTTTCGCCTCTATACACCATTCCTCGTTGCCTTCCACCGACAACAGTGACTAATGCCCTTATTACAGATTGTGTTATTGGAGATGGTTGCATCCTCAATGTAAGCTAAACAAAATTGCAATTTTTCAAGCAAGATGACAGACACTCCATGTCATCATTCATCACTTACTAAGTGTTCTTTTTTTTCTGTTTGTTTCCTGGGAATCTTATCTTAAGAATAGAGGTGCAGGATCAAAGGGAGCGTGGTGGGAATGAGGACTAGAATTGGAGATGGAGTGGTGGTTGAAGATTCAGTCATATTGGGTGCTGATAATTACCAAGTAAGAGCTTGATTAAACTAATTAATGACCCCCTCCTATGATTAATGGTTAAAACTAATTCAGATTATTATGAGGAACAGGATGATAAGATTGGTGTTGAGGAGAGGAGGAAGAGGAGTAATGGGATGAATGGCATAACTATGGAGGGAGGCATGAACAACAATGGAAGGAATGGTGTTCCAATTGGAATAGGTGATGGAACTCTTATGAGGAAAGCAATTGTGGATAAAAATGCAAGAATTGGCAAAAATGTGAAGGTATAGTTTTACTTGATTGCTATGAGATCCATACATAAAGTTGCATGGTAGAGTTATTTAGTGACAAACACATGTCACACTATGAGTTGTAACAAAAATATGCATGTACCATGTCTATGTGGTTGAGTGTTGACTATTTTTACTAGTTACTACTCCAATTGATAATTCCGTCCAATTATGTGGTTGTAACAAAAATGTGCATGCAACAAAAAAATGTTATTAATGTATCGATTTGTGTTTTCATATGTAAGGGATTAGTGCGGGTATGATCAACATTGTTTTGACTAGTTTGGTGCCTTAACAATCAATACAGATAATCAACAAAAATGGAGTACTTGAGGCTGATAGAGAAAGAGAAGGATACATGATTAGAGATGGGATAATCGTGATCATGCGAGGAGCAGTGATCCCAGATGATACAATTTTGTAACACAAGATTCCCAACTTTATCTCTTTATTTAGTTATCATTAAGTTCATCACTCATTTGCCCTACTTTGGCGGATTATTTGGTTAGTTCAGGCTTATATTCGACATTATAACAATAAAGTTGCATTTATGGTGATACCCATCATTCAGTTGAGAGCGGATGGTTTCTTTTGGAGGCTACTGTACCACGTTGTAATCAAATTCGTGCAATTGATTAATTGGTTGATTGCATATTCACGAAGTACTTATGTGATTTCTATTGATACTCGAAGGCTAAAGACTATCGGCGGAAGATGACAATTAGATGAGTTCTTGATCTATTTTGTGACCTAAGAAATAACAATGCTCTTCAATGGGCCATTTTATTCATTTCAGAAACTTTGAGTACTGATTTAGAAATTCTCAAAAGGTTGGGGCGTAAGGAGATATTTTACTTTCACTATATAACACCGGCAAAGCTTCTCTCCGTCCAAATTCATTTCAACGAGCAAAATCAATCAAGAACTCAAGATTCCCGCCCAACGACCTCCGGAAAGATCGCAGCGAACAAACTCCCTCTCTGATCACGATGAGAAAATCGACGGCTCCGATTCTCCTCCTCCTCCTCTTCCTCATCTCACTCATCCTCCACCACCGCCCCGCCGCTGCGCTCATCGCCGACGAGCTCGACGCCGCGATGACCTCCCTCCGATCGCACGGCTACAACCTCCTCCCCAACGCCATCGCCACCACGGATCTCCGATTCCGCCTCTTCTCCTCCAACTCCTCCCCCGCGTTCACGCTCTTCGCGCCCCCTGACCGCTTCCTCTACTCTCTCGACATCTCCGCCGCCGCGCCCCGCTACGTCCGCTCCCTCCTCCGCCACATCTCCCCCGCTCTGCTCCCGGCCAACTCCCTCCGCGGCCGGGGCGATTCCTACATCGACACTCTCCTCCCCGGGCACCGCCTCTTGATAATAGGCGGCTGCTGCTCCCCGCTCATCCTCAGAAACGGCACCGTCGTGGACCAGTCGGTGTTGTCCGTGGACGGCGTCCGCGTCTCGGATCCGGATCTTTACGTCGGGTCGACCGTCGCCGCGCACGGACTCGCCGGGATTCTCGGCGGATCGGACGAAGATGACCTGAATTTCGAGGAGCTTGATGACGGGGAAGGTTATGGTTATGGCGACGATGGATTCTTCTGGTATCCGAGCTCTACTTGGCCGTCGGCGGGAAACCACGGTGCTTCTCAGGTGGAAAATCGATCGGCGGCGGCAGGGATTGACGGCGTTGAACATGGAAGATTCTCGAAGCTCATCCGACGAGGTACTGATGGCAATTGAAGTGAGGAATTTTGCGTTCGGTCAGTTCAACGTGATTGAATTTTGTTTGGTTGCTGAGAAAATTTTGGCACAGGGGGGAAATTGGGGGAGAATGGCTTTCAGTAGAAGGCAAAACTTTCTGCTGTGTGCATATCTTTTGGTACATAGGCCATAATTTTCCTGTACAATGATGCAAAGCAAAATGTTTGTTGAGTAAACTCCATTGCTATGATGACAGTTTCTTGTAGCTAGTGAATGATTGGCTATTTGATCTTTTTCAGTTTTAACTCTCATCAATCCGTTGAATAACTTATCTTTAACTCGAAAATTTTCGGGGCATGGGTTGAGATAAGGAAGGACGAAATCGGTATCAATTCGATCTCCAATGAAGATAATAATTTAGTGGATACAATCGATTCATATGAAACAAGTACTACTTGTCCTGTGTGTAGCTTTTTTAAGTTTCAAACTTGAGAATGGTTAACCCCAAATAATTCCAGACTCATTCTCAAAAGTCATAAATCGAGATCATTAGTTCATACCAAATCTAATTATCCAAATGTAATTCCCAATTCCCAAACCTAGACGATTTGATGAAGTAGATTCATAATCAAATCCAATCTATTATGGATTTAAAATCCGTCATGGACTTTGCGCAAAATTATTATTTGCTTGAAGTTGGTGGGGGTATAAAATCCGTGGGGTTCATATACTTTAAATATCAAAATCCGTAGGTTTAATGAACTTACAAATCTCATATCAACATGTGAGATTCAACGAATGACCATAATTCCATTATCTAATGAACCAAATTCAATAAAAAATACTAAATACTTTTAAATTCATAATATCAATATATTCAACATAAATTTTGGATCTTCTAAAGCCTAAGTACTACCAACAAAAAAAAACATTCATTTTAAAAAAATCCACTATGCAAACCAACCTAGAATAACCATGACCCAATTTATGGATTATATATTTTCTCGTATGGATAGGGGGGAAAAAGTTGGAAGTGGTAAAGCCCACCACCATCCCTCAAAACTCAAATGCCAGATTTGGGCTTTTTTCTTCTTCTCCTTCTCTCTACCTGCTTTCAGTCATCCATCGGGTCCTCTCCTCCCCCGTCTCTTCTTCACCTCTCTCTCTTCCCCAATTCCATTCTTCCTCCCTCATCGCAAACCCTAACCCTAGCACCTTTCCCCAGAAAAATTTCCGCTTTCCTCGCACGATTCGCTATTCTACCTTTCCTCCGGGCAATCGATCATCAGCCGATTCGATCTGTAAACCTTCTCATTCCGATCTGTTGTATTCTGATTCGAAATCCCCCCGTTTGTTTTCATAGTTTGTAAAGAGCTTTTATTTCTATAAGCCATGGCCAGCTCTAAATCACTATGATGACAACCATCGGGCCCATAGGGTTTTTCATGTTTCTAGGGAACCATCACAACCAATTGCATGGGTTTGAGCAATGCCTGAGCTTCGCCGAGGTGTACGCAGAGGGCGCGCAGGGTTAGCGCCTAAGAATAAACGACAATCGGAGGAGCCTCCCGTCACCCCGGTTTGCGCGAGGACTCCCCGCGCCGCTGTTGCTAGAGAGGCTAAGAAGAGGCCGAGGACGAGATTGCAGGCGAGGCGACTGAAGGAGAAGGAAGAGCAGGAGAATAATAACGGTAGGGAGGTAGACAACGACGAGGTAGCTGTGATATCGGATAGAGAAGAAGAGAGCGAAGGGAAAGAAGAGAATTTGGTTCCTGTTATCGACCTTGAAGCAGAAGAAGGAGTTAGAGTTGGTGGGATGGGTGACGATAGTGGTGGCTTGAGTGCTAACAATGCCGCTGGACAGGAAGAAGAGGGGACTACTGTTCCCTTCCCTGAAAGGGTAGGTGGTTTTTGCTACGTCTGTTGTGTTTCATGTGGTTAATGTTTAACCTCCATTTTCATTGACATTCTGTTTTATTGAGCTGGAGGCTTGCTTAAATGCACGAGCGATTGTTCTGTTCAGTTTTGTTAATTATTATATCTCCTGTTGTTGGTCTTTCTGAAGGTTCAAGTGGGAGGGTCACCTATGTACAAGATAGAAAGGAAGTTGGGCAAAGGTGGATTCGGTCAAGTGTTTGTTGGTCGTCGTCTCAGTGGTGGGAATGACCGTGGTGGAATGGGCCCTGGCGCCACAGAGGTAAAGTTTATCTAGTATAATGCTCTGCTGCCTAGGTGTGATTTAAGAGCTCATTGCAATTCCTTTCCTCTCTATGTTGCTCTAATTACAGGTGGCTGTGAAATTTGAGCACCGAAACAGCAAAGGCTGTAACTATGGCCCCCCTTACGAATGGCAAGTTTACAAGTAAGTCTTCTTCATATGTAGCACAACTCTGCGAATAATAATGAATTTATAACACAAGCCAGTTTTGATATACATTTGGTGATCTTCTGTTCTGCAGCACTCTTGGTGGTAGCTATGGGGTGCCTAGAGTGCACTTCAAAGGAAGGCATGGAGACTATTATGTAATGGTATGGTCTAAAAACTGGCCATCTACTTTTATTCCTGTAATATTTTCTTGAGACTTAACAAAAAATTCTACATTTTTCAGGTTATGGACATGTTAGGACCAAGTCTGTGGGATGTTTGGAATTCTTCTGGTCAAGCGTGAGTTCTTTGTGCATGAATACTCTCTTCTTATTATGGTGTTGGTCGGTTTATCCTACCAGTAGGATGTATCCAATGTTACATGAATTTTTTGAAGTTCTCTCATTTAGTCTTGTGAGCATCAACGCTTTGCCTGCTAATGCTATTATTCCTCATGTCTTCCATTTTATATCATTTGAAGGATGACTGCGGAAATGGTATCTTGTATAGCTGTTGAAGCTCTTACTATCCTAGACAAAATGCACGCACGCGGGTATGTGGATTCTCGATGTCTGTTACCTTTTCATTGTAAGCACTCTAAAAGGTTTCTATAGGCTCTTACTTCATTTGTTGAATTTGGATGCATTTTTTGTGATGCAGTTATGTGCATGGAGATGTAAAGCCAGAGAACTTTTTACTCGGTCAGCCTAATACACCACAGGAGAAGAAACTGTTTCTTGTGGACTTGGGTTTAGGTGAGAAGCTTCTCCTGTTCCTTTAAAGAATTTGCTTTAGTGCTCTTAATGCTCATTGGTGAAAAATATCACAGCGACAAAGTGGAGAGACAGTGGCAGTGGGGAGCATGTTGACTATGACCAACGTCCTGACATGTTTAGGTGAAGATTGATTCCATTGCTGTTTGTTTCTTGTGGGATTCTTGTTTATTTAATTATTTTATTATTGGGCATTTTGAACATTGGATGGGTCCAATGATTGATTCCATCTTTATCTCTTGTTCTTGCTGAATTTGCTTTTTGTAGAGGGACTGTGCGATATGCTAGTGTTCATGCTCACCTGGGAAGGACTGCTAGTCGGAGAGATGACCTTGAATCTCTGGCTTACACACTCATTTTCCTACATCGAGGCAGGTTGCCATGGCAAGGCTATCAGGTACTCTCATTTGTACTCAAAATCATTCTCTAGTGCTAGAAAGGTGTACCCATGTTCTTGTCGTGCATGAAGTATATATAGGAAACTTTATATATTTGGATCATACTCTTCTGACCTTTCCCTTTATCTTTTGGTTTCTAGGGTGACAACAAGTCCTTTCTAGTTTCTAAAAAGAAAATGGCAACATCTCCAGAGATGCTATGCTGCTTTTGCCCACAACCTCTGAAACAATTTCTCGAGATTGTAGTCAATTTGAAATTTGATGAGGAACCAAACTACTCCAAGCTTATTTCTTTATTTGAAGGCTTATTAGGGCCAAACCCAGCTATAAGGCCTATAAACACAGAGGGCGCTCAAAAGGTATTTGATCAGCATTCTTTTGTAACTTCCATTATCCTGTGCATGCTGCTTGTGTTCTAATGAGCTGTGTATCTTTGTAGATCATCTCTCAAGTTGGTCAGAAGCGTGGTAGGTTAAATATCGAGGAAGATGATGGGCAGCCACGGAAGAAGGTTCGCCTTGGAGTTCCTGCTACACAATGGATCTCAGTGTATAATGCTAGGCGGCCAATGAAACAGAGGTAGGGGTATGGGTGGACTGAATGTTTCTCCTGATATCGAGTGATGTTTCCTTTATGTTTCCGGTTTGAGAAGTGCTTCAGTATGTTTCTTGTTTACCGATGGCACCATTACGATTTGGTTGCTGATATGGGTTAAAATATGTATTAATGATGCTCATGGTTTTCGACGACTCGTGTGCGTTTCAATCAGGTACCATTACAATGTGGCCGATGGAAGGTTGGCACAGCATGTGGATAGAGGAATTGCAGATGGTCTTCTTATAAGTTGCGTGTCATCGTGTTCCAATCTTTGGGCATTGATTATGGATGCAGGAACTGGTTTTACTAGTCAGGTTTACGAACTGTCCCCTTTTTTCTTACACAAGGTAAATCTTTGAGTTCTGTGCTTATGGTTATCAAGAAAGCAGACCACATCCAGGTTTTTTTTAACACATTCATCTTATTCTGTTTTCTCAGGAGTGGATTATGGAACAATGGGAGAAGAACTACTACATTAGTTCAGTTGCTGGTGCGAATAATGGAAGCTCCCTAGTGGTCATGTCTAAAGGTTTGTCCGATTCATTCATGAGTTCTTACATAGTTTTTTTTTTGTTTAATCATTTCAGGTTGCTCCAATTATTTTGGTCTTGTCTATTATTTTGCGCGTCTCTCTATTTTGGTGGGCTGATATATCTCATTCATAGAGACTGTTTCTTACGATATAACTGTGGACTTGAAGCTGTCATTATACTTCTATTTCATTACACAATATGCTGTGTTTTAGACTTGTTGCTATGCTCCATTTTCCTGCTTCTGGGACTTGCAGATTCTAGGAGTCTTTTTATTTTGCAAAATCCAGTGACTCACTTCTTCAGTTTTCTGTGCTGTCCTTGCATCAATTGTTTTTAGTTATTTGAACAGGTTATACTTGCTTGAATTATTATTGGCAATTGAATTTTCTGTATGTTTGATAACACAGGGACTCAATACACCCAACAGTCTTACAAAGTAAGCGATTCATTTCCCTTCAAGTGGATCAACAAGAAATGGAAAGAAGGATTCCATGTGACCTCAATGGCCACTGCTGGTTCCCGCTGGGGTATTGTCATGTCTCGCAATGCTGGCTTCAGTGATCAGGTGAAATTTCTTTATGCTTATATTTTGCACTTGTCATGTATGGGTGTAAATATTTGGTTAACTTTTTCTTTTTCTAAAAAGAGAATTAACATGTAGATTACCAGTATTGTATATGAAGGAACATAGTAGTTTCCATAGACAAGTGAACTTCTAACATCTTAGAGCAATGCAGCTGTATATGTACTACTTCCCTCAATGTATATGTATTCTATTATGGGGTCTCCTGTTTTTAAGTCCAAATCATCGCGTCGGGGAGGTTGAGTGATAGCCAGTCTTGGTGGAGCTTCTGATTCTCCTGGGTTCAAGTGACCATTGGTCACTAAGGTGTTAGCAGAGCACTAGACAGTGAGTTATGTTTCAGTGCTTCTTTTGCATGCTTTTTGGAATATCAATATTAGCTGAAGGTGCCTGAAAGTTTTAGTGCAAAATGGATTTCATACAGTATTTGCAACATTCTGTAGCAGCTATATCTCCGTCCTTGAGGGCTAAGATTTTTTAATCTAATTCCCACATTTAATTTTTTTATGTTACGATCATTTATTGTCTGGAATTAACTGGGCTGTCATCTAACAAACTCTATTCAATATAGGTTGTGGAGCTTGATTTTCTGTATCCTAGTGAAGGCATACACCGAAGGTGGGACGGTGGTTTCCGAATCACTTCAACAGCAGCTACTTCCGATCAAGCTGCTCTAATTTTGAGTGTCCCTAGACGCAGACCTAATGATGAAACTCAGGAGACTTTGCGTACGTCTCAATTCCCAAGTACACACGTGAAGGTAAGCAAATGCTCTTTCCTGTATCAGAATTTTGTTGCTGCGGAACAATTTTATCCAACTGTAATGAATATTACACAACTTACTAGACCGTTTGATGAATGTGCAATGCATGAAAGCTAGTTCCTGATGAGCTCTAATTATCATTTCTGAATCATTGCTTCCATTTCCAGGAAAAATGGGCAAAGAACCTGTACTTGGCGTGCATCTGCTATGGGCGGACTGTTTCCTGAGATCCTAAACCAGCTGCATCTGCAAATAAAAGAAATTCGAGCAGGGCACTATTGTTGTTGTTCGGATGGTTTGCTGGAGCTCTCTTTCATTTTGCGGTTGCATTGCCATGTATAGAATGAAGTAGGGAGTGTTGACGAGGCTGCTGCGATGCAACGTTGGGGTTATTGAAGGAGAGCAAGCTGTTTAGGTGTGCCGTTGCGCTGTATGAAGGTGTTATATGTCATTGTTCAATTCGAGGACATGTAATTTTAGCTATTGAAGACGAATTATTATGCACCTTATTGGTTTTTGTATGCACTAAATGTTCACTGGAGGTTGTGCTAAGCCATGCTCCCGCATTCACTCGAGTAAGAAAAATTATTGCTATCTATTGAAATGTGATCACCTAGTATGAGCTTCCTTTCATTTACAAATTTGAAATTTGCCTTTTCCCACCATAAAGAACTTGAAAGGACATAAAGCCGAATCGAATGACCATTTGGTAATTTGAATGATACTTGTTTTGTGTCGATCAGTTGTTTCTCCAGAGCTGTGATCACAGAGAATTTATGGGTTTCTGCTGAATTTTTTGCTTAAATTAACGAGAATTACCTAAACGATCACTTAGTGGATACCAACCATTATTAGAATTTTAAAGATAAGGGACGATTAGAAAATGAAATGTTCAACTGTAACTACCATTCTCAATTTCGGTTGTTCTGCATCATCAAGTTACATATTTTAGCAAGCTCCCGGCACGGTACACTTGCTAAAGCCATTAAGTCATAAACTTTCACTTTCTCAGCAAACTACATCACCGCCTTTTCCCTGTCTTAAGCTTGTATTCTTCACTTCCCGAATGGTCCAGCCACCAAAATCTTGATCTCTTTGTTTGCATGACAATGCAGCAGGCAGCAGCGAAGGCAATGTTGCGCTTCAAACAAGGTTTCAGTGCATCTCACCAAAAATCGTGCAGTCTACCTCATACCTAACCCAATAGATGGATGATTGATCTGAAATCTGCCCATCTGAATGTTTTTTTTTTGTGTGCGGCCTAATGCATCTTCTTACTGTTCTTTCCATATGCGCCCGGACACCTTAAGCTTCAGCTCTTGTCTATCCCCACCAGAGAAGAAGAGTGCCAAGTTTCTCTGAATGATTAATCCGTCCTGGCTGTCTCGAACTTTCTTATGGCTATCCCGGATGCTCCTCGGTATTCCTTGCCATATCAGCTTTCTGCCATTCCCACCGACTTCCAAGGTGTAACTAAACTGTCTTGCCTCATCTTCAGTGCCCATGAATCTCAGGAAAGCCATGTAAACTGGTGCCATCCCCAGTCGAAAAGCCTCAAAGTGTAAGCAGAACTGCCGGCCAAAGCAATTGAAGACCTGCAAAATCAGGAAGTCATGTTAAAATGCCTGCAAACAAGCGTTGACTGAACAAATCTTCATGCTGATTGGATTAAGGTGTCACGATAGTGGAGTTCCAAGTTCAAAGACAAGACCAAAAAAGTAGGCAATCGAATTATCAATAGTTAATTCGGTTTGGGTGCCAAAGGCAATAATTAATTCTGCATGGTAAGAATCTTACAGTTAACATCCATGTAGCATTGTCAATTTCTTGGGGATTGGACTTCACATATCTATGATTGAAGGTACACCCATCATGCATGTCAACCTTGTGATCGTTCTTGAGGTGCATGACGAGCTGTGGGATGTCTCCAGTGACAGAACATTCAGCTCCAGCATAAGGGCAGCCATAGGGACGGTATTTGCAGCTCTTTTCATGGCTTTGCTTGCTATAGTACGGAAATATCTCATAACATCCAAAATGCTGGTACTTGCAAGGAACTTCCAGCGACTCGGCAACTCTCTCGAGTGCCAAGCACCTTATGTTTCCAAGTTCCCCACGACAAGTAGGGCATGAGTTACGGACTCTTGCTTTGCATTTCTCGCATAGTGTATGACCATTGGGACACTGACAAAACAGGCACAAATTGCTTAGATGTTGAGATGAGATCATAGATGAATAGGTTTGATATTTGCAAATCTATATTTTTGGAGTGAATAACCATAGTTTCAGGTGGAGATAAATTCAACTACTTCTGTCGTTATGGACCCATCAAAATGTAAGATAAAGTTGTAAGATAAAGAATAGATGGATTTTAAATCCATTTTCAAACACAAAAATGGAACCTATCTTTTCGTGGTTCAATTGTTCAGGGAATCCTATATTTTCAAGAATGGTCATATCAGAACATCAATTCATTAGGATTAACCTTGCTCTTACTTCAGAAGTGAAAAGCCATCATCCATGAATACTTTCCAGATATCTAGAGCTACTTGAATAATACATAGTGATTCATCAAGTAATAAATATGTCCTACTTCTGGTGTCTAGGTGTTGGAAATCTAAAAATGTATACCTGGTAAATTGGAGGGTAAATGAGATTCATGCAGACAGGACATTCTAGTAAGTCCTGCACATTGCAAGTTGATGTCCCAAGACTTCCACCTGATAGAGGGGCTGCTTTTCTAAAAGGGGCGCTCGAGTCGGCACTGAATGTCATTGTATCACAATCCGTAAATGTTATCTCTTCCTTGCAGGTGGTGCCTCCTGGAGCCATTTAGACAATGCTAATTCAGGAAAAACTCCCTCCAGCTCTATGCTAAACTCAGAATCAAAATTGTAAATTGTCCGCCCTCAGCCAGTCAGCCCCTGTTGTTGAGACATAATGATCCCAAAATTAATCTTCTGCCAAATTTTCATCATATTCATCACCAATTGCTTAGTGACGAATTCAATAAGAAGAATACCACCAAACAGAGTTGGTCCTATTTGCACATCTGCTGACCACCAATGGTGCCCATATCACTGAATTGCAGTTGCACCATGTTCAGCTATTGCATCTAAACATCCAATTGATGTTCTAAAGATGTATAAATTGAATAAACTAGAAGCAACTTATTGAGAAAACAATTTGCAAGCTCCTGCTCCAGGTCTTAAATGTTGACTCTGAGAGTGAGACAAGAAGAAACCAACTCTAAATAGCATTATCAACCTTTTTACAAAGGAAACAGGAAGGACACATAAAGCACACACAGTGGCTACCCTCAATTGTCGAAAAAAAGGGGGTGAGGTGAACAGGTACCATATCACAAAGAGAGAAGGACCGAGTGTTGAAGGAGAGTAGTGAAGATAAGGCTCACTTTGACTGCACATGTAAACAACAGGGAAGCTATGTTTATTTTATGAAAAACGTAAGGAAGTTAATATTGCTTATTTTCTAGAAGCAACATATACCTCAAGAAGAACACGACAGGAGAATATCGATAATGAAGTGTTCACAATACCCTGTCACCTCCACTCAAACAAGATTACATAACTCCCATTGACCTCCTTTTATATGCAAACACTCAAATTCCAAAATTTAACAGGGAACAAGCAAAGCCAAGTGTTTCATAATGAATACTCGAATCAAGTGATATGGCAGAAGTAGGCGACAGAAGAACATGAAGGGCCACAAGCAAGATTGAAGTGTGCAAGAGACAAATGAACAAGCTTTGAAGCTTCATCAATATAGCTTGAAAGAACAGCAACAATCACAACAGAGAATCACTTGGCTCCATCAGCAAATCCACATCTCGATATACATATATGCTTCACCACATTTCTCCAACAAAAAATCCCAGACAAACCCAATAAACTACCGAGGCTAACAGCGGATTCTGAAACCTAAATGCTCCACATTTCCTAACAAACCAGCGGAAGAACTGCAGAAACAGAAGGCGAAAGAAATGTAGACAGAAAGTCCACTTACCGAGAGCATCGGAAGACGAAGACCCAGTTGGACGAGTCGCCAGAATCGATCAAACCCTTCAAAGAAAACCAGAAACTGATGATTACCCAGGTGGGATGAGATAGAGATATAGAGCGAGATTCCCTATAGAACGCCAAAAGAAAAGACAAAGAAGGAAACCAGGAACAAAAAAGTGGGGTTAAAAAAACGCACATTGAATTGAATGGTTGTTCAACCAATCGATCTTTTCACTTCAGTGCCGCAATAATTGCTCCATCATCACCACCACCATCATCATGGGGCTTGAGTCGCGAAAGCAAGGGGAAAGGGAACAGGGGTGACGTGGCGCACGCAGAGGGAAATCTGGGAACCGGTTTTTCTCCGAAATTGTGTATGGCGAAAGACTGAAACTTTCTGTTTTGATTTTATTGATAACTGACAGAGGACAAGGAAGGGAAGAAGGAGAAGAACAGGAGAAAAGAAGAGAGAAGAGACGTTGATGAACCCAATGAGTCACCAATATTAATTAAAATTTATAATTATTTAGGAAAATTAAACAATAAAAATAATTTACAGATAGTCGAATCCGCCAATCCACGTTACGACATGTAATAGCTTCATCCATCTTCTTCCTCTCCTACAGCTTTGCATGCACCCAAATTTCAATCACCAATAATTCAAATTTATATTTGTTTATTCATTTGTTCATCATCATCATCATTATTATTCCTGGATTTAAATTACTGTTCTACTATTTGACAAAGTAAAGAATCTTAGTTGTGTTTTCCACAGAAGATTAAAAAAGCTCTGTTTTCAGCAATGGCGCCAGCCACGTCCACAAAAGCCCGCCAACGGGCCCAAATTCGCACGTAGCTTGGGCTTGACCTAGCCCATACGAATCAACTTGGTTATTTCAATTTCAAGCTTCACGAATCACGACAGACGGACGAATCAGCCATGTCTTGATCAACAAACTTTTAATCCAAACTTTTGCCAACTCAGCATCATCATCGTCTTCGTCAACCGTTATAACAGAGAAGCTTCTTCTTCAACCTCTCTTCCTCGGTAGCTAGCTTGCGTGTACCAACCCAACAAGTCAAAGAGTCGGCTTAATTGACCAGAACACGTGACTCTATACATCATGAACTACTAAACATTTCTAACTTATAAAAGTCCCCCTCTCTGTTTCTCGATCAATCCTACCCATATAATCTCTTCTCTCTGCCTATAAATTACCAAATCGAATCGAACCCAGAAAGCCAAATTACAACATTATAGTTCCCAGTTTCCATTCTTTATCTCTTTTGCTCTGCCTCTTGAATTCTCATATAATCGATCGATATGGAGCTTGTTCTGGGTCAATCTATGGCGGATGTGCTGACAAAAGTTGGGCTATTCGTGATTGTGCAAGCTTTGGTCTACCTCGTGCTAACCACTTCGTCCACCGTCTTCTCCAAGAACGTCAAGCGCTCTTTCAGCTTCAAGCCGGCACGTTCGGTGAGCATCCGCCGGATGTTTGCCGCCATCTCCGATGCTCCGGTCGGCGAGCCTTCTCCGAGGACGACGAGCTCTGCTTCTTATGGGCAGCAGCAGCTTGATCCAATCTTTGGTGACGTTGGATATGCTAATTATTAGTTTGATTATCAGATGTGCTTCTCCATCTTTTTAATGTAAAAATGATTGAAGGACAAGGTTTCATGATTTGTTTATTGTTTTATATGGTGGGATAGGACTATTGGGTCGTAGGAGGGAGGGAGGATTGGAGTTTGTAATTAGTTGGATTCATTGAGGAATTAAAGTTACATTCTTTGTAAAATTATGGAGAAATGAGATATAATCATATTTACATTTGTTAATTCTTTATTAGCTTGTTAATGACTTTTCCCTTTTGTTGGAAAATTGGGAGTTGATTGGTTTTATTATTGCAACAAGTTGGTAGATATTACATTCTTATCTTACTTTCTTTCAACGTTTAATCTTTATATATATATATATATATATATATATATATATGCGCGCTAATTTGTTGAAATTTTGTATAACATAGGTTACTTGTGGGGTAAATGTATACATAATACTCAAATCGTTAATGACTAGTATACTATAATACATTATTGGTGGGGCCTTCCTAAAAAATTCAATTGATTAACACTTTATTCCCGTGTGCATCATTTTACTTAGTTTTGTATAGATATAATATGGTTCAAAAAGACACGCTTAATCTTACGCTTAGACACGCCTAGGCGCAAGGCAATGGCAAAACACCTCGCCTAGGAGTTTCACGCCTAATTAGATACCGGAACACGTCATGGAGTAAGGCGACATATAAGTCTCTCCTGAACATTACTAGATGGAGCTAGTAAGTCAATATTAAATACCAAAATTAACATCAATTACGAAATCAATTTTCTATTGCAATATTTTCAATAGCTCAAGAACTTTGTGAGCTATTGAGCTATGATTCTATGAATTCGTGAGCTATGTTGTTGTCATTAGGTGTTGAGTAAGTTATTAATCATTTTAACTTAAGTGAGGAAGTGTTGTAGATAATTATTTCACTCATCATGCAGTGTGAATAGCTATTTTTCTTCCAACGCCTAGGCACACTTAGTCTACGCCTAGGCGAGCTAGGCACAAGACAAAACCTCAACGCCTGCCTTACGCCTAGCACCTTTTTGAACCTTCGATATAATAGAACTATTAATCTCATATCTCATAACAAAACAAACTTTCTTATCGGTTGTTCAAACTCTGGCAGAATATCTTCATTCTCCTTTATGAACACTTATAAATAAATGTTCTAATTTGTATCTACAAATTTTTGTTTGGGAATATATGAAAAATAAAAAATGGTGGATGGTTTCCTTTATTTGAGTGTCATGGCCAGCTAGTGGTTCGTCGTGAGTCAATTTATGTGGAGCGATTCCTTCTCATTGGACAGACTTTGGGAACTTTATGGATTGACTCTATAGTTTAATAATGGGATTATTACAATTCGAGACATATATCCACCGCAACTGGTCACAATCTGATCCAAACCGGGCGCCTGCTTTTCCAGTCACCACATCCCTATCTGTTTATTGCTCCTTACCCACAGAAAGAAGGAATCAGCCTCTACCCAGAAACAAAAGAGTGTACCAAAGCAAGAAGAAGAAGAAGGCAATGAGTTCGTCGCCGTCAAAAACATTGAGAAAATTGGAGGTAGTTTCTCCAGTTCCCGCGGACATTGATATCGCTAACTCTGTGGAGCCTTCCCATATTTCCCAGATTGCCGAGGACCTTAATCTCAAGCCTGCCCATTATGATCTTTACGGCAAATACAAGGCCAAGGTAAAACCAATCAGGATTGCTAGTATATCGCTTCTTCCAAACTTCTGCCCGTTTCCTTTCTTTCTAGCTTGAGGTTGTTCAATTTGATTTTGGCGCCTGATTGGGTTGCTTTTTTTTTTTTTTTTTTGGTTCCCCCTTTTCTGGGTTCATGAATAATTGGCTCAAAGTTGCTTGCTTTACTATTAACTTGTTCTGAAGTATTGTTTTTTAGTTTATCTTTTTAAGATTGTATTTTGAAGGTTATGGTCTTGGCAGCTAATGTCTCGAGGTGGAAGGACAAAGATAAACAGGGGAAACAGTATCAATTTTAGTCACTCGAGTTATTGGAATGAATAGGGTTGTTGTTTGTTTTCTGGATGTTCAAAAATGGTTATCTGGTGGAAGAACAAAGATGAGAGAAGATACTTGCTGCATTTATGCAGGGGGAATAGTATATAAGATTCAATTCAATGTTCATTTTTTTTCGTGTACAATTCGAATCATTGGAATGAAGTTCATTTTTGTTGCTCTTTGTCTTTGATATGTGGGTATGGGAAGGTGCTGCTGTCAGTTGTTGATGAGCTGCAAGGATCAAGCGATGGATACTATGTGGTTGTCGGTGGAATCACTCCTACCCCACTTGGAGAGGGCAAGTCCACTACTACTGTTGGCCTTTGTCAAGCTTTGGGTGCATTTCTTGACAAAAAGGTACCTACTTTCTGCTTCACTTCACTGTTTTCTTCAATTTCTGATATTCAGTTTCTGCTTGTGGCATAATTATGCATAAAGTGTAGAGCTTTGAGCTTCAGACATAAGATAAACTTGAATTATTATTTCAAAGGCAGTGTTACAAGAGTTACTATGTCATTGCTCATTGGAGCTTCTGTTTGAGTCATAGTAAGCTCGAGCTAGCTCAAGTAATCTCGTAGGAGCTTATAACGCTAGCTAAGGACCAAAGTGAAACATTTATTAGCTCTAGTAAATTTGTTGTATAGCTCAGGATTAGTTGAACAAAGCTAAGAAGGACAAAAAATGATCTTCTTTTGTGATGCTGTTTTTCCTCTGCAGAACTTCTGTAACCTTGTTCTTTTCTAGTTAAGACTGCAAATTTGGTAAAAGTTATATTACAGATTATGTGTGTCGACATCACATTGTCTTTATGTAATGTGTATTCATATATGTTTCATGAAGAATTTCGTAAGAAGCTTCTCTCTCTGTGTCAAATCGTATGATCAGGTTGTTACTTGCCTTCGTCAACCATCACAAGGACCGACTTTTGGAATCAAAGGAGGTGCTGCAGGTGGTGGTTACAGTCAAGTTATCCCAATGGATGAATTCAATCTGCATATGACCGGAGACATCCATGCCATAACTGCTGCGAACAATCTGCTAGCAGCTGCAATTGACACCAGGATATTCCATGAATCCTCCCAATCTGACAAGGCGCTCTTTAATCGATTATGTCCCCCAAACAAGGAAGGAAAACGGAAGTTCAGTGACATAATGTTCAGGCGTCTGAAGAAGCTAGGCATCACAAAGACCACACCCGAGGACTTGACTCCAGAAGAAGCAAAGAGATTTGCAAGGCTCGATATTGATCCGGAATCCATCACATGGAGGAGAGTGATGGATGTTAATGATAGGTTCTTGAGGAAGATCAGTATTGGAGAAGGTCCCGACGAGAAAGGGATGGTGAGAGAGACTGGGTTCGATATCTCGGTTGCTAGCGAAATCATGGCTGTGCTGGCCTTGACTACATCACTATCTGATATGAGAGAGAGGTTGGGGAAAATGGTGGTTGGGAATAGCAAGGCTGGTGAGCCAGTGACTGCTGATGATCTAGGAGTTGGGGGAGCCTTGACTGTGCTGATGAAAGATGCCATCAACCCTACTTTAATGCAGACCCTTGAAGGGACTCCAGTTCTCGTTCATGCTGGTCCTTTTGCCAACATAGCTCATGGCAATTCGTCTGTCGTAGCTGACAAAATCGCTCTGAAGCTTGTAGGACCTGGTGGGTTTGTGGTTACTGAGGCAGGGTTTGGGGCAGATATAGGTACAGAGAAGTTCATGAACATCAAATGCCGGTATAGTGGGTTGACGCCACAGTGTGCTATCATTGTTGCGACGATAAGGGCCTTGAAGATGCATGGCGGTGGTCCAGATGTTGTTGCCGGAAAGCCTCTTGATCGTGCCTACACGACCGAGAACGTTGCGTTGGTTGAGGCCGGCTGTATTAACTTGGCGAGACATGTGGCAAACACGAAGGCTTATGGTGTGAATGTTGTGGTTGCGGTGAATATGTTCTCGACAGACACTGAGGCTGAACTCAATGCTGTTAGAGATGCTGCGTTGGCTGCTGGGGCGTTTGATGCTGTTGTGTGTACTCACCATGCGCATGGCGGGAAAGGAGCGGTTAGTTCTCTTGCTCACATGTTCATCTTGTGTCAATGGAAAACGATATATTTGTTCTACTATATGCTATATGCTGAGCTATCTGTGATAAATAGGTGGACCTTGGGCTAGCTGTTCAGCGAGCCTGCGAGAATGTGAATCAGCCATTGAAGTTTCTATACCCTCTGGACATTGGTATCAAGGACAAAATCGAGGCAATAGCTAAGTCGTACGGTGCAAGTGGTGTCGAGTACTCGGAGCTGGTAAACAGATGTCTAAGAGACAGTCTTTAGTTTTTGAATTATACAGTGAATGATTAGGGAGAGTTTGAATAATGTGATAAATATAAGTGAGTTAGGTGACTCATATACTGCACATCCGAACTGATGATCTCTTTGAGACCCTTTTGTTTATTTATCTCAAGTTTTTGTTTTTGTTTTGTCACAGGCCGAGAAACAAATAGAGATGTACACTAAACAAGGATTCTCAGGCCTACCAATCTGTATGGCGAAAACTCAGTACTCGTTCTCGCACAATGCAGCTTCAAAGGGAGCTCCAAGTGGATTCATGCTGCCTATCAGGGATGTTAGAGCCAGCATTGGCGCTGGTTTCATCTACCCTTTGGTAGGGACGATGAGCACCATGCCTGGCCTTCCAACCAGGCCTTGCTTCTACGAGATCGATCTCGATACCGCCACTGGGAAGGTCATTGGCCTCTCTTGAAAAGCCAGCAAGGCCATTGGATTTATCTGTGCTTCGTGTTGAAAACACATGAGCAACTTTGTGCTTTACTTGATCGTGTCATTCGTTTGACTTTATAACTCTTTTTGAGCATTTCTGGCCGTCAATAAGGGTAAAGGTAACTTAAGATGTACGTAATTTAGCTGTAGACATTGTCTTTGTACATTTTATCTGGTAGAGCTAAAGAAATAAAATTGTGAAAGAGGACCTGGTTGCTTGATCATAAGGTTACAAAGGCTTGGTATAGTACTTAGATTAAAAATAAGGAGATGATGATTATTCAATTTGTTTTGCTTTTTCCTTGCATTTTTAATCCAGTATAATTAGAAAATAAAAGAAGATTGGGTTGTTTGATCATATTTGCACTATCAGTGAATATGGCTTGGTTCACTCTATGATCATATGGAAGATGAAAGAAAAATCAGGACCAATATTGAATCAAAAGAGTATTCGATTCTTTTTCTTTTCTTTTATAATTTTTTCTTTTATTTTAGGACGAAAATGAAATCGAATTACAATTTGACCGGTGCAATTTGATTCAAATACTAATTCAATTTAGTGTGAACGAAATTGATTGTTTATTTGTTAAAATTGCATTGACTTCGAAACTTTAAGTAAACCACTACAAAAGGCAAGATCCTCCCAATACATCTTCATTAACACACATGAATAAATTTTGTTGTGTGAGGCCAAAATTGTATATAATAAAAGTATATACAATTAGTTTAATATATATATATTCTCTTGAATGGTGCTACTAATGATCTTAGCTTAATAAGTTAACTCAATAATTAGTTAGCTAATGAACAATGATGCTTGTTCAAAATTATATAAAAATATGAAAGGGTCCCACTAGAAATTCCTTCCACCTAATCCTAAAAGCATAATTATATTATATCCTTTGGTTTTAAATAATTGCCACATTGAAGGTTGATATGTTTTCATGTATCATAATATTTGGATTCATGAAATGAAATGATGTTCTCTAAGTCTCCCCACTAAGCACCATGATGAGTAGTAATGGTCACTTCCTAATATGAATCATTGGAGGAGTCCTTTTCGTTATTATCGATTTGATAACGAAAACAACTAAACAACTTTTTATTCATAAAAATTTTCTCATACGCTTGAGTAATGCTTGAAAAACTCATAATTAATATAGTAATTAAAATCTTATTAATCTGATCTTTGATATGTAACAAAATAATACGATTTACCTACCATTCAAATCGTAATGAATAAGTGAACAAAAATTGTATTAATAATACTAAAAACTTATAACAAAGCTTTACTTGGTTGGAATTCAAACCTCATCTTAAGGAATCTTCCCTTTCTTTGTCTTGCTTTTGCTTTTTTAAGGACAATTGAAACACTCCCTTGACCCTTCAAAAACCCATCTTTGGGTTTTAAAATGGAAAGCGGGGAAAGGATTGTTTTCAATAAACTAAAAAGAAGAATTGCATTCCACGAAAAGGGGGAAAAGTTTGGAATTCTATGTGAAGTATAGGTTTGATTACATAAATGGTCACTATATCTTAGGGTCACAAACATATCAATCACCAAAATTTCCAATTTTGAATCAAAATCTGTGATTAAAATTTAGAATAGATACGTGAATTAACAACCAAAGTAACATTTTTTGTCCATCATATGGAAGACTTTGTCCTAAAATTCCAAAATTAACGAGTGAAAAGATGAAAAGGTTATGTTAGTCCTGAATAATATGAGTTTGGATTTAGAACGACTATTGAATTTGGTTTGGATTAGAAAGGATGTGAAATCGCTTAACCATGTAAGCTAATAAATCTCATGTAGCATTTCACATCCTCGAATTTGGCTATTGCAGACTTTTTATTCGAATAATTTGAACGAAAAATGATTGGATTGGATGCATTGAGTGTCATGTTAGTTAATCAAATGACAATTTTGTCAAAGAACTAAGAATGCCATGACTAACTCAATAATGGCTTGAAAGTTGAGTGACCTTTTATGTAATTAACCCGTAAGTGCAACATAACATAACTCTAAAAAAGCAGAGCAGCACAGACAGTGCAGCACTAGTTGCTGCCGGTGCCTGCCGGGAGTGGCGCCCGCTCGCCCATATATGGATTGGAGATTCTTATTCTCTCTTCTTTTGTTCATTTCTTTACCTTAATTCAAAAACCCACCAACAACATTAATCTGCCATTAACCATAACCCCAAAAGATGGAAGCTTTCCACAAATTTAAGACAAGATTTTAATCACCCTTCCATCACTCCATCCTCCATCATATAGAGAGAGAAGGTGAGTGTGTTGGGGAGTACTGTGAGTATGAGGCAGAACAGAGAAAGAGAGAGAGAGAGAGAGAGAGAGAGCTCAAAACAATTGATTTGGTTCCATTAGGGAACCAACCATTTCTGTCACCATAATTTGCAATGATGCATTCGTTTTTTGGTAATAAGCTGAAAGAGCAAAAGGAATAAGAAGGAAAGACCAGAAGAAGAAGAAAGAAGAAGGAGCTAAAGGGTGGAAAAAGGAAAAGAGAAATGTTCTGCGGGAGAAGTTCGAGGTGTTCAGATGGTAATGGGAAGGGATCTGTGCCGGTGTTCCTCAACGTGTATGACCTCACGGCCATTAATGGCTACGCTTATTGGGTTGGCTTGGGAGTTTACCATTCTGGTGTTCAAGGTAAAAATTGAAAGCAAAGTTTCAATCTTTCTGGGTAGATCTGTTTTTTTTTCTTCTTCTTCTTCTTCCGGATCATTGTGTTCCTCGATGAATTTGACTTCACTAATGGTTTTTTCCCACCCTCTTTGCTTTGAGCTGCAAAGTTATTTTCTTCCACCTTTGATTCAGATGTATTCTGGCGCAGGAGAATGGTGCTAGAAATCTGTTAGCTTCTTGTTGAGAACTTTGCTGAAAGAGAATATTCCATGGGGAATTTGCAGTTTTTCACTGGCCGGCTGGCTTTCTTGTTTTTGTTTGTTTGTTCATCCATCCCCTTTGAACTCATATACTATATTGTTTTGACGAACACGTTGGTGTACCATGACGTTTCATCCATTTTCTAGTCCCTCTGCTGGTGCTGGAAGCTTCTTTCAGCTATATTACAAGTATCTTGTCGATCCATGTTCTGGTAAACATGATACATGATGATGCTCATATCACCTTATGCTGGAAATCCATCTTTTTGGTCCCTTTAATCCCACTTCCTTTAGCTTCAAATGGCGGATAAGTCGAGAAAAGTAGGAAATATCCTGCATACTTGGCCTATAAGCTATGAAGGTCGTGCTTATTAGGCATTGACCAACACCATTAGTAGTGGATTTGAACAAAGTTTTGATGTGTTCATCAAAATTTCAAAATAATCCGCGGACTGTAAATATCATTAATCTTCCTATAGATGAGTAGAAGAATGTATGCTGATGATTGATGTATTATGATTGAGTGGCAGTTCACAATGTGGAGTATGCATTTGGAGCACATGAGTATCCTACGACTGGGATTTTCGAAGGTGTCCCAAAGCAATGCGACGGGTTCACATTCAGGAAGTCAATTCTGATTGGGAACACAAATTTGGGGCCAGGGGAGGTAAGGAAAGTGATGGAGGATTTGGCTCAGGAATACAAAGGCAATGCTTACAATCTCATCACCAAGAACTGCAACCATTTCTGCAATGCTGCTTGCCTTAAACTCACCTCCAATCCCATCCCCAGCTGGGTCAATCGCCTCGCCAGAATTGGTAACTAATTCCCCCAAAAAACACTGTTGTCACTCGCATCTTTATTTTTGTAAGGTCGAATACTGCATAAATGGTTACTGAACTATGGGGTAGCTAATGAGTCGTCCATGTCAGCTAATCATAGGGTCAAAATGTCATTTTGTTATTAATTTAGGTGAGTTGATGCATTGATCTGAACAATATGGATGGAAAATTTGACAGAGATGTACAAAGCCAGTGCTACCTTGGTTATTCCAAACTCTAGTGACAAGCCTTTTAGAAATCTGACCTATTTAATCAGTGACCGTTTCTGTGTGTTTCACCTTGTTTTCTTATTGCATTGGTGTGCCAGAGAATTCAATGTTCTTTTGTGATGTTTCAACTTTCAGGATTCCTATGCAATTGTGTTCTTCCTGCACACATATGCTCAACCAAAGTTAGGCATGATGACAGCAAGGTAGAGGACAAGCCTTGTGAAGTAATAGTTGTAGAAGAGAAGAGATTGAGAGATGGGTGTGATCATCATCACTTCAAGTCGTCATCAACGTCATCTACTAATTTCTCAATTTCAACTTCATCATCAGCATCTTCCTCGGCCCCCAGTGCTGCTGGAGTTCATCATCAAGTTCGCGGCAGGAGTAGGACTAGAACTAGACGACGCAGTTTCCCACCTTCTTCCCCCTTGATCTCTTCACCTTCATCAGTTTCATGAACATGCTGATCAGACCATCCTGTTTTGCACAAGCTATTTGTTCTTGACAGTTCGGTATATTTTTATACAAAATGGAGACTCCTCTGAAAGGAAGATCCAAATGGGCAGAAGAGTTGGATGTTGAAGGTGATGATGATTTCCATCTCTGACTAAGAAAAGGACATGCTATCATCACCATATATATCTGTACATTAGTTCTTCCTTTTTCCATTTTTGGATTAATGCCGAGTTTGGTCCCTAAACTTTGCTACTTTCCTCGAGCGAGCCACTAAGCTTCTTTGAATCAAGCCTTCCATCTATGCAAACCATGGTCCATGAAACCGTATCGGAGACCGTACCGGGAAATTCACCGTTAGGGTATTTTATGGTAAAACCGTGGTTTAATCGTAGTTCAATCGTTATACCGGTAAATACCGCATATCGGTTTAGCCTCCGATACTGGTATTTCGTGGTTGAACCGCCGGTACGATACGGTTTAATGGACACTGATGCAAACTAGTCTTACCCCCCGTGAATCTTCAACCTCGAAACTCAAGAGCAATGCCAACATCTTTACCCTTATGATGATGAATTCTTATAAACTCTGACACTGATAGGGTTGTAAGAATTCGCGATATTTGGGGGCTTCGTTTTAGAAAAAGCAAACTATAGGGATCAAAATATCAACATTCAGAAGGGAAAATCAACCTTAATTTCTTCACCTTTTCTTCATCATAATCATAATATATGGCTGCCTTTGCCTATTCCATGTGGGTGTATGAGAATTCAACAAAATGAAGCTGTTTTCATGTTAGGTGACTTCAATCATAAGGTCCAATCATTTCTGAGCTGGTGTGTCAGCATTTCTTGTTAGTTACTCCTCATACAAGATTGATATATTACAAATTGATCTATACCACAAATCAGGGATTTTATAGCAGAAACTAATGCACTCATATAGCGTCATGAACTGAAATCATTAACCAGCAAATCCACAAATTCCATTGCAGCAAACTTGGGGAAGAATCTTCTCACTAGCTCTAGCTAAGATAAAAGGATGGATGAAATGAAATTTGATAGAATCATATATGGAAGGAGAAATGACTTTTTTTTTTTAATGTTTGTGTACATAGTTCTGAACTTCTGATTAAACAAGGAACTACAATTAAAAGGAGAAGAAAAACAGACACCAATCCAAATCTGTGTGCCTGTACATAAAATAGCCAAATGGGATTTGGATAAATAAAGGGCATAATTTAGCATTAATAATAATAATAATAATAATAACAATAAGAGCCAAATCAACCAAAGAACCATCATCAAGTTCTAGGTCTGTTTTTCTCGCAGCCATTCTACAAAATTGTCGAGGATTAAAGGCCAAGCGAGTTCTGGATCGTAGTTGCTAAGGCCTGGGAAATTTATCTGTTAATGAAAAGGGGGGATTTGATTAGTAAGAGTCAGTGACAAAAAACGTTATCTCAAACAAACCGAATTATCTACACTGTAAATATGCAGTGCACTATTGTAGATGGAATGCAGCATGTGGCATTGAAGATTGGAGGTCTTGAATAGAAGAAACTATGCATTACATGGTACCTCGTTGCAAAAACGGTAAAAACCCATCCACTGGTCCAGGTTAATGACCTTATAATCGCTCTGAATCTGTAGCAAAATATAAAGATTACAGAAATAAGCAACTAAGGATAAACAAGGGCTAACAAAATCAATAGATATGTCAGGAAACACTCAGAGACTAGCCACCAACCTTAAGATAGTCAATGAAGTAATCAACCTGAGAACGAAATTGAAATCCCAAAGCAAGATCAAGTAATTGGCAGATGCTTTCGATGTCTATGCTTTTCTGTTTTTCCTCTGATAGCAAACACAACAAATCAAAGTAAATTATCCATAAATGCCAGCGCGAGATGATCTTACACCATATTTTCATTACCTGTTAGACAATACTGGAACGCATAAGAATAGAAATCCACAAAATTTGTTGGCCTTTTAACCTGATACACAAACAAGCACCACAATCTGAATTATAATTATCACCCTATACATATATCACAAAACCACCCACGAAAGAAAATTAAACTGGACAAACCTCTTTCTCAAGCTCTGGGAGGGCTTTCTTCAATTTATGTACATTATCAGCCCGCAGTGCTTTAAGGCCTCTGCGCCATTCCTCCTGTTGGAGGACAAGTCAAACAAAACAAGAGCAGAAGGGAAGGGGAAACGAGATTAGTAACAAAGTTGGACCTCGTATTGCTACACAACTGTAAGTGTAAGCATATAACTATCCAATTTTATAAGCTGCAACTGTAAGCACATGCCACATGTGCAATGATGCAATTTTCATGAAAACTGAAGCTGATGGAAAAGAACACCCAAAAAAAGCAGAAGCACACTGATGAGAAGATGTCAGTTCAATCGACAATGAGAAGGGACCACTAGGGCAAAAGCAAGAGAGAATTTTTTTACAGTAGGGCAGCCCTACTATAATGACCCTGAAGCATTTATAGACTAAAACCAATGCAGTGTCACGAAGGCATGTTTTCGGGGCTCATTATTCTCAACAAGTTATAGAAGTTTATCTAATATACTAAAACCATTAAACAAATTGCTAGAAGGTGTTCTTATAACAATGAACATAAACAAGTGATTAGCAATGTAAAATGCCCAGTATAAAAACATACAAAATTTGGAAATAAAAAAGAACAAAGGACAGGAGTATGAGTAGATAAGTATCAGATATTACTCCCTTACCAGTGTAAAGTACCCCTGTTTTTCAGATTTCATTTTCCTGCATGCATATGCATTATGTAAGTTACAAAACTCGAGAGAGTTTTACAAAATTAAGAAGTATGACATCTAGTGCGCATTTCAATATAACCTACCAGGCTAGCATTAAGATTCTGACATCTGTATGATCCACCTCCAAATCTGAACACAGAGCTTCAATTCCTTCTGGGCTGCTCCAACAAGATATTTATGATATTAAAAAACATTAAAATTTTCCGCTCAGATTATGCAGTGACTAACAATTCAACCTTTCATACCCTTGGAAGTTGAAGCAATACAACTACAATAGAACTAAAATCAGGAGTGAGCTTGAATAAGCGAGGACTTACTCAATAAGACCTGAAGACTTGTTTGCATATGAGTAAAACACATTATCAATCCGCTCCATCTCTTTCGAAGACGCTTTACCTGTGGCTGAACAGGTAGGTAAAAGAAGTTAGCCCAGTTGCAGTTTTATTTTAACAGACTACCAAGTAATATCAAGAGAACATCTAGAGCAACGAAACAACAAATGTGTACAAGATGCGCATAGCTAAAGACGACAGATGAATGAGAAAAATCATGAAGGACAAAGACTGCATTGTCATAGGCAGACCAAGTACTGTATTCAGAAAGTATGGCAGCAGTTTTCCTGCTAGGATAAATTGAATCATTAAATATGTGAGTGATCACTGGTTGACCTACATATGTAGAGCAACTTTGACTAGTTCAATCAAGCACTTATCTTGCTTGATCAGCATGTCACAGTTTGTATTGCTATAGGGAGTTTCCACTTTGGTTCCAACATATCCTAGCAGAACAAAAGTCTGAAACCCCTTTTCTCCCCCAAACAGTTATACAATTGGTCACAAAAATTCAACAGCTTTGGTACAAAATTTCCGATCTTCTTTGGCCCTTTCACATGTTAAATTAGCCCAAGCATATACCTCGCAGATGGAAAAATCCGAAATACGAAGCTTCAGCTTCATAGAGTCGAGATTAAAAGACTAAACAATTGAAATTTCGATAACTGGAGAGGAAAAGGGCATAACTTTTCACCTTCAACAACTAGGAGGTTGAATTTCAATAACAATAATAAGCTGAGGATACTACAATCTACAGCAACTTTTGACCACTCAATCCAGCACTAGCTTCTTTTTGATCAGCAAACCACTTTCTTTTCTGTTGCTACAGGTACTTTTCCACTTCAACTCCAACATACCCTAGCAGGATAAAAAAAAGTCTAAAGCCGAGCTATTTTCCACCCAAACAGTAGTTCTACAATTGGTCACAAAATTCAACAGCTTTTGGTAAAAATTTCTAATCTCCTGCGCTTCACCAGATAAAATTACCCAATTGAAGAACTTCCCAGCGGGAAATTCCAAATCTTCAACCTCATATAATCCAAAATTGATGGCTTAAACGATTAATTTCTAGAGGAAAACTCGAATCGAAAAAGATTATGCATTACCCGAGCGGAAAAGACCGCCGGCGGAAGAAGTAATCGGAGTTGAAGAATCGGATTGACCAGTCTTCCTTGAGGCAGAACGACTCATCGTCTTCTTCTTCTTCTTCAAGCAGGAGAACGAGCCAGCTTTGAAGATGGGAGGAGAGAAGCAGAATGGATGGAGAAAAGCTGGGGAGCTCCGAACCAAAGAAGGAGAGCTGATTCGCTAAGCGCCAAATTCTAGACAGAGAGCAGGAGGCTTTTCTTTATTTGGGGGAATATAAATACTAAGTGGTACTTCTAGTTTCATAGTGCATAACCCTTAATAACTTCTAGTTTCATAGTGCATAACCCTTAATTGAAATTCTAGTTTCATATTTGTACCCTCGATTAAATGCCATTTTTATTTTCCCTAAATTTCTTAATCGTTCTTTGTTTTAGCTCGGATTTCAAATTTTTTTGCACAGATGGAATGAGTTCGTTGTGCTCTACAAAACGAGATCCATTTTCGATATTTTTTAGAAATTTTTTTTTCTTGCCTCTCGGTACCAACTGCATATCATATGGTATCTTCTTCGTTTTTAATTCGTTTTTGAAAACGTTTGCACAGAAGGAATGAGTTCATCATGATCTATTGGATCTACAAAATTTCTTTGTGAACAAATTACAGGACCAAAAAATACCACACAATACCATACAATACCACCCTGGTACGAGGTGGTATCTTGTGGTACAGAATGTTAAAAGTCGTAAATGACAGTTAATATACTTCTACTATAATGTATTCAAC